CAAAAAAAACCCTTATGTTTGTTTTGTTTAGACCCTGGTTAACTACAGTAAGTTGGACACCAAGCACGATGATAAAGGATCTAGCTCCATCATAAACTCTACTAAACATTTTCCCGATGGAAACAAGTTCAGATAGAAATACTTATTATGCTCAGTATTCCACCAAACAAAGCATCAAAAACACTGTGCCACTGGCACAAAACACAATCTAAAGTGAATATAATGTGTATGGTAGTGTTTATTGGAAGGTTGATATGTGAAGTTACAAGGGTTATTTTTGTGCTTGTCAGTGATAGTGAAATGTTGGATTGAAAAATGGAAAATAAATCCAAAAGATGACTCGCTATTTCTTTCAACAAACCACAAATTTGTAGTCATGGCAGTTAGATATCAGGAATATGTCAAATCTGTCTCTACTTGCATACAGGCACAGGACAAGACAGGTACTGACTGCAGAAAAAATAAGATCTTCCTCATACCTGAGATCTTGTAAATCCAAATGTGTGTCCATATTTCAATGAAATTGCCCATTGGGAGCTGAACAGTATGCAAACTGTTCTACTTTTCTATGCTTTTGGTGAGAGAAACCAAAGCTTTCTTTATGCCTGCTTTCACTTTATTGGAAAGAATTGTTGCAAAGCTGTAATGATTTTTCGGTTTTAATGATGGACTCAGCTAATTAAAATGTATGTGAATCTTTGTTTTGCTTTAATGACATTAAATGAAAGTATGGACCAATAATTCTGTTTGATTTGTTGTTGGTGGATTGTTTAGCTTCCCATTAGAGTAAGCTTTTTTTCATTGTTTCTCACAGATGGCAGCATTTCCACTCTTTCTCATTTGCATAGAGTTGGATCAAAGTACGTGAATGCCTAATGACAACACCTTGTTACTAAACATTTGATGTAAAATTATGGACTTTGGAAAACATTTTTATTCAAAATGTTATGCAAAATAAATTGAGAGGATCTGGGAAACATGGCTGGTTTAACACTTTCTCTCCATTGCAGGGAGCAGGACTCAGTCCCCTGCAGCACTGCCTCTGGCTTGGCGCATTAATAAACCTATTTGGCAGTGCATGTTGAAACTGGATAAGGACCATGTACTAGTCTCTGCTCATGGTCTTCTGTGCTGCTCTCTGGGCTGTAATACCGTTTTTTATGCTAATGCATAATTTAATTCCATTCCTCAGCAAGCGAGGACAACTGTCTGAAATAACAGCGTAATATAATTCATTAATACAGAGGAGATCTGGTTAACATAAAACACATTAAAGCCCAATCACAGTTTTTCCTGCTTTCAAGAGAATAATCATATCCAACCTGACACTCTTCTTTGTGTCTATGGTGTCATTTTCCAACGACCACTTATCAAAATTGCATTATTCAAATGACATGCAGAAATTCTTTGAAAGCTCTCACGACAATGTTCAGTTCCTCTTCATCTTATCTCCCGTGATTTCCTTTCTTCTAGTCTCGGAGCCTCTGGCGCTGTGTGACCTGAAAGCAGAAGTCTCCCCCAGGATCTCAGCCGAGGACTTAATCGACCTCTGTGATCTGTCTTTGTCCGGGCCCACGAAGAGGACCAAAATCGGCAAGCCCAAAATCATAGCTGTGGACATCCGCAGTCTAGAGGAGTATCCTTACTACATCTTTTAACATGTAAAATATACCTTCCATTTCAACAGTTCTTCTTATAACGATGATATTTCATTATTCTAATATGTTGTTTAAACTTTCCCTGCCAAGACTCGCCAGGAAATGGTACAAATAGACCTGAGCTTGTTTGGACAAGCTTGGATTGAGTCAACAAAGAAAAACAACAAATGCTCTGCTGAGATTTTTGATCGCATTACTAAAATATGTGTTATTGGCAGGCACAGATAAGATTGCTTTCAGAAGCTTTTACTCCAGTAAAGACGCTCCAACATGCAGCTTTTGTGTTACATAAGCTTTGTAAACATTCTGTTTAACACTTCCTCCCAACCCATAGTGGATATGTGAAAGACATGAACTCTTAAGCAAGCTGTGGGTAAAGGAGCACTTCAGAAGAACTACTTGCACAATAGTATGAGCAAAAGTATTTACTCACGGGTAGCCATGGGAACAACATGGCTGCGGTTTTTGAAAGTATACTGTGAGAACCATCACATTTAAAGAAACATACTTAAAGAGTAACAGCACGTAAGAAGATGAAACAGTTTAACTTTGGGTTTTGGAGTGGAGGTCAGTATAATAAATATCCAGGGACAAAATGAACATTGGATACACCTTATATGTGTCCTTTGTGTGTCCAACCTCTCAAACAATAATCCACTTTATTATAACTTTCAGAAATACTGCTTCACCTCTCTTCTTTGTCTCTGCTCATTCTCCCAAATAAAGCAGAGTGTTTATTGTAAGGTCCAAGTCATTAGATGCATGCCAGGTCTCTGTTAAATCTGTGACTCGTGCATCTCTGAAAGAACGCAGTTAATTTTTACATAAATGGCTCTAAAATCTGTCTGACATTTTAAACCAATCTTTTTATTGGTGATAATGACAAATGCTTTCATTTATGATTTGCTCATCTGCACAAGGTCAACGATTCATGAAAGCACATAGCATTTTTTTTTGCACATGTGGTTAGAGTGTGAAAAGACCTCGGTGGCAAGGAGAGACACTGTATTGTTTTAGTTTGGGGATTAGAGTCGATGCTTTCAAACAGCCTCTGACACTGATATTTTTATTACACCTGGCTAACAAACACAAACACAAACACACTCCGCTGCTTTGAGTTTTTTCTCTCCTGTTTCAATCAAGGCCCATCAGTAAACCAAACCGTTTCTTGTAGGATCCGAGTCAAAATCCTTAAGTGTATGCCTTTTATTATTTTTAACAAAACAGAACCTTTTTGGCCCAGTTATGTCAAGACTTCAATATTTATACCCTGTCTGTGAAATCCTCTTTGAATCACTGATAAATATACATGTATCAAATAATTCATGAGAAAGAATGACACAAGTTAAAAAGGGTCATGAAACACAGAATCAAAAATTGTACACAGTTGCAGTCTGAATACAGGACAACCTTTGTCATTATCTCTCTGTGCCTCTAATCTCTTGCTTACCTCTTGACCAATGTTTTGCAAAGGTTTGAAATCGAACTTAAAGCCACGAGAGCAAAAACCGCACAGTTCCCATCGAATGCAAGTAGTGGCAGATTCGGGGTGGATGATCTGCTTCAGTTATCTGCTGCCAGATTTGGCATCACTCAGTAAGGCCCTACTTATCCTCCCAGGCGGCCCCTCCACGCAGAGCAGTCTGAGATTTGGATGGTAAAGAAGTTTAGCCTGTAAAACCAAAATGCATGCTTTTTACTTTTTTGACTACCCCTTAGTTTTCTCTTGAGCTTGTTCATTGTTGCTGCTGTTTTTACCCCTCAGAGAATTCTGTAATCTTGTCATTGTTTAAACTGTCTGCGTATGTAACACTACATTATTTTGCAGCTGTATACTCAGAGATCTCTCTAATCAAAAGAACAATTTAAAAAGTTGTGGGACAAGATGAGATTCTAAATCATCTGACTTTAAAGCTGTTTTTCCTTAACTTAAGAAAAGTTAAAGTGGGAGTTTCAGGACAGTAATAGCACACATTCAGTTGGTGGAGAAAGAGCAGCTCTCTTATATAAACCAATTCTCTTGTAAGCCCCTTAGATTGAAAATTTAAGATTATAATGCTTGGTGCATTTAAAGGCCTCTTCATGCACCTTTTTAGCACTCTGCACGGAATCACAATTATGCTCAAGAATCTATTTCTCTTTTGCAGTTTTTTTAAAGTAAGGACCAGGGCATATAGTGTTCCAAAAACATTGCCTTTACAAGAGGTCCTGAAGCAGTGAGCCTCAACCCCTCAGGTCGTTAGTGGAATGAGAACGATAATAAGAAGGGTTAAAGAGCCATTAATCAATAAGGATTAGTGATTATAGTGGGGAATTCCTTCCTGGACTGGAGCCTCCTGATAGACAGAGGCTCCTCAGGCAAACTCTCATGCACGAAAGGGATTTGACCACTTTCACAGGATTTGGCAACCTTTGTTCACCTTTATTATGATCCCAGGCAAAGCTGTGTTGTGGGTGTCTGCGGTCACGAAAGTGGATTAGATTAAGACCTTTGTGAAATAATCAGGCCAATCTAGATTTAGCTGTGAAGGTATTCAGCGATTCATCTCGGTCGTGAAACAACTGGCATGTGCCTCTCGTAGTTCATCGGCGGATTCTACTCCAATGGGATTGAGGGCTATACACTGGATTATGTAATATACTGACTCTAAATGTTCTTGTGGCACTCGATGTGATTTAGTGAACACTGTGATTTTACAGAGAAGGAGCTGAGCACCACTTATCGTAAAGTATGAAGCCATAATGGCAATAGTTACACTCGAAGGAACAGGACAATCTCCTTTTCGCCAGAGCTATCTTTCAATTATATAACACTGTCCCTGTGCTGATACTTCCCTCACCAAGGCTTTTTTACTCCTTTCCTTTTCTCCTTTTCTTTTCTCTTGATTTCTTTTTCATTATGTACCCTTTATCTTTTTCTTTATTCTCCTTTCCTCACGACTGCTTTAACAGCCAGTTTTTCCCTGCTTTCTCAAAGCTCGCCTTACGTACTGTTTGAATTAGGACTCGGTTTGATAAGCTGTATAATACGCTCTCTAATAACGGTATCATTGTGCAGGCTTGATATAGTTTCTCCCGTCTGTTGCATATCTGTCATTCCAGGATATATTTGGTTCCTATGAATTTTCGAGGTATAGCTCAATTTAAAAAAAAAAAAAAAGGTTCCATGTCATTATTTCACCCCGGTCCCAGTCAGTGAAAGCTCTGCTCCTTAACCCCCGCTGTCCCTAGCTTCAGCAGAGGCCATATATCCGGCAGCATCAACATCCCTTCAGCTCAGCGTTCGGCGCTGACAGCGAGCTGCTGCAGTGTCCTGCGACAGGAACCCTCCAGAACTACAGAACGAGTCATCGTGGTCATTAGTCACGTCATGAAGAGTGCTGCTGTGGTGAGAGGGCACACACACTCACACAAAACATACACACACACCTGTGTGCAGCACAGCCATACACACACAGTATTTAATCACTGAATGTTTTTACTCTGATATATATATATATATATATATATATATATACATACCAAAGATTTGCATTGTATTGGTTTCTATTGAGATATTACAAGCTCTTCGTTGTGTTGTCAAGGTCAGTGCTTTTTCTGTGAGACAATGTAATCAGCTTTAATGATATCTCTGGCAGGCGTAAAGTGGTACCATTATTGTTTGAATGTGCCTTGGATATTGAGTTTGAGTTATGTATTCAAGTTATTTATCATCATTGACAGAAAAGAGAGGGGGGGCAGTAGTTAAAGCAGATTTAGATAAACAAGGGTAACATTATACTTCCTGGTGTTGTGAAAGTGCCCCATGCTGCTTCTTAATCCATAAGCTCCCTCCCTGTTTATTGATGCATTTTTAAACCAAGCAAGCACCACTGCTCCATGTGGGCGGGTTTGACTCAGACGGAATTATCAAACTGTTTCCTGCATAGTCACTATTTAATGATAAATACAGATTAAAAGACAGTATATACTAACTTTTTTCCTCCCGCTTTTATTCCAGCATCACCTCGTGGTTGAAGTGTTCTCAGTAAAATACCTCAACACATCTGGGTGTGTAAAGTGCCAACAGGGTATCCCGTGCACTGTGTAAACACGTTCTCAGGTGCGCTCCGTTAGGGGAACATTTTATAAACATTTTTTCAATTATTTGAATTCATTATATAGAATCATCCTCTACAAATTAATAAGTGCTATGTCATGGTTATGATCAACTACCTGCAAAACTGATGACACTACTGCACTTATCTAATCTCCTACTGTAAATGGTAAATGGACTTGAGCTTATATAGCGCTTTTCTAGTCTCCCGACTGCTCAAAGCGCTTTTACACCACATGTCACTCCACCCATTTGTACGCTTTCACACACTGATGGTAGTGATCGCTATGTAGTATCATCCATCAGAAGTAACTAATCCATTCATACACCACCACTGAAGCAATTCAAGGTTAAGTGTCTTGCCCAAGGACACAACGGACATGTTGTCTAACCCTAACCCTTCAGCATGGACAAGATAAACTAGCAGGTCCAAAGTCTACCTGCAGAATATGTGAAATGTATCGTTGTCTTTTTGATGTGTATAATGAGGTTTACTATTTAGCTGGACCTTAAAGTTTAACATTGGTGTTACCCCAGAAAGGAAATATAATGGGTGTCAATTAGCCTATCGGGCATTTGATTTTTTCCTGAAACCTCTGACTTCACATCTAGCGCCATTATTAAGTCAAACCTTCTTCAATTCAAAGCTTTCACATGACGTCACGCATTCAGCTGAAAGTCACCAGATAACATGGTCACTCTTTAAACCGTAACACCAGCAGGGACTTCTCCGTTTGTAGTGATATCAAATAGTGTCCCATTTGTTGTATGAGGGTCGCAAGAGCCCAAAACTCACAATTTATTTTAATAGCGCTGTTAACTTCGGTTGTCAGGTGATATAAACATGTGTCGTTTATAGTAAATTTTAGAATATAATGGCCGTGCTGCAGTTCTACAATGTTTTCAATGGTAACCACTATTTTCCTGAGCACTTTTTGCCATCCGTGCTGGTCACGTGACTGAAAGCTATGAATTACATGCAAACCTAGAGGCTAATTCTAGCATACTAATATGCTAACGAGATCCCATGAATCCTAAACATTTTAACATGGTCATTATAAGCATGTTTGCCAGTTAGCATTCAGCTAAAAGCTCTACTGTGCCCTTACGGTAGTATGTCCTAAAAAGACACCGTCCCCATGGAGTGGTTATAGACCGAGGACAATATTTAAAATGCAATGTCTCCTGCTAGCTTAGTCCATGTATGTCCAGCAATGCAATAGAGCTAGGTGAGGAGGAATATTGGAGGGTTGCTTATATACAATTATGAGCCAGTCGCCTCACTCGTTTCCTTCTCTTTTGAGCTAAATCATAAAATCTGTACAAACATTAGCTCTGCAATGGAGAATGATTTTTTTTCTGTTAATATTAGGAAAAAGAGATTAATGATCCATGTGTTAGACATTTCCCACATAAAATGACTGATTACCAATTGAGAGCAGACCCACTAGATGTGTGCTCATGTGTTTGGCTTAATTTTGCCTGATACCTGGTGTTGCATGTACTTAAATCATTGTACATACATGGGGCAGCTGTGCATAATGGAACTGGACTCTGATTCAACATATCTTCAATGAGGATTTGCCAATGAATCACTATATATGTCCTGTTGCATTAATAGTGATTTAATGTAAAGAAGGAACAGGTTTACTGTACAGCCTAAATCAGCATATCCACTCAATTGGTGTACATTTCCTGTTTTTCTTTTTTTATGACTATTTGGCTAATTCTACACATTTCAAATAAAGTCATTACTTTTAGGGTGTAAAAAAAAAAAAATCCCCAGAATGGGAGCAGAATAAATCACACACAATTTGGGGACATCTATTCTTAGCAAATTTCTAAGATAGATTTCCTAACAAAAAAACCCACCACTTGCTTAGCGCCTGGAATGAATTCACCTGCTATCTGTTTGAGCCTCTTCTTTCACATGTTCACCATGCAATGTGCCTCGCACCCAAATACTAAACAAAGAAGAAAATGGAATTTTTAAGGTCAGGAAATATATCATGTTTGTACCGGTACTGGTGCTGGGACTGAAGCAGAGAACCTTCTCGTGCTAACATGAAAGATTTTGCTAAGACACTAATCCTCCATATCCAGGCCTCTGTCTTTCAAAATCCACAGCAGCGTGGAGAAAACCCTGAAAATCTTGAGGTAGACAGAAGTCTTTGTGCAAATGAAAACAATTGGCTCATTAAACAGCTCCTCTGCGCCAGGTTTTCTTTGGTAAAATACTCTTAAGATCTCTGTGGTTTAGGCTAACGAGTCTGTTGTACGGTGTGGCAAAATAAAAGCGACTCTGTCTTTGGCCTTTCTCTAAAAGACCCCAGGACCTAAGCAGAGGCTGAGACTGTGTTTTACATGAATCATTCATTGTCTTGTCTTTGACATTTCAGTGCACAGAAATAACTTTGCTCCTTTCAGCATAACAGAACGAAGAAGCATATTGATCATTATAAATTCCACTTCTGTGCTCTCCTTAGAATAAATTAGCCAGTCTTAAATTTAAAAACTCAGCAGGGATGTGGCTTCAGGCAACATCTCAATTTAGAAAAGATGTCCTCCTTCCATATGTTGGAATGAAAAAGAGCAAAATCACGAGCTCTTCCTAATTGAAGAGACGGTCCTGAATATTTATGGACGAAGCAGCGTGGGCTCAGTTTCGAACCAGGTTGCGAGAAATGTTCAAGAAATTTTTGCAAAATAAAGGACGACTTCCTTTGCAGAAAAAGTTGAAAAAGTTCTTTTTAACTTTTTATGGCTTGATTCATGATTAGGATCTAATCAGGGATCTACTGCAAATCATGTCTTTTGTGTCTTTGAAATCATTAATACAGAAATCATCATTTTTAGTTTAAGCAGAGGTACAAAATCAGCTTTATAACACAGGCGTAGGTCAAATTATTTTAAGATTCTGTGTTTTGCAAGAAGCCTATTGGTCCACTCCAGGTTAAAGAGAACACTAACACCTGAACCACACCAAACCTGGCAAACCCTCCACACTCAAAGATTTATGATAGAGCTCAGTGACGTGGAGCAGGTGGCAAAATTAAAGGTCGATTAAAAAAAAGATTCAATTGTGCTTAAATGTCATTCACATCGCAGCAGTGGTATTTTCATTAGTGCACTCACAGTGGGTTCAGGCTTCATTGAAATCCTTTCATTTTTATTATAACCTATTGGCATTTAAGCATTTAAGGCGCGTGCGCGCGCGTGCATTCTCAACACTCTCTTGGTTCACACACTGCATGCAGAAACTGACATTCATTCAGATTTTATAACAGCTGTTGTGTAAGATGAAATCTAACGGTTGGATACAGATGTTTCAGCATCAGATTTCTTCACACTGACATAAAAACCACACAAACGTCAAACAAAGGCAATGTGTTGCTAAACCAGAGTTAAATAGGACGTCAAACAACAGTATCTTTTTTTGTGACCCTATCACTTAGGGCGGGACAATCAATCAAAAAAAATTGAAACCGACATTTAGAACCTCTAACCGACGTTAATCTTGCCCAGAGTGACGACACATTCAATCAGCGACATGGAAGCAGTGTCCGTCATTTGGGACACATTTTGTCTTTAGGGAAGACGATACCGAACAAAAAGAAGTTAAATGTACACACTGCGGAAAAACTGTTTGCAAGAAATGCAAGTTATTCATTTTCTACTGTTTTAGAGAAGTTCATTTCTAATTTAAAACTAAAATGTGTCGTTTTCATTTCAAGCTATTCTTCGATTTCAGTTCGAAATATTTAATTGATTACCACAAAATAGTTAATCAGATATGCACCCTTTCATTAGAAGAAACATCCCAGCTTTAATAGTTGAGCATATTTACAGTAGAGACCATTTCAGTGAACTATGAGGGCAAAAAACAAAATAATCATTCACTAATCGTCATCGAGGTAAAATGTTCAATTAATCGTGATGTTGATTTGAGTTCATATCGCCCAGACCTACTATCACTGACTAAGAGACAGCAGATCAGCTGCAAGGAGACAACACGCTCTGCTGTCGTTGTGAGTTCTGTGCAGAAATACAAGACTTTTTCCTTCTGTGATTTTGAAAAAAAAAGCCCCAATTACTGAAGTCTAATGGAAAGAGCAAAATGACCCCTCATTCTAAAGAAAGAAAGAAAGATTGAGAAGTGTTTTTAGCCAAATGTGTAATTTCCTGCTACAACATAATTACACTCAGAAGAACCTGGATAGACAGACAGAAAAAACATTTAGAAAAATATACCTTTAGCATTCATACAGTACCTTTCTCTACTAACAACCGTCATCTCCTTTGTTTTTGGTGTTTGTGTGTGTGTGTGTGTGTTTGTGTGGAGCTTGTATTTATATTTTAATATATTTATGTTTTTATATATCCTTTGTTTTAGCAGAGAAGATTTGTGATGCTCGTGACTAGTGATGCCCCGCAGCAATACGTTGAAAGACACAACAAAACAAACATTTTCACACGGTTAAAAGTATTCCAGAGACATTCATAAACATGTGCTCATTCTTGCAAACGCATGCCTTGTTGCATAAGTCACATTTTGAATCAATTGCATTTACTTTCAGTCAGTAAGTGACTCAGAAGTGTTGCAAGAGAGGACACCTGTCATGTGAAAACATGATGAGTGCAGCATTACTAAGAGCAGTCTTTGACCATTTCGTCATACAACTTGAAGTTGCCAAGCCTTGGGATTAATAATTGCATGGTTTGAAGTGTTTGTAGACAAGAGAGTAGTCAAGTAAGAAGAGATTTTACCAACGAGTGCCCTGTACATTAACATGAAACTGTGTTTAAAATTCAACCGCTATTAAACAAAAAAATAGCAGCAGGTACAAATGAGAGCAAATGCCTCTTCATCACAGGCAGTCTGTACCGTCTGCGAGAGGGGAGAGGACTAAACTCTGCATAGAGAGGGTGATCTGGGCTCTGCAGGAGGAAAGTCGCCTTTCTGACCACCTGCCTGCTGTAGTACTTTAACCAATCTACCAAGTCTACCGGGGAATAGCACACGGGAAATTAGCCACAGGTCAGATTCAAACCCGGGGCATAGCATCTGTACAAGGGGCGTTTGCACACTCACAGGCGCCCCCACATGTCCAATCTTGTGCAAATAAATTGCATTGAAATTGAATTGAAACTAACTGTCAGAGGAGTGTTAATAAAAAATAAATTGCAACTGTAAAGAGTGTTTTATTGGATTGAGTGCATTTTAATTGATTGTGCCGAGCGACTACAGAGGGCAGATATTCTTTATACGACAAACACAAGTGTCATCTGCATTACCTGGAGTTTTTACTTAATACTAAATAATGCAATGTCGATATTAAATCTCACTTTCTCTCGCACAGTCAAAGGCATGTGTTTTGTGTCATATGCCTCTGTACATATAAGATATTTGACAAGTTTTGAAATGCATTTCACATAGTACATGTCAGTCCTCACATATTGTGGATGACTGTTATTGCAAAAAGATATGTGGAGAAAATGTCGTGTTTTGCAACTGCAGGAGGACACTGTAGTAACTCCAAGATCACAGAAACCATCTGAGTCACCTGAGGTGAAAATCACTTGTCAATTTCTCTATTTTTTTCCAGTTTGCATCCCACCTGGTGAAGGTCAATTTCCCACGGGTTTGTATCCTGGATGGAGGGATCAACAAGCTGAAGCCCACTGGACTCTTGACCGTCCCCTCCCCTCAGATCTGAGCCCATACGTCAGCTCCACATAAACAAAAGGGATGAGCGGAAAGACTGGAAATTGTCATTAGCTGAATTTGAAAAGGGGAACAAAAACAGTCTTGTCACTTTACTGATACATTTAACGCAATGTTTAAAGAACTATTGTGCAAATTAAATCCAATTTGATTTGTTAAACTAACATGCCTAACAGAGCATTTGTTGTTGTTTTTCTGTCTTAAAACAAGAATGAATTTTTTTTTTTTCCTGGATTAATTGCCATGTGTTGTTGTAGCCTCATACTGAAACTGATCTGTCTGTGACCAATAATGCACTGTCTGTTATAATGTCTGTTCTGAGCCAGTTGATCATTAGAAATGTGTTAAATACTCAGCAGCTACACAAGTACAAATCAAACTGTACTGCCTTTAAGTCTATGTCATGATGTCTGTTATGTGCATTTTTTTTTTAACACTGTCAGAGAGGTGTTCATTTAAAACCATGTCTTTGCATAATTAATGCTATAGTTAAATGAACTGACTGCATTGCATTAAAGGTATTGCTGATACCAAGCTCCCCTCATGTGTAAACAGAGAATAAGAACTAACAAAGAAGCAATGCAGAAACATTATATCATGCATTTTCTATTCTATCATTCATTTATGATACGATATGATTTTACCATTTTTGACAATTGAGACAAATACTGAACATTAAAGACTTTGTGCAGTAATAATTTGTGAGAGCTGGTGTAGTTTGTCATAGATTAAACGGGTGAACCAATGAATAAATAGGCAGCTAAGTTTTACAGTATATGTGAGAAACAACAACAATAAGACACAGTGATTTCTGCACAATGTTTTTGGTGGCTTCTTACCGGTAAGTATTAGTTGCATCACAAGAAACTTTCACAGCAGATAAGATCTTCTGTATTGACTAATGTTTGGGCGGCAGTAGCTCAGACTGTAGGGACTTGGGTTTGGAGCCAAAGCGTTGCCAGTTCAAGTCCAGGTGTGGACCGAAGTATGGAAGTTGGTCTGGTAGCTGGTCTGGTAGCTGGAGAGGTGCCAGGTCACTTCCCGCGCAATGCCGAGGTGACTTTGAGCAAGGCAGTGCACTCCCTACAGATTTGGCAAGGTCCCTTTGTAGCAGCCCCACTCTGACATCTCTCTACTAATGCATGTCCACAAGTCCTATTTGTGCATGTGTGTATTTCAGGCCTGTGTGTGTGAGAAGCCTGTCTCTCTCTCTGTCAACAACAGAGTGTAAAACCAGGATTTCCCTCAGGGATTAATAAATTAAATTAAAAATCCAATCACATTTTAAGAAATTGTTTAATATCATGTCCCATAGTGTATAATTGAAACATAATTTTTTCTTTGTTTTTAATTAAAACATATACATTTTATCGTTGAGTGTGATGATTTCACATGAAGCTGTTGAAAAAAAAGTTCTGTTTTTTTTTTCTGCACCACCATAGGATGTGCCAATCTGCATCGAATCTTGTGGTTTGGCAAAGTTGGAAATTGTTTGTACATGTTCAACAATCCCTCAAGGACACTCCCACTAGAGTCTATTTAAAAAAGAAGTCAGTGGGGAATCATTAATCATAAGAGCAAGTCATCAAAGGAACTTCTTGGCTTCATTCGCAGGTAAGACAGGTGTAAGACATGTATTTTAATTTTTCAGGAATGACTGGAGTATATAACTGGGAGAAGACTATTGTGAATATTTTATTGCCTCTTTCATTGTTTCCAGATCCAGCAGTTTTGCCCTCAGGCTCATCAGGTGATTATCAATTTAATACTTTTGTTTTTAACTCCTCAACATTGTTCTGCTTTCCAGAGTGAAAATGGTGAAATATCAGGTGACCATAACCACTGGCAGTATCGCTGGTGCTTCCACTTTTAACCATATCTTCATTAAGCTGGTGGGGACAGATGGGGAGAGTGGTCGCAGTTGGCTCAGAAACTTCAAAGGGGCTTTAGCCTTCACCCCTGGAGCAGTAAGTCTGAAATATTTGTTATGTTTAAAATGCACAACATGCTTCTTCAACTTTTCCTCCTTAAGACAATCACCCCTTTAATACCAATTTAGTGAATCTGATGGCAATCCTCAGCTTGGTTGTCTTTTGTTGGTAGTTTCAGAGCTTTTCTCTCATTTTCCAGGTGTCTTCTTTTTCCATCTGCAACTCTGCCTCTATTGGAAAGCTAGTCCTGATAGAGCTTGACAAACAGCGTCTCCCGCTTTTTCCTGAAGACAGTTGGTTCCCTACCAAGGTGGAAGTGAAATCGCCTGAGGGAGACACCTACAACTTCCCTGTCTACCGCTGGATCACTGACAGTGCGGTGTACCGCTTCAGAGAGGGAAGAGGTTAGTGGGCACTTGCTTGTCTTACATGACTAACTGACTACACCAAACATTAAGTAAAGATCAGTTCTGCCACCTACAGACCAAGAAGGCTAAAGTAGATGTATGTATTTTATGCCAACATGGCATTTTGAGACTATTTGAAATCTTGATGTGTTTCTTGCTTTAAGCTCTGACAGTCTTTGATGACACCCATCATCTTGGCAAGTACAGTCGACAGCAGGAGCTAAAGCAGCGAGAGGAAGATTACCGGTGAGAGCTTTGAGATTATACATATTCAAGTTTTACACATCCTGGTAGTGATATTAATCCAAACCTGCTCAACATCTTGTTGAATATGTTAATTATAATTATTTACAAATGACTTTTTGACACTGATGACCCTGCCAGAGGTTTACTTGGATACAGTGTTAAACTATTTACTTGCAGCAGTCTCCTTTTATTGCTAATGTGTAAACAGATTGTCACATGTTTTTAAAAAAGAAAGCTTCCCATCCTCCTCTGTTGTCTACAACAGTCTGTCGGGTGATTTCTATGTAAAGCATTTAGTTTACATATTACAGAGGGACAAAAATGAAGTCTATGCATGTTAGCCTACCTTGTGTCTCTTCAGCAAACAGTTAGCAGCGTCAGCTTTCTTTAGCTTAGGACGTCTTGCTGCTGCCAACAACACTGAGCAATGCGTCCAAAAAAAGTATTTTATTGAGATAAGCCTTTCTTGGACAACAAGGTTAAGATACTGGAAATAGGTAGTTGTAGAGAATCCATTTATTAAGGCAAGACCAGTTCTTGAACCGATATCTGTTCGCTGGTTAACCTCTGTAGTCACACGAGCCGGTACAGCTGTGTCCACAGGGGGCGCCAAAATCCACATAAACTGAAAGTTCCTCTCAGGAGCTCGAATGTCTTATTTTTCTCATTATTTGTCTCATTAAAGTGATTGACGATAAAGTAGTTTGAAAAATCATTGAGAGACCAATGCACACCAATACAAATTTGAGTAAGTGCAAGCAAGCTAACTTTAGCCTGCTTGCTTTCTCCTGTTGTTGATTGCAAATTATAATCATAGTTGTATGTTACTAAGCTAAGATAGATAGGCATGGATATTAACCAGGATGAAATATTTGACTGTACAGGGCAAAAGTGTCAAATTAATGTGAGGCTGGTCAATCACTTATTACATTGCGTCAAGTAGGTTTTTCGGCCAGTTCCCAGAATGCTTGTGCATGCTAATGGAGCGCAGGAGTGGGCTAACTACAGTTCACTGAGCAGCCACGGGTGATACAACAATGATTTTCTTACTCAACAAAGTTTATTGAAAATGTAGTATCCTAGAACCATGCACTACAATTGCAATTTGGAGAAATATGTGTCATGTCTACAACGCATTCATACTCTAAATTAAACTGCAGCTACACTACTGTTTTAAATACAAAAGCTTTCTAACTTTGATCTCTCTGTTTTCCTCAGCTGGGATGTGTATAAAGAAGGAATACCCCATTGTATGAAAGCAGACAACCCTCTCTCTCTGCCTTGTGAGGTCCGCTTCTCCTTCACCAAGACCTCAGAGTTTTTATTCACTGCAGCCTCAGGGTGAAGTCCTCAGATTCTGTCCAAGATCTATTCATAGAAGCATGAACCTGCCTCACCTACATGAAGTCAGGAAATGACTTAAAACATTGTAATTAGAATGTTCTTTACTTTTATTTCCAAGACTGACTGAGCTGCAACTTAATGGATTGGCTCGTTGCGAAAAGAACTGGACTGATATTGAGGACATTGAACGGGTGTTCTGCTGCAAGCGGACTGCCATATCAGGTAATAAGGGGAGTGCAATAGAGTACTTGTTATGCATGTTAAGACATTCAGCTGTGTTCTTTGTATATTTAACTGTATTCCATTATGCTACTGAAGGAGTATCACAATTGTTTACATTCCTGAGGAAAGCCATAGGTTTCATTGAATACTGAATGGACTATTGGCCTCTTTATTTGACTCTTTATTTGACTCTTTATTTGACTCTTTATTTGACTTTATTTGACTCTTTATTTGACTTTATTTGACTCTTTATTTGACTCTTTATTTGACTCTATTTGACTCTTTATTTGACTCTTTATTTGACTCTTTATTTGACTCTATTTGACTCTTTATTTGACTCTTTATTTGACTCTTTATTTGCTGTTTCTTGACATGAGCAAGTTTCCGTATAACATGCTTTGCTCGTCTGACTTTGCATGTAATCAAAATTCTGTATGAAAACTCAATAGCAAACAATTTGAACCAGTGACCAATCATGTTTGCAGGAAAACAGCTATTTCCTCTTTTCTAATTCACAAGTGGTGAACAGTTAAACTTATAATCATGGTTTTTTAGCGAGATTTTTTGTCTATACGTTTGGAAATCTTTGAAGCTCAGCTCTTCTATTTCCAGACTATGTGCAGGAACATTGGAAAGAGGACGCCTTTTTCGGCTACCAGTTCCTCAATGGGATCAACCCCATGCTAATCCGACGCTGTTCAGTCCTACCGGAGAATTTCCCTGTCACTGATGGCATGGTCCGCCTCCCTGATCAATGTAGCTTGGAAGATGAAATGAAGGTGATTGTTTTGACATTTTTTATCTTATTATTAGAATATTGTTTTGCCCCATGACATGTTAAATGTGAAACTTGTATGCTACATTTATTTTGGGTAATATTCACATCAAGTCATTTCCCATCCTCTCTTTAATTTCATATAGAAAGGAAACATATACCTGTGTGACTACAAGCGCTTGGATGGAGTGGAGGCAAACATCATCAACGGGAAGAAGCAGTACTTGATGGCTCCCCTCGTCCTGCTCCACAAAACACCTGAGGACAAGATGATGCCAATCGCTATCCAGGTAAAATATTAAATTAAATTAAATTAATTAAAGCCAATAATAAAGCTGCAACTTAAAGAATTGGTTATTATTTTAACGGTAAGAGGCAGGTTTACATGCAAACAGGACGTGTTCACATGATAAAATAACGAATGTATTAAAAGTCCTGCCCACAGCTTAGAGCTAATCTATGGAGCAGCTAAAGCATTTGGGATATCAAGTATTAAAAAATACACGTTTGCATGTTTGAAATATTTATTGCAGCAGCTGTAGCGTGTACATAGTTTGAATTTGGCGTTTAGGCTCCGACCTTGTCACAGGATGTAGATTTATTTCAAAACCAGAAATTGAGAAGTGATGACATAATATCTTAAAACCCTGGTAAGAACCTTTAGGTGGATGCTGGGGTGGTAGAGCAGAGGGAGAGACCAGAAACCGGTCTATTGGTAGGATGTGTGTGATTTGAGATTGTGAGAATGGCTCCTGTTAGTGTGAGAGTAAGGAGTCAAAGTCGCAAAAAAACTTAAATGCTTCTTTGTTTTGTTGACAGGCAAAACAGACAGATATTACCCTTTGTAGTTAGTGTGCAAACTTGTGCAAAGAATAAGAATCAGAGAAATATATATTTAGTCTTTTCATGCCAATTAACATCCCGCTACCCTCTTTCACTCTGGTGGAAATAAAACAGTGACTGAAAATTGTTAAACACACACACACACCTTCAATGAACAACACCTTCATTCCTTCTCCTGCAGCTGAAGCAGACTCCAGGAGAAGACAATCCCATCTTTTTTCCTACTGATTCCGAGTACGACTGGTTGATGGCCAAGATTTTTGTGAGAAGTGCAGATTTCAGCGAACACCAGCTCAATGTTCACCTGCTGCGCACTCATCTTCTGGCTGAAGTGTTTGCTGTGTCTCTGCTGCGCAATGTGCCCATGGTGCATCCACTGTACAAGGTAACAGCAACACGGAACACTTACCTTGCTGTAGTTGTTTTTTTTACTTTCTGTTTCTCATATGCTCAAAGGTTTATTAAGCGTAATGTATTAATGTGTATATACTTAATACTAAATGGTATAGAGGCATCAGAACTATGACCGTGTCTTTTAACATTGTGACTAAGAGTTTTTTTTCCCCCTCAGCTCCTCATTCCTCACACTCGCTACACCCTGCAGATCAACTTCTTGGCTCGACTTGCTCTAATATCTGAGACTGGTGTTTTCACACAGGTAGAAAGACAAGAGAAATACACTTTACACTAATTTAACAATGTCTCTTGTTTTTTATATCAAAAACACTGTTCCTCATATTGACTGTTCCCCTAGTTTTCAGCTTCTGGTGGAGAAGCAATGTTCCCAATCCTGAAGAGGTCACTGTCCTCAGTGACCTACAGCTCCCTCTGCATACCAGACGACATCGCTGAGCGTGGACTGGAGGCTGTGCCCAACTTCTATTACAGAGATGATGGACTGAAGCTTTGGGAGATCATCCACAGGTACTGTAGGCAGTTTCCATTCTGCATTATGTTTCTACATTATAACACTTTGGAGCAAAAGTGTAGAATATTTCTTCACGTGTTTGCCATTGTTATCATCAAGTGTTACACTTTGCTATGGTGAGTTAGAGCATTACAAGGCTATGAAGTATATTCTGGTGAACAAAGAAACTAGATGCATGGTCTGACTAAGGTAAGTGTAAGGCTTCAATGTTGGAGCAGGGTTTACCCTCATTTCCATTGCAGGTAAAAAAACGTGTCACACCCTCTTATTAGACTAAGTGATGGTGATTAGTACAGGACAACTCAGCTGTCCATTTTTTTAATCAGGCAGGGTGTCCAAACCCTCGCAGGAAAGCAAACTGAAAATACAGATGTAGGATTATTGGGTACATTTAATTCCATTTCATGTTTGTGGCCGTGCACTAAAAATATGCCTGGCTGTGAAATGTTACATTTAAAAGAGCTCCTGGCCATGTATTCAGACTTTATTATTTATTTTAGCTATTTTATGTTCATATTTTTTGCTTTGGGGGAAGGGCTGATTTTGCCTCAACTGATCACTCGTGACTAAGGTATTTGACTCATGACAACATTATCAACAACTCACTATTCAGACAGTAATGGACAGTATTGGTTAAACAATACAGGTTGTTAAAGAATACTAGATGGTAAAAAAAAAGTGAAAGTATGCAACAAAACATTCTGGTATTGGACCCCTGACAGAGTACCAATAAACAGTTAGCTTTCCCAAAGGATTTTTCCAGGTTTATTACAGCACAAATGACAGGCCAACAGGATAATTGCCACCCAGTAGCTCTGTACTTTATTATTATTATAATAATAATATTAGCTTGAATTCATGTCGCTCCTTTCAAGGGACCCAATGATGCTTTACATTAAAACACATAAACAAAGACAAAACACTTAACCAAGTCCATTAGCTGAGTTGAACAGGTGGGATTTCAAGAGATTCTTGAACATGTCCAGGGACTAAGCATTGCGGATAACTCCAGGGAGCGAGTTCCAGAGGGTCGGGGCTGTCACACTGAAGGCTCTGCCCCTAAAGTCTGCAGGTTGGTGTTGGGAAAGGAGTGCAAACCAGTGTCCAAGGATTGGAGGTTGTTCCAGGACTGAGTATAGGGGTTGAGGAGGTCAGAAAGACACGGGGGGGGAAATGCATTTTGGGAGATTTGTAGGTATGGAGGACGATTGTGTATATGTGATGCAGGACATGACTGTGAGCCAGTGAATTTTGAGGCTGATGTGCTGCCAGGGCTTTGTGAGGGTGAGAACCCTGGCAGCTGAGTTTTGCACATACTGGAGCCCGTCCAGGGCTTGACTAGGTACCCCAGATTCCATCGCAATAATCCAGAGGAGAAGTAATGAAGGTGTGTATGAGAGATTCTGCAACAGGGTCTGCGAGTGATGGCCTGAGTCTGGAGATGTTTTTAAGCCGGCAGGATGAAGACTTGGTCATGGAATTGATGTGTGACTGGAATCATAGGGTGGAGTCCAGAATGACAACCAGGCTACTTTGATAATATGACCGTTGTATCAGTCTCCGCAAGTCAGTGAATTGGTATGATTTAGAAAATGTCAAACTATGTATTTGGTCCCATTTTTTTATCCAGTGTATCAAATATTGCACCAATGTCCTTAAAAAAAGAACAACACTGAGCAGTCAATGACACATTAAAGTGTTCTAGAAGAGTTTCTTTCTTCAGCCTTGGGTCTTAAAACAGTAAAATCCAACCACAGTTGTGATCATCTCCGCATTTCTCAGGTTTGTGCAGGGAATCCTCAGCTACTACTACAAGAGGGATGCTGAAGTCCAGCAGGACTCTGAACTACAGAAGTGGATTTCAGACATTTATGAACATGGATTCCTTTCCCAACCCTGTCCAGGTGGGCTTTTAGGACCAGATAACTTTTTTATAATGCTTATTATGGACATTCATGTACAGTTATATTATAATGCAATATTATTCAAACTTCAAGTGAGTCATTTTATCTTTAAGTAATACGCTTTGTTTTCTCTAATTCTCAGGAATTCCAAAGAGCCTTACCACAGTGGTTGAGTTGATCAAGTTTGTCACCATGGTGATCTTCACTGGCTCAGGACAGCACTCAGCTGTGAATACTGGACAGGTGATTTTTATTTATTTGTTTAATGAAACGACCAACTATAACGTTGGTAATTTTAATCAGTGAAGTTAAGGCATAGTCCTTAGAGTGTAATGTGAGAAATGCCCATAATGACAACGCTAACTCTTAGTAGGTGAAATAATTTACTAAGATCATAGCCTTAATGTAGGTAGCCGTTTCAGGTAATTTATCATGACCACAAATATTGTATAAATAAACATTTTATCTTGTTTTTGGGCTCGTGTCAGTCAGAGTCAGAGGAAAACCAAAGTTTTGACAGATCATGAGGATGTAAATATGAATGTATAAACCAAAGTTAATGCTAATAAAGTAGAAAAATGTATCTTTTAACTCACACTTTGTGAACCTCATGGTGTCACCTGTGGATAAATAAGAGGGTCACTAAAGTCATATGATTCATCCTCTGAGGATTATTACTGTGTAAAGTTTTCTTCTATGCAAACTTCACTGCCTGTCAATCATTTATTCGTCGCAGTATGACTATGGTGGCTGGATGCCCAACACTCCCATCTCCCTGCAACTTCCTCCACCAACCACCAAGGGGACAACAAGCGAGGCCACCATGCTGCAGACGTTCCCTGATGTCAATGTGACAGTTCAGGGAATGTCCACAGTGTGGTTACTCAGCAAGCAGTCCTCTGACTTTGTAAGTATTGATGACTTTATGTAGAATTACATAAATCACATTTGTATCCAAGTTATGTAATGTAGCTTATTGTCATGACACCAAAAAGCTCTTTGAGCCAATTTTTTTTTTTTTTTTAAACGATCACAATTTATCCTATTGTACGTCTCCCTATATTGAATAAACATTTTAATCTAAGTGGGAGAAAACAGCTTTAAACATGTCATTGATGTCACCAGATCGCCCTGGGAAATTACCCTGAGGAGCATTTCAGCGAGGAGATTCCCTGCAAGCTGATAAAGGATTTTCAAGGAGAGCTCCAATCCTTGAGTGCAGAAATCAAAGCCAGAAACAAGAGCCTTGACGTCCCATACACATACATGGATCCAGGAGAGGTAGAAAACAGTGTGGCCATTTAAATTTCAGATAGTGTGACCTCATCAGCTCTGTGTTACCAAAAAGTGAGGAAGGGAGAACTGTATGATCACTCCTCTGAATGTGGTCAATATATGATGATCTGTGATTTTTAATCCAATCCTCTTAGTTTTAGTTTGTGAATATACAGGACATCTTATAAGAATACATGAAATGCAAAATCTGCTGCTGCAATGACAAGTTTCTTATAAACATGTAACTTTCATTAAAAAAATGTGAAAAATGTCCCGTGTTTGCTGACTTTTATTTCACCAAGAAACAAGAATGAATTGGTTAGTGATATAACTGGGACATTTTATGTTTTAGACTACCGCATAGCCCATCAAATTGAGTTACAGCTCGATCTGTAAATTAACCTGTCAACTCTGGGCTAGTAATTGGACAGAAATGTATTTTGAGAAACAATTAAATATGACTATATAACCGACATTTGCATTGTTGCATTAACATACGTAATACTGATAAAGAAACTTAAATCAAGCTTTTCTTCCTGAAAATATACTCTGATCCTGTTTTTTATCACGCCATAAACCTCTCTATTTCAGCCTTGCTCAGAACAGGCAGGTTCTGTGTCTATAGCTTTAAATGCAAATGAGCAGTTTGCGACCACGCCCCTCTAGAAGGATTTCGATGGCTCAGGCTTTCTTGCACCATGCCCTATTGTTTACGGTGGGGAGGCAGAGTCAGAGGGCAGAACAAACACCTAGCTGTGGGAGTGTCACCCACCTTGGGGAATATCTCCAATTGGCCTGATTGAGCATATATTTTCTGAAAAGTGGAGCAGGAAGAATGCAGAGAGGAAGGATTTTTCATAATGGGGGGGGGTTGTAGACAGGATCGAAACACATATTAGTGTTAGAAAAACATAGTAAAGTATATTTTGCACAATATGTGACCTTTAAAGTTTGAGCTTGCTCAGGCCTGCATTGGACCAACGCCCTAGAAATGACACTCAAGACTTAGACGACCAGGTTGGCATCTATACTCACTTTTTACCATTAACACACATCACTACCTTTGCATTCTCTCAACTTTTTTTGTGCTCTGGTTTTGTAGGTTTCTGTAGATTGTTGTTGCTGACGACCAACAGCCAGTTACATGCTAGACTCACATTCTACGTAATTATTAGCCTTCTGGTATCATTATAAAAACAATAGTAGTTTTTTTGTTGTTGCTGGTTTTCTCTGTGTTTGTGTATGTTTTAATCTCTCTCTCCTAACACGTCTTTCTTTTTCGTTCTTTATTTTAAACTGTTGGGTCAAGGTAGATGGTCAGCCAACAAGACATACAACTAAAGGACATTTTTCTGTACCACCGTCATAAGATTCTTGCACATGGTGGAGTTATTGTTGGGATGATAATATTTGGAGGAACTTTGGTTGGGATTTTTTTTATTATTATTTAAATAACAGTTGCTTAATTAAAAGGTTGTTTGCTTTGCCTCGAACAGGTTCAGTTTTTGTATAAAAAAAAAGATGTGAAAGATGAGATGGTCAATATTTCGGGAAGATGGGAAGAAAAAATTGCACATCTTTTTAAAAGAAAAAATGTAAAAGTGCTAGATTTTTCAAGTTTTAAATATGAACGGGTATGTCTGTGTTCATGATAGACAAAAACACACTCAACTCCCTTTCAACATAAACACCTGGGTGCTGAATGCCGAAAAAAATCCAGAAAAAAACGAGTAGGACAGCACTCCAAAACTGTATATTTAACGTATTATATTCTTCATGGTGTAAGAGGCAATTTTTGCTGAAGAAGAGCCTCTGCTCGTAACGTTCGTGTGGCTATTTAATATACAGTTTTGGAGTATTGTCCTAATTGTTTTTCTTTTATGTCTGTATTCCTCTTTTTGAAATGTCTGGAGCACGACATCACGCAAAAGGAAAGGGTGCCACAACAAAACATAAAAACACCACTGTGTGGCTGTTATCAGAAGATAAAAACAGTTTTATGCTTTCCATCAAAAAACACTAAAAGAAAAGGCTCCATTGTTTTCTTGCAGCAGTTGTTTAGTTAGCTTTTGCTAAATTAGCTCTGGCAGTTTTTTTGCCAGTTGTCAACATGCATGTGTTGATTTTTTGCATTCCATCATTCATTTTGTAGATTTGACACATGGCAAATCATTATTAGATCATTCATTGTTATCTGTCCCTGCTGTAACATGCTTCATGTTGTACTTTGATAATACTATACTGAAGATATTCTTCAATTAGACCTACAACAGGAACAGTACTGCACACTTTCACATATGTTTTGTTATTATTTAAATATTTTCCTCTAATGCAAGTTAGAACGGATACAAAGTCCACAGGGTGGGACTTGTCTACAACATGACATTCATGTTTTTAAAAAAACAAACCAATGTTAACGCCTCCTCATAATGCAATGGGTGGAGTAAAGCTGAGACCTGGAGGATGAAGTTTTACTGATATATATTCATATTCATACTACTCTGTATGTATAAAAGTAAGGTGGCCACTGGAAACAACTTTTTCTGAAGAGTACCTGTAAGGTAAGAGGGCTTGAGATTTCAATGGTAACAATTTGGAAGTCTTCTACTGTCAGTTAAATAGATTCTGTATATCAGGGGTGCCCAACCTTTTTTGAACCAAGATCTACTTTAAAAGTTGCCCGTCTGCCGAGATCTACCAGTCCACATAGTGAGCCGTAGCCTACAAACATTTAACACGCACACAACAAACTGAAAATAATTTCAGATATAATAAATGACAGTTCTGTGAGTCGTAAAAAATAACACAATATCGACATACTTTTTTTTTTTAAACTCTTATTTTAGGGTACATTTTAATATTATGTTTGTATTTATAGCACATGTTTTTCCCCTTAATTTAGTTTGCAACAAACAACTTTAATCAGTGTGGAGATGTTCACAGACTACAGCAGGCTGCTGTGAGATGTTGTTGCTTTTGTTAAGTTAGCTGCAGACCGTTTGACCGTGTGTGTGTGTGTGTGTGTGTGTGTGTGTGTGTGTGTGTGTGTGTTTGCGCTGTATGTTGGTGTGTCTCGTCCCCCGCGATGCTCACAGTCATGACAGCAGAGAGGAGCAGAGAAAAGTAGCTGCAGCTACATCAAATGCGCTTAATACTCATAGCATAGTTTCTATATATGACTTTTTGGTAAAACATTTACCCGCACGTCCTTGCGCGTGCCTGCACTCTCTTGCGCGCGCGCCCTCTCTCTCTCTCCCGCGCGCACTCTCTCATGCACGCAAATACAGGTCGGAAGTATACTTGGGCTCCCCACTCAGGTATCGTCTATGTGTGGGAAACACTGCAATGAGATGAAATTGAAATCACGTTTCTATTTTACAATTGTATTTTATATTAACTAAACATCTCGCGATCGACTGAGAATCAGTCATCGAATACCTGTCGATCTGTTTGGGCACCCCTGCTGTATATACTAGGCTGCAATTTTTTTTAAAATTTTTTACACATGTTTATTTTTTCAAAGTTACATATAGGGTCATTATCTCTGTGTCTTCTCCACCAGTGTTCATCTGATTCTCAAAGCCAAAATGGTGAAGTATAAAGTGATTGTATCCAATTCAAACCTCGCTCAGGCAGCCACCACAAACAATGTCTTCATTAAGCTGGTGGGCACAGAAGGGGAGAGTAAGCGTACCTGGCTAACAAGCGTTAAAGGATCTGCCACCTTCTACCTGGGAGCTGTGAGTCTGTCCTCAATCCACGACTACACGGTCGTGGATTGACTTTCCTTAATACCTTTATGATTATTAGGGCCCGAGGACCCTCTTGAAACCCTAGCGATTATTATTTTTATTTTTATTATTCTCCTTATTCTTATTATTTTTCATTCAGCCCCTACAGCACGTTGAACTTACAATTCTGAATTTTACTATGCATTTCCAACATGACAAAACCTACAAACCTACATACTACATACTACTATCTAAATCAGTATGCAGTATATACTGTATACTGCATACTGAGTTCAACAGTAGTATGTAGTATGACTGCCAGTCGTCAGTTATTTTGCAGTATGCTTGGCCCTGGTTAAACTGGTTTTACTCAGCAGTGAATAATTTGTAGTAATAGAGCAAGCCAAGGACCCTGTAATTGCAGCTGCTTGTCCAGCTGTGGCACATGCACTGTACAGTCTACAAAGCAGGAAAATCTGAGGTGGTAAGACTTATAAATATATGAACATGTCATATTTGTTATTGGTTCATAATGTGGCAAGATATTCAGTCAACCCCACCGACGAGTTCAAACAGCTGCGCTCCGGCATTTTGATACTCTTCTGACCTCTGTACGCGAGGTAGACTGGTCCGATGCATACTGTACAATTTTCCCGGATCAGTATGACATCCTGGTATTTTTGGCATACTGCAGATCTTGCAGTTGTTCACATACTGCATACTGCATACTGCATTTTGGCCAAATCAGTACGTACTAGTAGTATAGTATGCGCTTTCGAAAACAGCCTTTGTCTGAGCTTCTGTCTGAGGTAAGGTCAGGGTTGGCCTCTGCTCTGAACACAGTGACACAAAACAATAATAAAGTTTAACCATAGCGCCCCCTAATGCAAGGACTAAGTTCTACATCATACATACTTTCTCCAATCTGCTTAAAATTTCCCAGGTATGATCAGGGTTGGCGTCTGAACAGATTGACATAACAATAGTCAACTTTAACCATAGTGCCCCCTACTGCAAGTACTACCTCCCATATAAAATCTCACATATTAAATTTTCACTTCTCAGTACTCATCTCAGTACTGGCCTGCTCACATCTAACCTAATACAATTGGGCCACTGACATAGCGCCCCATACTGGAAAGACACTGTACTACATCTCATATACTTTGTCTGATCTGCTCCAATTTTCACAGGTATAATCAGGGTTGGCTTCTGAACACCATCCCAAAACAATAATAAAGTTTAACCATAGCGCCCCCTACTGCAAAGTATAAGTACTTTCTCCCATATACAATGTCAGATTTCCGCAAAATTTCACATGAACAATGTCTGTACTGGCATGATCACATCTAACCTAATACAATTATGCCATTAACATAGCGCTCCCTACTGGAAAGAGGCGGTTCTGCATCTCAGATACTTTTTCTGATCTGCTTCAAATTTCCCAGGTATGATCAGGGTTGGCCTCTGAACACATTGACATAACAATAGTCAACTTCAACTATAGTGCCCCCTACTATTTTACGTGATCTTAAATACGTTGCTTATTTCAACATGCCAGTACTACGACTTTTACACAAATCGAACTGCACGGCCTGCTGCTTAGCCACGTTCCGCTGCTGCTGAACTCCCATGGTCGCAACACACCCCGACATGCAGAGGGGTGCGAAGGCCCTTCATCACCGCTTGCAGTTTTATTTTTATTCTTCCGCCACTTTGCGGCCACTTTTGAGAGCCTGAACGTGCCCGAAAACTCACCAAACTTTCCACGGTCATCAGGTCTCGTGAAAAATTTGATATTTTGGTGGTTTCGTAAACGGAGTTCACAAAATGGCTCAGTGGCGCCCCCTTGAAATTTTCAAAATGGCCTCCCCATAAAGGGTTTTGTCACGTACACTTACGAAAATTGGTACGCATATTAAGCTTGTCGGGACGGACTAAAAATCCTCTTTCAAAAAGCGTTTCAAAAAACCCGACAGGAAGTCCACAAATTACAGTTGAATTTCAAAATCGCCAATTTCAGCCTTCCTATTTGAACGCACTTGCCCAAGGGCGCTCATTCGATCAGCGCAAACTCAGTGTCAGTGTGTTCTAGACAGGCTCAGCATATCTCGTTGTGTTCCGCACGTTATTTTGTCAAAGGGCGTGGGCGTGGCGTGCGTTTTAAGTTATTTGAGCGTTTTGGCAACTTGCCAAAAAAGTAAATGCTTATATCTCTGCTATCTAGTGTTCAATCATATTAAAATTTTTCATACAAGATACGGGACCCGCCCTGAACACATCCATGATTAACATTTTTTGCTTAGTCACAGCGCCACCTGTTGACAACAGGAAGTTACTGCTTCTCAATTAGCATTAGCCATTGCTACACGGTAGCTCATTTTCCCCTCAAAATTGGTGTGGACCATGCTAACACCTTGGCCATACAACACTTTCAAGGTCAAATGCCTACGTCCAACGCTGTCGCCATGCGGATGCGTCGCTCGCCATCAAACAGGAAGTCGTTTTTTCACAGGCTTAACATAGTCGTACTGTCCCGAAACTTTATACATATAATCCTGGTAGTAAAGTCAAACATCTTATACCTTTTAAGTGAGTCGGTGTGGCTTAATGGCTCAGTGGCGCCACCTACAGTATTTCAAACATTCAGCCCCTGCAGCACGTTGAACCTACAATTCTGAATTTTACTATGCATTTCCAACATGACAAAACCTACAAAAAAGCCTCTTCAACCCACGCCCTAAACTCAACAGGAAGTCCACAAATCACATTGCCATCAAACAGGAAGTGGCTGTAACTCTTACATACTTTGTCTGATCTTCTTGAAATGATATAGGTATGATCAGGGTTGGCCTCTGAACACAGTGACACAAAACAATAATAAAGTTTAACCATAGCGCCCCCTAATGCAAGGACGAAGTACTACATCATACATACTTTCTCCAATCTGCTTAAAATTTCCCAGGTATGATCAGGGTTGGCCTCTGAACATATTGACATAACAATATTCAACTTTAACCATAGCGCCCCCTAATGCAAGGACTAAGTACTACATCATACATACTTTCTCGTATCTGCTTAAAATTCCCCAGGTATGATCAGGGTTGGCCTCTGAACACATTGACATAACAATCATTTACTTTAACCATAACGCCCCCTACTGCAAGGAGTAAGTACTACATCCTATATACTTTGTCTGATCTGATTGAAATTTCACATGTATGATCAGGGTTCGCCTCTGAACACATTGACATTACAATAGTCAACTTCAACCATAGCACCCCCTACTGCAAAGAATAAGTACTACATCCTATATACAATGCTAAATTTCCTCCAAATTTCATAGCTATCATGACAGTGCCATCCTGAACTGCTCTACGTCAAAAATTTCTGTGATCTTCATTACGCTGCCTATTTCAGCATACCATAGTACGACCTTTACACAAATTGGACTGCACAGTCTGCTGCCTAGCCACGTTCCACTGCTGCTGCACTCCCACGGTCGCAACACACCCCGACATACACAGGGTACGAGGGCCCTTCATCACCGCTTGCGGTTTTAATTGTTTCTTCTTTTTGAATTGTTATGTTATCAGTAACTTTAAAAGACAACAGGAGAAGAAACAACACAGGCATATGATAAAACAATCATTATTTAAATTAAAATGTTCTTTCTTCTCTCCTCATGAGAGTCTATCATTCATCCTAGAAGAGCCTTAGTATATAAATAACTGAAAAGAATCAATTAATTACACCAATTATGGACCGTAGTTGAACATTATCACTGTAATATCATCTACATGTAAACTGTGTGATGGATTTTCAATTTATTTCGAAGGAAATGGAGCAAAGTCAGTGTGTTGAATTGTTTTTTTCTGTCTCTGTATCGTTGCCAATAAAGTCTCTTTGCAATTTTCAATAAATGCAGCATAATGCAAGCACACTTGCATTTAGATTTGGGCAAACAGAGCTTCACTCAACGTCTCTTTGTCTGTATGCAGGAGTCTAAATTTTCCGTGTGCTGCCCCACCTCTCTTGGAAAGCTGGTGCTGATTGAACTTGACAAAAAGCCTCTTCTATTGTTTCCAGAAGACAACTGGTTTCCCAACACGATCAAAGTTAAATCCCCAGAAGGTGACATATACACCTTTCCCATCTACCGCTGGATTGCTGGTTGCGAGGTTCACCTGTTCAGAGAAGGGACAGGTTGGTGGAACTGTACTTGATTATTAGGGCTATAGGTATTTGGATTTCAGATTTATTGTCATTGTATGCAATACAACAAAATTTTGCTGGTGACAAACAGCCCAGCAGCAACGTATGAGGTAAAGATAAAATAAAATATAAAAATATACAAGCAGCATTTGTAATGTTATATGCTTTCTTATGGTCTGACAATACCCAGACCATCAGAAAGCAGGGAATGGTAAGTAATTTCATTTTCCTCAGCTCTACGAATCATCGATGACAATCATCATCTTGGCAAGTACAGCAGGGAGAAGGAGCTGAAGCTGAGAGGAGAACTGTACAGGTGAGTTCAGGCATAACATCCTGCATTCCATAAAACCAAAGCCCATCATTAAAGTAAGACACTAATATGGTTAAGCATCATTTTAGTCTTCATCCTTTTTTGAAAATCTTCTTTATTTTTAAGTTTAAAGTGTTGTCCTGACCGGTGTTTTCTACATTTTCTTTCCAGATGGGATGTTTATAAAGAGGGACTTCCTCACTGCATGAAAGCAGACAACGCTTCCTCTTTGCCTTGTGAGGTTGTCTTCTCTTTCACCAAAACTAAAGAATTTGCCCTTACTGCAGCCGCTGGGTGAGGTCCTCAATGTTATCTTGCAGTATTTTTTTAAAATGCTGAAGGATTTTAGTCTTTACAGAACCTGCCTAAATTCATTACAGCTTTAAGAACTGCCATTAAACAAACAAGTAAGTAGTAGTACTTTTTGCCCCCCATTTCATGTTTTCTTAGGCTTGCAGAGCTGCAACTAAAGGGACTGTCTTCTTGCGAGCAGAAATGGTCTGATATTAACGCTATTAAAAAAGTCTTCTGCAACAAAAAAACAGACATATCAGGTAAGACTCTGAAACAGTGGAAAATCTTTTAAACCATTTTAACCTGCTAACTGTAACGAAGAGTTCAAGAACATTCAGACATTTTGTTGAATAATGAATACAAAGTTGTTAAACCCTGCTGTCATTTCAGAATATGTCCAGCAACACTGGAAGGATGATGCTTTTTTTGGCTACCAGTATCTCAATGGTGTCAACCCCAGTTTGATCCGACGTTGTTCAGCCCTGCCTGAAAACTTCACTGTAACTGATGAGATGGTGTTTCTCCGTGGTGGGGGATGCTTATCTGGAGAAATACAGGTCTAATGACTTTTTGTGTGATCAAACACTTGACAGCAATATTGTAATGAAGTGTGAAATGAAGTGAAGCTAACAGTGGCCGACGAGGGTAAACACGGTGCAATGGCTGAAAGATTTTCAGTGACATAAACAGGCTGCACATTCAAAAACTATGCAATTTTAAAAAGCCCAAACAAGCAACAACGGAAACTTGCTGCTCATGACAAACAATGGGCTGCGAAAAGTGAGAGCAAGGATACTGCAAATATATAAAGATGCCAAATCAGAACAGACAACTTCAGCAAAGAAATTCAACAACAAAACGCTGCTACCATCAGAACATTAGAGCATTAGGCCTGAAGAAGGCACAAAGAGGAACTGGATTTTGTTTTATTTATACTCTTGGGTAAAATAACTCACAAAGTATATCCGGGCATCCAGGAGGACTAGGTTTCTAAGCATGTTAGTGGGGACACAGTTTGGCTGGGAGGAAAACAGCCCCAAGGACCAATAGGGGTCAGTTCAAGAACGGGGGAATATGGGCCTGGTATGGCCCATGGTACCACCTTAAATGTGTAACATGTTAAATATGTGATTTGCTTTCCATATTTCCATTTCTTATCATGCCAAAAGTTGAAATATTATAATTATGCCCAAAATTTCCCCAGAAAGGAAACATATACCTGTGTGACTACAAGCAATTGGATGGAGTCAAACCAAACACCATCAACGGGAAGAAGCAGTACTTGATGGCTCCCCTCGTTCTGCTCCACAAAACGCCAGATGACAAGCTGATGCCAATCGCTATTCAGGTTAGCCTGACCTTCAAATTTACACAATGTTTGAGTTGGAAAATAACTTGATTGGCAACAAACAAAATGAATTTCATTTGAATATACACTTGAGATTGCCAGCTGCATTTAATCAGTTAACTGAGTTTGTTTGTTGTCTAGGTGATATATGACCTTTGATTGACATGTTTAAATATTAAACTTCTTTCAAACGAAGCACCATCATTCATAATAATGTAACTTCTCCTGCAGCTGAAGCAGACTCCAGGAGAAGACAATCCCATCTTTTTTCCTACTGATTCCGAGTACGACTGGTTGATGGCCAAGATTTTTGTGAGAAGTGCAGATTTCAATGAACACCAGCTCAATGTTCACCTGCTGCGCACTCATCTTCTGGCTGAAGTGTTTGCTGTGTCTCTGCTGCGCAATGTGCCCATGGTGCATCCACTGTACAAGGTAAATAAACTTCAATCAGGAGACTTAAGAATGAACAACTATTTATTTACCAATTTAGGAAACAAATGTGCAAAGTCTTTGGGGATTAGACTCCATCATGTACTTAGAGGGGTAATGAGGACAACAGCATATACTCCCTATGGAGTCTAGACACTGGTGGTGGTGGAGATAGAAGAATCTGTTACCTCTGATTTTTTATTTTGCAAGTAATGTTGTAACTAACAGGGTTCAATCTTTCCCTCAGCTCCTCATTCCTCACACTCGCTACACCCTGCAGATCAACTTCATGGCTCGACTTGCTCTAATATCTGAGACTGGAGTTTTCACAAAGGTACAAAAAAGACAAGCATATGGTGGCCTACATGGACAAACATAATGCAACTGCTGAAATGTTTTCCATCAAGAGAGACAGACTCCAAAGGTCAAAAACACAAATTAAACAATGAAAAACTGGTTGTGAATGGAAAAACAACATAAAACATAAATGATGCTGTTTTTGCCTGCCTACTAGACTACTAGTAATTACTGATTTGGCCAAAATGCAGTATGCATGCAATATGTAGTAGTATGTAGAATGCAAACAAATACGAGATCTTCAGTTTGCAAAAGATACCAGGATGTCATACTGGTTTGTGAAAAATCCAGAGAATGCATCAGACCAGTCTTCCTTGTGTACTGTTACCCACAATGCAAAGCAAAGAAATAATCAGACCAAACCACACAGACATACATCTTTTTTGATTCTCAAATCATGAAAATCAAAATGAATCACTTGTCAGCTTTTTCCAACTAAGTAAGTGGGTGCCACAGTTAGCAGCGTTTGCCTGCAGCTGGGCTTTTCTTTACTTCTGCATTCCAAAACGGAAACCAGCTTAGTCGGGCCTAGCATACTGCAAAATAACCACAGACTAGCTCATACTACATACTACTGTCGAACGCAGTATGAGTTTGAAAGTAGTACGTAGTAGGCAGCTATTCAAAAATAGCCTATGATTACAACGGAGATTAGGGTGGTCGAAAGAACCAAATTTGTTGGTGTTAAAAGGTGGAGGATTTGGCCTGTCATGATTTCCATTGTTATAGTTGTAATGGATATTGTACATGCTTTAAAATAAGCATCGTTTAGGGATCTGAAGTCTGTCTCATGGATATCCTTTGGGCCATTGTGGCATGTCTGTTTTTTCATTACATGTCCTGAATACTTCTGTACACATCTATAAATATATACAATTTTGACTTTTCCCTAGTTCGCAGCTTCTGGTGGAGAGGGTATGATCACAATCCTGAAAAGATCACTGTCTTCAATGACCTACAGCTCCCTCTGCTTACCAGACGACATCGCTGAGCGTGGGATGATATCTGTGCCCAACTACCACTACAGAGACGATGGACTCAAGCTTTGGGATATCATCCACAAGTAATGAACCGTTCACAATAAAAGATATATTTTCTTTTTCTTAAATCTGATCTCTAACATTCATCACCATTACTGCATTTTAAACGGTTTTGTTTTGTAATAATACTTAGGGGTCCAGGTTTGTTTTATTCCTGTAACTTCTGCCATGCAAAGCTAATGCCAGAAAAATGCATCTCCACAGTGCAAAAGTGTTTTACATATTAAAGAAACACACATGTGAATAGAGCCAAGCTCTATGGACTGTTTTGAAATGTTGTAGGCAGCTCTGCAGAGACCGGTCTCACCACCTTCAACAAATGATGTTTGGAAAGTCAAAGTGATAACCAACAAAACAAACAAGATTCCTCCAGAAAAAGGCAATAACTGGCAGCAGAAACAATGCTTAAAACAATAATAAGTAGTAATATTTAAATTCTCAACAAAAATCTCAACAAACCTAACCAATCCCTAGCCTTTAACAAATGGTAAAACAACTCTATCTTTGAGTCTTGGCTGTGGTTTCTAACATTTCACTGTATTTCATGCTTGTATGCAGGATTTCAACAGTAGCGTGCATCTCAGGAAGGATGCTAGGTCATACAGTATTGCAATTTTCTTTGTAATGTGAGTAGAGTGTTTCTAGGGGACGCCAAAGTACTGATAGAAAACTGTCAACTGTCGACCCTCATCAGCCAACAACCTGATTAGTTGCTCACAATGTTGCAGTTTAATTTCACCATAGTTCTACTTTTCTTAAAGGTTTGTGAAGGGAGTGCTTTGCCACTACTACAAAACCGACGCTGAGGTTCACCAGGACTCTGAACTGCAGAAGTGGATTCAGGACATTTATGAACACGGATTCCTCTCCCAGTCGTGCACAGGTGTGGTTAAAGATGGTTTCTTACTGAGAAAATCCAAATTCTAAATCATTTACCATGCATTAAACATTTGTCAGACAAAAGGCTTCTTCTTAACTATCCTGTACATATTTAATGTTGCTGTTTATTGAATTTTCAGGAATCCCTCAAAGTTTTAGCTCAGTGGATGAATTGATCAAGTTTGTTACCATGGTGATTTTCACTTGCTCAGGCCAGCACTCAGCTGTCAACTCTGGACAGGTACAACACTGTGTTATATTGTATATGCATAGTTCTAACGTTCCAACTCTTTAACGTTTCTCCATAACTTGTTGTTTGCAGTATGACTATGGTGGCTGGATGCCCAACACTCCCATGACCCTGCAACGTGCTCCACCGACCACCAAGGGGACAACAAGCGAGGCCACCATGCTGCAAACGCTCCCTGACGTCAACGTGACAGTTCAGGGAATGTCTACATTGTGGCTACTCAGCAAACAGTCCTCTGACTTTGTAAGTGAACAAGATTTGACAAAAGCAAATACAACCATCAAGCTTATATTTGGAGTATAACTTGGCTCTGTTTTCAAAATTCAGTAATACTGAAAGTTTAAGTCGAAAAGAAACACACCATGACTGTTTTCGTATTAATGTCTGGTTCCTTATCTCGCTAACACATGCTACCTGTTCGTCAGGTCGCTCTCGGACAATTCGCAGAGGATCATTTCTGTGAGGAGATTCCCTCCAAGCTCATCAAAGACTTTCAAGGACAACTTGAAATTCTAAGCACAGTTCTCAAAACCAGAAACAAGAGTCTGGAAGTCCCATACACATACATGGACCCTGCACTGCTGGAAAACAGTGTGGCTATCTGAACATGGCAGTGAACATCCCCTTTTCTGACTTTTTTTATGGACATTTTGCTGGTAAGGCATCTCTTTCATCCCTTGAGGGTTGGCGTCCTCATAAGGGAATCCTAATTAGCCTAGTTAGTCTTTAAACTGTATACTGATGACTTTTTATGTTGTGCTTGAACTGTGATTGTGTAAAGCTCACTTCAAACCTTCTCATGGCAACTTTGCCACTGGGCAAACTCCCTTAATCAATTTTTAGCATTTGTATGCCAGACACAACTCTTACACTCAGGTAAGCTTTCCTCTGCATAAAAACAGCTGTGTTAACTGTGAGCAGAGTTGCATTACAACCATTTTAGCAACAGTTTAACTTAATATAGTCTTTATTTTTTCTTTCTTTGTTGTATCTGAACATATCAGTGGCAAATCTCATAGACCTATGCACTTGTTGACCCAACACCGCCAGGTGTGACTCTAAAAATTATCATGCTTATGAGTCTCTCTTGATCTCGTTTCACCTTTTCTATTGCTCCTCAATATTCATAAAGTTGTGATTTTATGTCAATCATTTATGCCTCTGTACTATCATGCAATTGTAATATAACTTTGGCAATAATAAAATGAGGTGATGGTGGATTATGTATTTCTGGTAACTTTTAATTGCACTTTGACTCACATATTGGCAGGTCTTCCAACATGCCCCTGCAGATGATCCAAAATGCAGCAGCGTGACTGGTCTTACTTACAAAACAGCGCCAAAAGCAGCTCCTCCCTACCTAAAGTCTATCATCCAGGTCTACACTCCCTCCCGCCAAATCCACTCTGCCAATGAAAGGCATTGGATCCAACCTAAGTCTCTAGCTACGCTCTCCTCTGTCGCCCCCCGGTGGTGGAATGAATTACTGAACACCATTAGATCTGCTGAGTCTCTTTACACCTTTAAAAAAAAGCTAAAGACCCAGCTCATTCATGTACACCTACGCACCTAATTATATTGATGATGACAATCATGATGATGGTTTTGTTTAATGATGACGATATTTTGGATGGTTTTGATGCTGGTTAGAACCCTCAAGAACAGCTGTCGATAATATGCATCGTCTCTGTGCTCTGCCAGTCAGCACCTGTGTGTCCAATCAGACTTAAAGCTGTTGGGTTTGAACTTTGTGACATTTCCTACATTCTTGCTTGTGTTGTACTTACTCTCTGATGTACGTCGGTTTGGTCAAAAGCGTCTGCTGCTCTACCTTGTCTTAAGGATTGTTATGTATCCGCTCAGTTAAGACCTTTGGTGTGTTAGTGTAACCCAACCTATGAGGCTAAATGTAAAGACATTGAGCTATCTTTAATAAATATACCTATTCAGTCAGTGTTGGGCTGTCCTGACAGATTTAACGAAGTGATCCAGCTACAAAATCCCTGTGTAAGCTTCTCTTTGAAAATATGGTCAGAAGTAGTTAAGAGATTTCAGCTTCACTGATTATGTGATTATTTTTTCTTACTGTAGTGTAAGTGGAAAAACATAGGTGGTCATATAAGAAGAGATGGTTTGAATACTCAAGATTTAAGCTGTTTGTCACTGCTTCCTCTATGGGTGATATTTTGAACCTGGAGGTTTGCCCTTTATTATCTTATTATGTTTAAGATTACATTACAGTTTATATATCTATATACAGTAATTTATAGTATTCTATTCTCTAAGTAAAAGTGAAGACAGTGAGAAGAAAACACACAAGACATTAAGAGGTCAATTATGGAGACACAAAAATAATACACATAGCAGTAGAATTTGAATGTATGTGTGTAACGCCTTTTTTATTTATGTTGGGGTTACTTGTAACAACGGGTCTTTGCTGGGGGTCAGACACAGTACCTTTAGTATAAGTAATTCACTACATATAATTACAGTTATTACAGCTATACTGGCTGGGAAACGACTCTAAAGGAAGGGCAGAGGAGCGTGTGAGAATGCAGCTCTGCCTCCTGATCTGAACTCTGTCTGGACCCTGTCTGGGCTGTGGTAGCAGGGAGAACTCCCATGATTCCCTGCTGGCCTCGACGTCACCTTTTGTTATTATATTATTGAATGAGAGGCCCCTGGCGGAGGAATCTACATATTGTACCTTTAAGGGTATGTAGGTGTTATTACACACACGCACACAAGCATGTGTGTATATTTCTGTAGGCCTATATTTATGTATGTTGTTTCTTGTCTATGTATGTGTATATATGTGTATGTACTGTATATAAATATGATAATTATGTAAAACCATATATTGTAATCTTTATTTTTTTATATTTAAAAATATAATTTTTTTTATAACATTTATGAATGAATGGAGTATGATTTGTAGTGAAAAAGTATTTGAGAGCTTCTTTTTTATGACGCTTTAAAGGAAGCACGAGGAGCGCGTGAGAATGCAGCTCTGCATCCTGGTTTGAACTCTGAACTCTGTCTGAATCAAAATATCACGCAACAGGAAAGGTGTCACAACAAAACATAAAAACACTGAGATGAGAATTTGGACAGACTTTTTTTCCAGGGGAAATAAAGATATGTCAAGTCTTAAAATGTCTGATTGCCTACCAGGATCACAAGAACTTTTAGTACATGATTGAAAAATAACATAAATCCGTGTGGCTGTTATCAAAAGATAAACAGTTTTATGCTTTCCATCTTAAAACAGTAAAAGAAAAGGCTCCATTTATTTCTTACAGCAGTTGTTTAGTTAGCTTTGCATAAAAAGTGACTGACGAAAAAGCAGTTTTAAAAATCATTGAGAGACCAATGCACACCAATAAGAACTTGATAAAATAACAATAAAACATATGGATAGAAAACTAACAAAAATACAAGACATAAAAGCGATAAGATAATAAAATGAATACACAAAAGGCACATTTAAAATTGTAGCAAGATAAATTAAAAAATCAATAGAACAGTAAAATGTTCATTTTAAAATAGAGATAATGATAAAACCTAAGTAAATTAATTATAGCCGTAAAATGATTAAAGCCAGACTGAATAAATGAGTTTAAAGACTGTGTTTAAAAATGTGAAATGCTCTGAATGTTCCCAATGTTCTGTTTTTAACTCTGCAAAGCACTTTGAATTGCTCTGTGTATGAACGGTGCTTTAAAAATGAACTTGCCTTGCCTATCATGTTGGCTGCTCACACTAATTAATTGCTAACTAGCTTAGTTGGTCTAAAATATCAAAAAGCTAACTGAGTAAGTGCAAGCCAGCTAACTTTAGCCTGCTTGCTTTCTCCTGTTGTTGATTGTAAATTATAATCTTAGTAAGCTAAGATAGATAGGCGTGGATATTAACCAGGATGAAATATGTGACTGTACAGGGCAAACATGTCAAATGAATGTGAGACTGGTCAAATATGTACATAAAGTAGATATTTCAGCTAGTTCCCAGAATGCTTGTGCACACCAACGGAGTGCAGGAGTAGGCTATGTGCTAACTAAAATAAAACACATGTGCAGGTGAGGTAGAAACCCATGAGGGCTTATCTCAAAACCTCACCTTAAGAGATTAAACAAAGTTCAAGTAAAATACAGTAAATGTATATTTACTATCACAACTAAAATGTACCCAATTGAAAATTACATACAAACATTGAAAACATAAAAGCAAAACAGGACATACAGTATGTAGACAATAAAGCAAAATCAGGACAATTCACTATTCACTACAAATCTTTCTGACATCGACGCATTTCTGAGTCTCAATTTGTTTCTAGAAAAAGACAAAAAATCGTCAAGTAAATAAATATGCGTGTTCCATAATTTGACTCCACGGTATCTTATTGAGTACTGTCCTCGAGGTGTACGACACATTGGTAGGTAAAGGTTATTGGTTTGTCTAGTTTAGTAATAGTTCACTTTGGAATTAAAAATGAAAAATGCTTTAAAGCTTTCTGGCAAGTTTGCACTCATGTATTTAACTTTAAAAATTAAATGATGAACTGCCATGACAGACAGAATGTTTAACGTTGCCGTGGAAACACTGGATGTTACATTAAAGACCTCTACATAAGGTAATGGGAACTGCTACTGAAAGCTGCTGTACTGTTGCTGTATGTGTTGCTTTGATAAAAACGTTTTGTAAATTATACTTGGATAAACATATTCTTCTCAAGCTGGTTTTGCCCGTTCGTTTCACTACCTCAAAGTGAGTTCAGAGTTCAGGGGGAGTTTGAGGTAGAGCCCCCTGGCGGTGGAATTTGCATATTGTACCTTTAAGTTTATGTAGGTGTTTTTACGCACACACACAAGCATGTTTACTAATAGAGATTTAGATGCAAAGGAGCTAATGTTTAATAGTCCACATTCAATTGTCTAATTTTTTTTGATTTACACTTTATTTATACATGTTGGGGTTACTTGTAATAACGGGTCTGGGCTGGGGGTCAGACACAGTACCTCTAGTATAAGTATAATTACAGTTAGATTTACAGTTATTACAGCTATACTGGCTGGGAAACGACTCTAAAGGAAGCGCAGAGGAGCGTGTGAGAATGCAGCTCTGCCTCCTGATCTGAGCTCTGAGCTCTGTCTGAACCAAGCATGCAACAGGAAAGGTGTCATAACAAAACCTAAAAACACTGAGGCGAGAATTTGGACAGACTTCTTTTTAAAGGGGAAATAAAGATTTGTCAAGCCATTGCTTCACGTTCAGCCTCTGTCACTTCTCGTTTTTAACTTAAATAAATAAATAATGCAATGGGTGGAGTTAGGCTCAGACCTTAAGGATGACGTTTCACTGATATTTCTTAATATGTATCAATGACACACCCCGATTGCTGCTCTATGTATAAAAAGGAAGGTGACCACACACTGGAGACAACTTTTTCTGAAGAGTACCTGTAAGGTAAGAGGGCTTGAGATTTCAATGGTAACAATTTGGACAAAAATCTTCTAGTGTCAGTTACATAGATATATATTTGGCTGCAAATTGTTTTAATTTTTACACAGATTTATTTATTTAAAGTTACATATAGGGTCATTATCTCTGTGTCTTCTCCACCAGTGTTCATCTGATTCTCAAATCCAAAATGGTGAAGTATGAAGTGATTGTATCCAATTCAAGCCTCGCTCAGGCAGCCACCACAAACAATGTCTTCATTAAGCTGGTGGGCACAGACGGGGAGAGTAAGCGTACGTGGCTAACAAGCATTAAAGGATCTGCCACCTTCCTCCTGGGAGCTGTGAGTCTGGATCGACCCTAGATTTGAAATGTTACTGTTGAAATGTGCCGCCAGATAATAGGTCATTACACTGCAGGTCAAATTGGTAGTCTAAATGAGAGTCATATTTCCAACCATCTCCACACGGTCGAAGATTGACTTCCTGAATAACATTTTCTTCTTTTTAAAAAGACAAACAAACTGTAAAAGACAACACGAGAAGAAAAGTAAAGGTATATGATAAAAATAATAGATCTTCGAATTCAGATTACTTTCTTCTCTCCTCATGAGAGTGTATCACACATCCTAAGTACATAAAAGTACTGTAAAGAATCATCCATTAAAACAACCCATTATGGGCCGCAGTTGAACATTATCACTGTAATATCATCTACATCTAAGATTTGTGCTTGGGTTTCAATTAATATCAAAGGAAATGGTGCAAAGTCAGCGCGTTCAATGTTTTTTTTCTGTCGCTGTATCTATGCCAAAAAAGCCTCTTGCAGCATAATGCAAACCATAATGTGCTTACTACGTACAAAAAAAATAGACCTACTGTATCCGTCACAATATTGCGTTTAGATTTGTACCACTAGCTGTGCATATGCCAGCAAACAGAGCACAGAGCTTTACTCAACCTCTCTTTGTCTGTATTCAGGAGTCTAAATTTTCCGTGAGCTGCCCCACCTCTCTTGGAAAGCTGGTGCTGATTGAACTTGACAAAAAGCCTCTTCCGATGTTTCCAGAAAACAACTGGTTTCCCAACACGATCAAAGTTAAATCCCCAGAAGGTGACATATACACCTTTCCCATCTATCGCTGGATTGCTGGAAGGGAGGTTCACCTGTTCAGAGAAGGGACAGGTTGGTGGAACTGTACTTGATTATTAGGGCTATAGGTATTTGGATTTCAGATTTATTGTCATTGTATGCAATACAACAAAATTTTTGCTGGTGACAAACAGCCCAGCAGCAACGTATGAGGTAAAGATAAAATAAAATATAAAAATATTCAAGCAGCATTTGTAATGTTATATGCTTTCTGATGGTCTGACAATACCCAGACCATCAGAAAGCAGGGAACGGTAAGTAATTTCATTTTCCTCAGCTCTACGAATCATCGATGACAATCATCATCTTGGCAAGTACAGCAGGGAGAAGGAGCTGAAGCTGAGAGGAGAACTGTACAGGTGAGTTCAGATATAACATCCTGCATTCCATAAAACCAAAGCCCATCATTAAAGTAAGACACTAATATGGTTAAGCATCATTTTAGTCTTCATCCTTTTTTGAAAATCTTCTTTATTTATAAGTTTAAAGTGCTGTCCTTTACCGGTGTTTTTCTTCCCAGATGGGATGTTTATAAAGAGGGACTTCCTCACTGCATGAAAGCAGACAACGCTTCCTCTTTGCCTTGTGAGGTTGTCTTCTCTTTCACCAAAACTAAAGAATTTGCCCTCACTGCAGCCGCTGGGTGAGGTCCTCAATGTTATCTTGCAGTATTTTTTTAAAATGCTGAAGGATTTTAGTCTTTACAGAACCTGCCTAAATTCATTACAGCTTTAAGAACTGCCATTAAACAAACAAGTAAGTAGCAGTACTTTTTGTCCCCCATTTCATGTTTTCTTAGGCTTGCAGAGCTGCAACTAAAGGGACTGTCTTCTTGCGAGCAGAAATGGTCTGATATTAACGCTATTAAAAAAGTCTTCTGCAACAAAAAAACAGACATATCAGGTAAGACTCTGAAACAGTGGAAAATCTTTTAAACCATTTTAACCCGCTAACTGTAACGAAGAGTTCAAGAACATTCAGACATTTTGTTGAATAATGAATACAAAGTTGTTAAACCCTGCTGTCATTTCAGAATATGTCCAGCAACACTGGAAGGATGATGCTTTTTTTGGCTACCAGTATCTCAATGGTGTCAACCCCAGTTTGATCCGACGTTGTTCAGCCCTGCCTGAAAACTTCACTGTAACTGATGAGATGGTGTTTCTCCGTGGTGGGGGATGCTTATCTGGAGAAATACAGGTCTAATGACTTTTTGTGTGATCAAACACTTGACAGCAATATTGTAATGAAGTGTGAAATGAAGTGAAGCTAACAGTGGCCGACGAGGGTAAACACGATGCAATGGCTGAAAGATTTTCAGTGACATAAACAGGCTGCACATTCAAAAACTATGCAATTTTAAAAAGCCCAAACAAGCAACAACGGAAACTTGCTGCTCATGACAAACAATGGGCTGCGAAAAGTGAGAGCAAGGATACTGCAAATATATAAAGATGCCAAATCAGAACAGACAACTTCAGCAAAGAAATTCAACAACAAAACGTTGCTACCATCAGAACATTAGAGCATTAGGCCTGAAGAAGGCACAAAGAGGAACTGGAGTTTGTTTTATTTATACTCTTGGGTAAAATAACTCACAAAGTATATCCGGGCATCCAGGAGGACTAGGTTTCTAAGCATGTTAGTGGGGACACAGTTTGGCTGGGAGGAAAACAGCCCCAAGGACCAATAGGGGTCAGTTCAAGAACGGGGGAATATGGGCCTGGTATGGCCCATGGTACCACCTTAAATGTGTAACATGTTAAATATGTGATTTGCTTTCCATATTTCCATTTCTTATCATGCCAAAAGTTGAAATATTATAATTATGCCCAAAATTTCCCCAGAAAGGAAACATATACCTGTGTGACTACAAGCAATTGGATGGAGTCAAACCAAACACCATCAACGGGAAGAAGCAGTACTTGATGGCTCCCCTCGTTCTGCTCCACAAAACGCCAGATGACAAGCTGATGCCAATCGCTATTCAGGTTAGCCTGACCTTCAAATTTACACAATGTTTGAGTTGGAAAATAACTTGATTGGCAACAAACAAAATGAATTTCATTTGAATATACACTTGAGATTGCCAGCTGCATTTAATCAGTTAACTGAGTTTGTTTGTTGTCTAGGTGATATATGACCTTTGATTGACATGTTTAAATATTAAACTTCTTTCAAACGAAGCACCATCATTCATAATAATGTAACTTCTCCTGCAGCTGAAGCAGACTCCAGGAGAAGACAATCCCATCTTTTTTCCTACTGATTCCGAGTACGACTGGTTGATGGCCAAGATTTTTGTGAGAAGTGCAGATTTCAGTGAACACCAGCTCAATGCTCACCTGCTGCGCACTCATCTGCTGGCTGAAGTGTTTGCTGTGTCTCTGCTGCGCAATGTGCCCATGGTGCATCCACTGTACAAGGTAAATAAACTTCAATCAGGAGACTTAAGAATGAACAACTATTTATTTACCAATTTAGGAAATAAATGTGCAAAGTCTTTGGGGATTAGACTCCATCATGTACTTAGAGGGGTAATGAGGACAACAGCATATACTCCCTATGGAGTCTAGACACTGGTGGTGGTGGAGATAGAAGAATCTGTTACCTCTGATTTTTTATTTTGCAAGTAATGTTGTAACTAACAGGGTTCAATCTTTCCCTCAGCTCCTCATTCCTCACACTCGCTACACCCTGCAGATCAACTTCTTGGCTCGACTTGCTCTAATATCTGAGACTGGAGTTTTCACAAAGGTACAAAAAAGACAAGCATATGGTGGCCTACATGGACAAACATAATGCAACTGCTGAAATGTTTTCCATCAAGAGAGACAGACTCCAAAGGTCAAAAACACAAATTAAACAATGAAAAACTGGTTGTGTATGGAAAAAAAACTTACTTGAACTGTAAAAGTGCTGCAAAAACATATATGATGCTGTTTTTGAAACTGCCTACTAGACTACTAGTAATTACTGATTTGGCCAAAATGCAGTATGCATGCAGTATGTAGTAGTATGTAGAATGCAAACAAATACGAGATCTTCAGTTTGCAAAAGATACCAGGATGTCATACTGATTTGTGAAAAATCCAGAGAATGCATCAGACCAGTCTTCCTTGCGTACTGTTACCCACAATGCAAAGCAAAGAAATAATCAGACCAAACCACACAGACATACATCTTTTTTGATTCTCAAATCATGAAAATCGAAATGAATCACTTGTCAGCTTTTTCCAACTAAGTAAGTGGGTGCCACAGTTAGCAGCGTTTGCCTGCAGCTGGGCTTTTCTTTACTTCTGCATTCCAAAAAGGAAACCAGCTTAGTCGGGCCTAGCATACTGCAAAATAACCACAGACTAGCTCATACTACATACTACTGTCGAACGCAGTATGAGTTTGAAAGTAGTACGTAGTAGGCAGCTATTCAAAAATAGCCTATGATTACAACGGAGATTAGGGTGGTCGAAAGAACCAAATTTGTTGGTGTTAAAAGGTGGAGGATTTGGCCTGTCATGATGTACACAGGCCCGAGACCAACTTTTGCACATTTCCATTGTTATAGTTGTAATGGATATTGTACATGCTTTAAAATAAGCATCGTTTAGGGATCTGAAGTCTGTCTCATGGATATCCTTTGGGCCATTGTGGCATGTCTGTTTTTTCATTACATGTCCTGAATACTTCTGTACACATCTATAAATATATACAATTTTGACTTTTCCCTAGTTCGCAGCTTCTGGTGGAGAGGGTATGATCACAATCCTGAAAAGATCACTGTCTTCAATGACCTACAGCTCCCTTTGCTTACCAGACGACATCGCTGAGCGTGGGATGATATCTGTGCCCAACTACCACTACAGAGACGATGGACTCAAGCTTTGGGATATCATCCACAAGTAATGAACCGTTCACAATAAAAGATATATTTTCTTTTTCTTAAATCTGATCTCTAACATTCATCACCATTACTGCATTTTAAACGGTTTTGTTTTGTAATAATACTTAGGGGTCCAGGTTTGTTTTATTCCTGTAACTTCTGCCATGCAAAGCTAATGCCAGAAAAATGCATCTCCACAGTGCAAAAGTGTTTTACATATTAAAGAAACACACATGTGAATAGAGCCAAGCTCTATGGACTGTTTTGAAATGTTGTAGGCAGCTCTGCAGAGACCGGTCTCACCACCTTCAACAAATGATGTTTGGAAAGTCAAAGTGATAACCAACAAAACAAACAAGATTCCTCCAGAAAAAGGCAATAACTGGCAGCAGAAACAATGCTTAAAATAATAATAAGTAGTAATATTTAAATTCTCAACACTCTCAACAAACCTAGCCAATCCCTAGCCTTTAACAAATGGTAAAACAACTCTATCTTTGAGTCTTGGCTGTGGTTTCTAACATTTCATTGTATTTCATGCTTGTATGCAGGATTTCAACAGTAGCGTGCATCTCAGGAAGGATGCTAGGTCATACAGTATTGCAATTTTCTTTGTAATGTGAGTAGAGTGTTTCTAGGGGACGCCAAAGTACTGATAGAAAACTGTCAACTGTCGACCCTCATCAGCCAACAACCTGATTAGTTGCTCACAATGTTGCAGTTTAATTTCACCATAGTTCTACTTTTCTTAAAGGTTTGTGAAGGGAGTGCTTTGCCACTACTACAAAACCGACGCTGAGGTTCACCAGGACTCTGAACTGCAGAAGTGGATTCAGGACATTTTTGAACACGGATTCCTCTCCCAGTCGAGCACAGGTGTGGTTAAAGATGGTTTCTTACTGAGAAAATCCAAATTCTAAATCATTTACCATGCATTAAACATTTGTCAGACAAAAGGCTTCTTCTTAACTATCCTGTACATATTTAATGTTGCTGTTTATTGAATTTTCAGGAATCCCTCAAAGTTTTAGCTCAGTGGATGAATTGATCAAGTTTGTTGCCATGGTGATTTTCACTTGCTCAGGCCAGCACTCAGCTGTCAACTCTGGACAGGTACAACACTGTGTTATATTGTATATGCATAGTTCTAACGTTCCAACTCTTTTAACGTTTCTCCATAACTTGTTGTTTGCAGTATGACTATGGTGGCTGGATGCCCAACACTCCCATCACCCTGCAACGTGCTCCACCGACCACCAAGGGGACAACAAGCGAGGACACCATGCTGCAAACGCTCCCTGACGTCAACGTGACAGTTCAGGGAATGTCTACATTGTGGCTACTCAGCAAACAGTCCTCTGACTTTGTAAGTGAACAATATTTGACAAAAGCAAATACAACCATCAAGCTTATATTTGGAGTATAACTTGGCTCTGTTTTCAAAATTCAGTAATACTGAAAGTTTTGAAAGTTTTGAAAGTCGAAAAGAAACACACCATGACTGTTTTCGTATTAATGTCTGGTTCCTTATCTCGCTAACACATGCTACCTGTTCATCAGGTCGCTCTCGGACAATTCGCAGAGGATCATTTCTGTGAGGAGATTCCCTCCAAGCTCATCAAAGACTTTCAAGGACAACTTGAAATTCTAAGCACAGTTATCAAAACCAGAAACAAGAGTCTGGAAGTCCCATACACATACATGGACCCTGCACTGCTGGAAAACAGTGTGGCTATCTGAACACGGCAGTGAACATCCCCTTTTCTGACTTTTTTTATGGACATTTTGCTGATAAGGCATCTCTTTCATCCCTTAAGGGTTTGTGTCCTCATAAGGGGAATCCTAATTAGTCTTTAAACTGTATACTGATGACTTTTTATTGAAACTGTGATTGTATAAAGCTCATTTCAAACCTTCTCATGGCAACTTTGCCACTGGGCAAACTCATTTTTTAGCATTTGTATGCCAGACACAACTCAGGTAAGCTTTCCTCTGCATAAAAACAGCTGTGTTAACTGTGCATTACAACCATTTTAGCAACAGTTTAACTCATATAGTCTCTATTTTTTTCTTTCTTTGAAGCATCTGAACATATCAGGGACAAATCTCATAGCATATTTGCACTTGTTGACCCAACACTGCCAGGTGTGACTCTAACGCATCTCTCTTGATCTCGTTTCACCTTTTCTATTGCTCCATAATTTTGACAATGTTGCGCTTTTGTGTCAATCATTTATGCCCCTGTACTATCATGCAATTGTAATATAACTTTGGCAATAATAAAATGAGGTGATGGTAGATTATGCATTTCTGGAAACTTTTAATTGCACTTTGACTCACATATTGGCAGGTCTTCCAACATGTCCCTGGAGATGATCAAATTTAAAACCATGCTGCTTGCTTACAAAACAGCCACAAAAACAGTTGCTCCTTACCTAAACTCTAACATCCAGGTCTACACTCCCTTCTGCCCACTATGCTCTGCCAATGAAAAACATCTGATCCAACCTTCACAAAAGGGCCGTCAGTCCCCACATAGACTCTTATCCACTGTCGCCCCCCGGTGGTGGAATGAACTACCAAACTCGATTTAAACTGCAGAGTCTCTTTGCACCTTTAAGAAAAAGCTAAAGACCCAGCTCATTCATGAACACCTATGCACTTAATGATATTAATGATGACAATCATGATGATGGTTTTGTTTTATAATGATGAGGATGATATTTTGGATGGTTTTGATGCTGATTAGAACCTTCAAGAACAGCTGTTGAAATTGTGCGTCGTCTCTGTGCACTGCCAGTCAGCATCTGTGTGTCCAATCGGACTTTGCTCCTTAAATGCTGACTATTAAGATAAACCCCCTCCGTTTGAATCATCTGCTTCCCCCTGTTTAAATGAAGCTGAGACCACAGTGTCAACAGCAGTCTCTCGTCAAATCTAAACCCTCAGTATTTCACATTGGATCTCATTAACCCACGCATATCAACCCTGAGGAGCTTTCTGACTTTCTTCCAAAGACAAGCCTGATTCTTTCAGACTGCTATCCAGAGGGCATGTCTTACAAGTCTCTAACTGTGTTGTCTTTCAACTTCCAACTCTTTAGACTTTTCATTTATTTTTTCTTTAAGTAATTCTTTTGGTCTTTTTGCCTTTATTAGATAGGACAGCTGAAGAGAGACAGGAAATGTTGGAAGGAGAGAATGGGGGATGACATGCAGCAAAGGGCCGAGGTTGTATTTGAACCCACACCTGCTACAACATGGACAATAGCCTCCATACTGTACATGGGGCTCGCTACATCAGCGCTAGGCTATCAACACCCCATCCAATTCATTTCTGTATCATTTTTCTGTTTAGATCTTTTGAGAACATCACAAGGTCATCTGCTCTGACAGCTACCCTGTTGCGTTTGCCTATTTTGGAAGACGTCTTCTTCGAGTTACAAGTTATTGATGGCTCAAAAGTAAACTTAAATGAAATGAAATGTATTGTAAAATAAGATCTGAGGAGCTCTAAGTACAGGTTGCAGATTTTTTTTTAAACTTCTGCATTATGAGTCGAAACATAATTTTTCTCATTCAACAGTAATGGATTAATCTATGCACTAATAGATTCACATGTCAGTCATTCACTATACGTTCATCAATATATTTGCTGAAAAACAAACAAATATTTTAAAAGGGAGCTAGATACAGGGGGGAAGACTAATTAGAAAATATGCGGTAAAAGATGGACAGGAAGTTGGCAAATTGGCAAGAGAAATGATTCTTTGTGATTCAATGTCCTTCACATTTTTTTATATATATCACTGAGCACTTTCATATATTCAAATGGCAAACAGTAGGTCCAGACTCAATTAAGTAAAGCCGCTCGCTTTTCTTTCCAACAAATTGAGGTTTAAAGGAAACCCTCGTGTGTCCTTGTTTGCCTCGTTCTTATGCACCATGAAGGACAACAATCCCTCATGTTCCACTTCATCATTTATCTCCTGTTATGACATCCATTATAGTGCCATTAACCCTGATAGATTTCTTGTTACCTTGCAACAAGCATACAGGAGTGCAGGAAGGTCTTTCTCCTTCATTCAGACAGAGGTTTCATGCTTAATTCTACATAAACACAAAAGGATGTTTGATCGTTTTCTCTCTGACTTGTGTACATTTCTGAGAAATGAAAAGCCCTGATTTTTCCATCTTCTATACAAAAGACAATTGAGAGACTAGTAACAAAAACAAACAAAACAATTAAAACAAATACACACACTTGTGTTAGATATTGCCTCTGGCCCTTGGAAGCTCTCTCCGCGTTGGTGGTTTATCTTAATAAAAATACTTTTTGTTTGACCTTTTTGTTCCAAATATTTTGCCCTGAGGGAAAATTAAGATTTTTTTCACAGGTCAGTGAAAGGATGTGGAGAGACTACTCTAACATCACAAGGGCAGACTTTAACTGGGCAAACAAATATTTGATTCATTTTCTGTGTATTCTGTGCATGTGTGTGCGTGCATGCGTGCGTGCGTGTGTGTGCGCATGTGTGTGTGTGAGAGAGAGATAGAGAGAGAGAGTCATGGGGGCAGGAGAAAAAAAGGGACAATATCCATGGTTACTGCCCCTTTAGTCATCACAGTATTTTCGATTGGCTGGGATTATGAATTAAAACCACAAATCTTTGCCAAAGATGAACTTGTGGGGGCGCCGGTAGCCTAATGGTAAGTTTGCAAACCCCATGAACAGAGGCTGTGGTCCTCGAAGGGGGCGGGGCACATTCAATTCCGACCTGTGACTCCTTTCTTGCAAGTCATTCCACACTCGTTCTCTCCCTGATTTTCGATTCTATCCACTGTCCTGTCTCTCCATTAAAGGCAGAAAGAGCACAAAAATAAATCTTTAGAAAAAGTGGGGGCTTTATCTGAGGCTTTCAATAATTCAGTTTTATCACCTATTTGCCAGCTTTCAGACACTGTATCCTCCATGGCCACAGTATAAATAAAGACAATGTATCTTTGAAAGTCTGTGAGGAAGATGAAACAATGAATGAAAGCAGGCGTCCTTCTGCCTTTTACCTGTCTGCAGATTGGAAGTGGTTTGTGCTCCATCAGGTTGCATTTGTCGTCTGTAAAGGACATTTTCTCTCTTCCTTTTGAAAAATAAGTGTTATGTGCTGTGAAGTCCTCTGTGAACTCCATGGCAACATTTAATTTATCACAAAATAATTCCGTAACCCTAACCTAACTCCATAACCCTAACCCCTCAGCCCTAACCCTAAACCCAAATCCTTAGACCTAACCCTAACCCTAACTGAGGAAACCTAATCCTCTTACCCCAACCCAACAAACCTAACCCTGACTACATAACCCCAACCCTCTAAACTAAACTCTAATCCCCCTATCCCTTATCTTGAGCGCAGTGCACTAACCCTGATACCATTACAAAATAGTTGAGCCATGAGGACAGTAATTGTATCTTCTGCAACATTGTATAACGTGTTCATTATATCACAATGCATTTAATAGCATTTTTCTGCTAGTGAACATTGTGAACCTTCCCATGTTACTTTACTGAATGGTTGTCCTCTTTTGTTCCTGTTTCATTAGAGAGTTGCTGATAATAATGTACTCTTAACCTGCATGTGTTCATTTATACAGTGTACAGTGCACACAATATAACAATAGAGGGATCAACTCGTCAAATCATAGCTCGACAGCGCCACTCATAGTCAGAAACTCACCAGGATCCCTTTCAAATATATTTGAAGTCTTACTTTGGATTTTCTTTGTGCTTTTGTCAAATACCAGGATCAGGAACATACATTCATGCTTTGCTTCATATCATATCAGTCAAATGTATTTTATTTACATACTGGTCTGAATAAATCTGAATTTGGTGAATGCACCCCATGCATACAGAAACCCTCAATACTCCAGCCGATGCCCTTCTTTGTAACAGCATACACTATGTGTATGTGCACTGCAGATTACAGATGTAGCGTCATAACACATTAACATATATGGTTGTGCATTTTTAACACAAAGTTCCCACCTGTATACATGTTCTTTAATTCAAATGAAATTCTATTACCGTAAGACTTCTATTGATAGCCCAATATTTTTATTTACTTCAGTCTATGAAATGAGCCTGCCTTCATTTGAGGACAGCAGCCAATAAAAGACGGGCTTTTACTTATTTTTAAACAAAACTTGTACACATGAAAGATGGGAAAGATTAAAAAACTGTACATTTACACCAGAAAGAATATTGAACTGTGCAGACAGTTAGGATATCGATAAATAACGTTACAAATAAACTAAAATTACATTAATTTGATTTTGCTTTTTAAGACAGTATGCCAACCTGCTGCACGGCTGGTATGCACATTATTATTCCAAGGCATTATTCTGCCTTTCATGGATAGATCTGGAAGGTTATCTTTATCTATTTTTTTTGTGTCTTGCTGCTTTTTCTCCTTATTCTTGATCCGCAAACTAAATCACCACTAAATGCATTTGGGCCTCTATTTGAGACCTGCCTGTAGTTAACAAAACATGCAGCAGCACCAGGCTAGTAAAGGGGACTGGGCCTTAAATAGGGATGGGCTGTTATTTGAAGTTTTACGGTAATATTCATGATTGCGATTACATTACGAATAAACCACACAACAAATGGGATTGTAAATCTTTAGAGTATGTACACACAACTACATTTACAATAATACAATGTGTGAAGGCCTAAAAAGTTGTCAATATTGTCTTTGTAACAAACTGCACTTAGTATAACAAAGCCCACACTGTATAATAGAAAGTAAAAGCTGTCTTTGTAAGTGTGAAAAAATCAAACACTGATTCTGTTTGACATCTTTCAAGTATCTGAAACACATGAACGTGAGAGTTTCAACAACTTTTAAGCAATAAAAGATCCCGGTTTGAGGAAGAGTGAAGCGTTTTCAAACCCTTTCCTACCAAACAGATCTTTGAAATACTGTGACAACATGGCTATTTCAGTCAAAACCACGCCATATACGAGGGATGACATGGCAAAACAAATTACACCCAAATTAGAGGAATTACAACAAAAGCAAGTCAAAACTGTCTTTGACATTGAATTTACATTTTGTATCAGTTGGATTTTGATTCCAAAAAATCAACTCTGACAAATACTATTAAGGTTTAAAAAAAAAAAAAGTTTTACTCTGAAAGAAATATATACCTTCACTGATATTTTGCTGATTAAAATACTCACAAAATTCACCCTGGGCCACTTCTTCTAACATCAAGCAAAATTTAAAAAAAAGTGGCTTATGGTAAAATCAGACTGCTATATATGGGAACAATCCTCTCTGCAGGAAGAAATGAAGTGAGTGTGTGTCTCAGCGGTGAGGCTGGAGGGCTGCCGGGCTGTGTTAGGTGGAGCACATTTCCATTGTAAGTAGGTGCATGCAGGTTTTTTTGGAGAGTAACAAGGTGATGGAGTGAACAGGAGGTGGAGAAGACTGGGGGTGTGCTGCTGGGACCAGGCCATGATATTTGATTCAGTTTTTTTTTTTTTTAAATTCACGGTCGCTGTAGAAGGAGAAACCCACTGCTCTGCAGAGAGATCATTTTTGGGATATTGTTCGCACAATGGTGGGGATGAGCTGCAGAGAAAGGGTGGGTGGAGGCAGAGTGAGGGGTTGTCAAAATAGAGTCAATTCTCTTTGAGATGATTCTCCCTCAATTTTTTTTTTTTGTGTTGTTTGTTTCTGCCTGTCACTGTTCTGTCAGTCAGAGTCTCCTCAGATTGTGCTCCTCTGTGCAGGAGCCTTTCCTCAGAGTGATGTCGTCCACGGCCATCTCACCGATCCGGCCTCGCCCACGCTCCCCCTTCAGGATCACCTGGGGAACAGCAGCACACTGAGTTACTGAGAAAGAATAACCTACTACTTTGTGATGAAAGAGGAAGAACTGGATTTCTTCTCATAATAATATATCTTAAATGTTGCATGTTAAAACTTATGAAACACAGAATGTTGCACTGATTAAATTTTGATAAACAGACAAAATAAATCATTCTGCTCTCTAATGAGTGAAAAGGGCTAACCATGTAGAGTAGCAATGTAATTAAAAAAGAGATCAGTAGTGGTTTGTGAGGAACACTGGATACTTTTTCAATTAATGGCTACAAATGACTCCTGCAATATAATGTTAATAAATATCATAATGTTGGCCTAATGTGTGCAGCCTCTTGCAGGCCATTAAAAAAAAGGGTTGTATCTGGCCTACAGGCTGCTAATTAAATTTGCCTGACATAAACGGTTTGTAGAAATAATCATTTACAGTTCTCTCTTCATGCATGAAGTTTTTTTTTCGTTTCTTCTTGTACTTACACTTTCCAGGCCTGTGCCCCATAATGTGATCTGTGTGTGCCTCCAGCCGTTTCCACCCGTCCGGCCCCACACTGCAGGACTGTACTGCTTCCCCTTCTTCACAAACACTTGCAGCATGCCCACGTGGTGGCCTGCCAGCTTGTGCCGGAATGACAGGCACAGATTGCCGTCATTCCAGGGTGGGGTGAGTGGGAGGACCAGTCGGGCCCCTCGCCCTGTCCTCTTGTTGCCCACCTCGGGGATGGTTAGGTACCGTCCACCTGGGGAGGGAAGTGACAGATGTAACAGTTGATGAATGAAAATAAACCGTGCATTGAAATAACTGAATTGTCTTCTTGGTATAAGAATAAATATAGACCAAAAAAAATGTCACACCTTGCAGTAAGAATGCTGCAACTGTGTAGGTTGCATCACACATGTTGGCTGCCGCATCTTGTGTTAATGTATCATTTATAATCACTGATTATTTGACACTTATAACAGAAATAAATCTGTTTTTTTGTCTTTTTTGTTTTTTTTTACACTTTTGTTCTCCTGAAATGTATTTTGATTTGTCTTGTACAGTCTATGTAAAGTATGCTTAAAGGTGCACTATGTAGATAAGGTAGTGAAATTTGAAAGTTAAAGAAGTGAAACAATTCTATGCTATATTTTCTGAACTAAATACACAAACTTTATTCAAAGAAAAAAATGGGTCCATGGAACACTGTTTGGAGCTAAAAGGCTACCAGGAGAGTGACTGTTTCACTGTTGAGGACCCCACACCATAACTTGTCGTGTACCATTTTATCTTCAAACAGTGTTGCAGGGACCACTTTTTCCTCTGAGGACAGTTTGTGTATAGAGTTATGAACATAGATTTCTCCAACTTTCACAATTATCTACCAAAACTGCATAGTGCACCTTTAATTAAGATGACTTATAATCGACCCACAAAGTTTGAAACAGAATGAATTCAAACTAAGATGAATGGAAAATACACCACTCATAAATAAATCATTCATAAATTACATTTGGAATTTATAGAAAATTAGTTGACCCAGAAAATTAAACACAAAATAAATCTGAACATGTCCAATCATGCAGGTAGTTTTGGTTTCAATCACTGGGATTTGGGATTTTTTCTTGCATCCCCACAAGTTCTATAGGTGATGTCAGAATCAAAAAATATCATCTGAAATATTTATGGTCATCCTGAATCCCTGGTTTCCTTCAGATCATTGACAGACCTCACTATGACCCTCTTTTTTGTTTTTGTTTTGTGTGTCTCGAGATGGCAATTGTTATGATTTTGCGAAGTGCAAGATAAAATTGAATTGATAGACCCCTTTTTTATTGGCACTACTTTTTACCTAAAAAACACTCCCTACGCACATTGTAGATTGTCCTGTGTCTGCGGAACTTTGTTTCGAACAAGAAAAGTTGCCTACTTGCAAAAGCACGTTTTTTAAGCTGTGAAGCAAAAATGTTTCTCTTCTCACTTTATCATATTTGAATGTCAGCAATACCAAAAAGGAAGGCATCATCACCTTTAACTGCTTCAGTAAAAAAGTATTTTGGAAGAAAGTAAGAAAATTAATTTGTAAAAAAGAAGTTATGAAGAAAAATACTTTGAATTCTTGGCCATTCAAACACAGTCGCTTGCCAGTGGCAAAGGGATTTTTGCAAATTAATTCATGCATAAGTTAGCGTGATACAGTTTTAAAAATTTAAAGGTGAAACTGCCTCTGGGTAATAGCTGATTAATGCTGATGCATTTTGCTTATCCAGCAGATCTGTGTTAACCAAAGGGGGTGTTAGACAAATAATCTGTAGGCAACAGACGCTTTCTGCATTAGTTATGAGCCGCCTCCAAAGCTGTGCCAAAAGGAGGGTTTGCCAGTGGCAGTTTATCAAAAGAACTTACTGTGATAAACAGTAAATAGTTATATGCTTCCCAACACATTGAAGGCAGATTAAAAGTTGTGTAAATTTGGCCAAACTCAAATGTTCTGATTCACCACAGGCCACAGAAAATCCTTTTTTTTTTTTTTTGTCAGAGCTCAAGTTGTGATTTACTGGCAATCATTTTCTTGGGAATTTAAAAGTCTAAACATTTTCTTAAACGAGTGAGCAGAAACTTTGTTTAAAACCAGGCTGAATGTCTGGAAACACACTAGTCACTTGCAGAACTGAGCCAGTTGGCAGGAGAAGCCAGATATAGTTAACGTTGCTTAAACAGTGCCAGTCGTCTGCACTGTTTAGTCTTCACACTCCGTTAACTAAGCCCTCTCACCATAGCCCACCACATTCTCTCACTGTGCGAACCCCAAGAAAAACAGTGTTGTGTTCCCATTTAATGCGAGCCACAGGTATCACAGACGGGCCGCGTAGTCTGCTTCTCATTTGCATCGCTTTGTAGAGTGAGGCACTAATGTGCAGAAAAGACAGACTACTTCCCCCGAGGCGTTTTCATCTTGACCTGTAACTGAGTAGAACATAATTCAGCTGCTTTCATTGTCCGACTCAACGAATGTCTGTGTGTTTGTGTGTGTGTGTGTGTGTGTGTGTGTGTGTGTGTGTGCGTGTGTGTGCGTGCCGACAAAGGAATGCAGCTATTCTCATTTCCATTTTTCTGACGATTAAATAAACAATTTCGCCTGAGTGAACATAGTTGACCCCTGCCCTCAATTACCTGATGGATCAGGCGTCGTCTCCCAGTGAAGGTCTCCATCTTTGTCCCTGATCCAACCACAGAGACCATCATCAAAGGAGCAGCTCAGAAACCCAGACTCTTGAAGGGGAGGGAAATAAACACACTTTTCAGAGCAGAGACATGTTAAAAAGACTTCACTCTTCTGTGCGTATTGCTTCACAGGAGCCCTGCTTGTGGGCCTTGACACATTACCGGGAGCATGAGGACCCGTTGAAGCACCTCCTGATGATAAAATGAGAGAGTAAACATTTGTTCTCATCTCTAAGGAGAGCTGACACACAGAGGGGGAAATCAAGTGAGAGAAGAGCTGAGAGGAAATGCATTCATGTAAAAAAAAAAATGAAAAGAAAAATCACAAATATTTGCAGGAGCATTACTAATATCAGTGTGTGGGTTTACATCCACACATATAGACTACTGAATGATACCCTGCACCATAACAAAATACATTATAGTCACAACAGAGAGGCTTAATATTAAATGACTGATGATTTCCTTCCCAGTGATGCTACGCAGACAATAACATTAGGGGAATGCAGGCAAACTAGTCGCAGTTTCATCCATGCATTGCCGTACAAATTGGTTAGGAGATAAGAATAACATCCATCACTTTGTCTCTAAAATAGGGTTTCCTGAGAAAACTCTTCTCAGTTCATTTTCTGAGCCAATGAAATCACCCTCTCTCCTGACAGCGCAGAGCAAATGATGTGAACCAAAATAAACACCAAACTAAATCATTAGGCAATTTCATCTGCATACCACTGACATCAATAAATCACTTTGAGAAAGCATGACGAATAAAATGCTGTCATATTTCTATTAGTAGGACTTCTATATGGAGTTTTCTGGAGCTTTAGAATAGAGCACTGATGCTCCCAAAATGATCAATTAATCACTCAAGCAATCAAGAGAGCCTAATGTGAAAAGTGTAAAAGTCTCGCTGTTATTTCTGGGCTGGGAGCCATTATTTACACAGATTTGGCCAGATGTCACGCGTCACCTCCTGTTGAAAAGCCCATCAAAACACATCTGGTCACTAGAATATTTCCACCGCAGCAGTTACCGCTGATTGTCAGTTTTTATTTTGCTCGTAGCAAATGTGGCTCGTCCGTCAACATTTGAGCGCTGCAGTCTGCTTCACCAGCGAGGCGGCTGCTGATTGTCTCTGTCAAATGTGTTGTGTTTACCTGGGTCGTCCTTGGCTTCCTCCGCCGTGTTGCCCAGCTCAATGTCAAAGTCAATGCCGAGGACGGTGTTATGGCCGTGGTTCCTGGGGACTTTGGAGAGAGAGAGAGAGAGAGAGAGACAGGAGAGGGTTGTAAGATTAGATAAAGGATTAACAAAGCTTTTATATTCGCTCACCGGCATTGCTGCTTGTTACTGCTGTGAGGCTTTGTTCCGTTAATCTACAGCGACTGTACAAGGAGGAATCGATGCCACGGTTTAGTAGCCACAAAAACAATACACTTCATTGATGGAGACCAGAACACCTGGGAGAACCAGTGAAGACACCAGAGACAGCTTTCAACACATCTTTTAGAATGATCTGTCGTTAGGTCTGTATTCATTTTTCTTGTGATCTGATGCGAGTTTGACTTCACCTAAAATAAAGACTGGCTTGATGTAACAGCTTAATTTTTTTTGACAATATATCCCCCCCGGCTAACTCTGGCCCAAGACCCATGTTACCATGGTAACAACCCAGTAGTCCCAATGCTCTTGACCCTTCTGCCGTCCACCTTCAGTTAATCCCTGAAAAAAGAGGCAAATATTCACCATCCACCTTTAAGCTTTCCTGAGGCCCTTCTGCTATTTCCTGGCATTCTTCTTTTTAACTATACTTTCTTAATGTACTTTAAATTATTCTATTTTTTTATTATCCTGGAAGCAACACTTTTGTTTCACTCTTTGCTACATTTTCACTTTTAACTTCTAAATTTTTCCGAAAAGACAAACATTTTGTGCCAGTGTAACACAAAGTTGAGCGATGTGATTTGGTTACTCAGTCTGCCGTTCTTTCTACTTTCAAACAGTCTGATCAAATGTCATTTCTGCTGTATGCTCAAGCATTAGACTGCTTGAGCATACAGATCAACGTAGACATCATCAGATATGTGAATCATAAAAAGGATAAGGGCGTCTGTTCATCTGATGCAACATATGGGAAAATGTTGCTGCACACCACTTGGAGCTACAGCGCATACACACAAACACACACATACAGTACACAGCCAGTCCTGAAATAGCCTCTTTCCTTCTCCAGTGAGGTCACACGGCCCGAAATACCAAAAGCCAAGCTGTCTTATTAAAGGTCAACAGACATGTGAAGCATTGAAAGATGTTTCTTTAACTTTAACCATAACCTCCTTTTGAAGAGGAAGAGGCTTTGACCCTTTTCTCCATGAAAATAAAAAACGCCCTTTACTGGCCTTTATTCAACATTTGAATTTAGGTATTTTTTCATTCCCCTTTATAAACAAGCCAGATAAATTTGAAGAGACAAAATATCAGGAAAACTGTTCTAGTTTTCTAGGCAGGATTTTGCTCCACTGCTATATCTTTTAACCTGCACTTGAACTGTCAGCCCCAAGAATACCAGACGTGAGCCCCCTCGAGCCCGCCTGAGAACTTAAAAGGGCCGATTTCATGAGGGGTCACAACCACCTGGCAGTGTGCGATGTAGTCTGACAGTCGAAGGAATTTAAAAGTGAGATGGTCACACTCACGCCAGGCTCTCCAGCAATCCTAGGCATCCACGTCTGTGTGTGGGAATCTGTGCTCACCAAGAAACAAGGCCACCCGGAGTTCTTGTTGTAGGGATGATATTTAAAGCGCAAATTTTTTGATACACCAATTAAAGGATCAATATTTTAAACAGAGACGCTGTGAGCTAAAAAAAAAAAAGCTTAATTCCACCCTTCTTATAAGATTGTAATACTTCCCAGCTAATTAAATACAAAGTTTGCTCTGTGTTTAAGGGTTAGTTTAAAAAATATATTTTTTTCAGGGGTTTTTTGGACTTCATTAGACAGGACACTTTTAGAGAGGCAGGTTAATCTGGGAAAAGAGAGTTGGAGACGATAGGATCGGGAGTCAAACGTGTGACGAGGTCTGTGGCCGCTGTATATGATAAATGGACTTGAGACAAGTGCTTTTACACCGCATGTCACACCTACACATTCATACTCATTTACATACTGATGGCAGTGGTTGCTATGTAGTGAGACCATCAGAAATAACTAATGTCTTGCATTCATACGCCACTGCTGGCGAAGCAGTGGAAGCAACTTGGGGTTAAGTGTCGCATGTAGCTGCAGGAGCTGGGGATCCAACCATCAACCTTCTGGTTGAGAGACGACAACTCTACCAACTGAGCCCCAAAAATTGGCAATCGCTCCACAAGGCTGAATCGTTGTTAGATATAATCGGTGAGTTTAGCCAATCCAAACACCAAACAGTGAGGTTATCATAGTTGTATCAGAGTTGTCGAATAATCTTTTGTCAGTTTCACAATGAATTTATAGAAGGATACAAGAAGCCCTTTAAATACACAGAGGAAGATCTCTAAACATTGGAGGTCAACATTATTGTATTCCACCTGTTTAAACTATTGTAAATACAGATTTATAAAACTTAACAGTCATTGGTTTTTAGGGACACGATACAAATATGTCAGCGGTTTCCATGTGACTCACTTCAGTAGAAAGTAGTTCAAATGAAAACTTTTTCAGGCAACGTCAAAGAATCACTCGGAGCCACTGAGTCTGTTTCTGCAAAGCTTTACAGAAGTTTTCCTTTAATGCTTTAAGAACCAGAAATACATCCACCTTTATTATCTCAGGGGAAAACTCTCAGACGTCTCAAAACCTGTGCTATGTCAAACACTCAATTCCAAATGTTCGTCCTTGTTTGTAAGCTTAGTTGATTTGATCCAAATATTCAATAACGGTCAGTAACATTTGCTCAAAGGGGATTTCTAATGTGTTACCAATGTGTTGTGCAGTAACTCGTATTCTAAGACACTAACTTTTCTTTGTTGTTTTTCTGGTAAATCATTAAATTCCTGTTACTGTTTGTTTAAAAAAAAAAACCTTGACTCTCTATGCTAGACACATTCAAAGGATGTTGAAAACATTTTATTAGCATCAGAGGTTTGAGTGTTTTCTCATCTTACAGACGAGACACACGTTTCATTTTGGGAAGAGTGCTTTTTCTCTCTCACAGAGAACATTGATACCACTCTAATGTGTGTGCCTTAAGAGCTGAGAATGTGGAGGCATTTATCTTACTGGAAACAGATGTAAACACCTGTTCTGCACTGGAGTTTGACAATCTGACCACTGGGGCCTCTAAAACGTACTACTCAGCATCTTGTCTTTATTCTGTGAACATAAATGTAATCACAACAAATATTGTTAGACATAAAGATGTTTGGTGTATTTGTTGTTTGGCTGAGAGCAGTCACTTAATGGAGTTTTAGCCTTGCAACCAATCGAGATGCTGCACAGGTAGACAATCTGATGTTTGCGAAGATATTGTTTGTTTATTACCTCTATATGAAGCTCATACTTTCACTTTTAGGATTGTGTTGCTAAAAGAACTGAACACATGGTACTTATCAGTGAGCTTATGATGTGTTGTGAGAATTTTTTTGCCAATTTCCTGCCTTTTTATGCTAAACTTACAGCTAAGCTCACCAACTCATGAACTTTAAGCTAAGACCAACTCAGTCTTTTTAGGTCTTCTTTTCCTAACTATTCCTAACTCTAAAAATAGAACTATTTGTAGTATCAGGGTTTCACTGGACACAGATGTTATACCCTAATCCAGACCGAAGTGAATTGCTCACACTTCAGGGCACACCTGCACCTGCGGCACAGCTGAGGAGTTCTTCATGCCGTGAGGCGTTTATTCAAATGATTCCTATTTCCGTCTAATTATTTGAATAATCACTCAGCGGTGTCTCAACTCCCTCCCGCTCTCATCTTTTTCAGACTCTCTTCTGGAAGCTCTGATTTGTACAACTACTCAGCTGCGGAGTGAACTATTAGATTGATGTCTCCCTCAAGCAGTGCAGACAGGTGTTAATGTAATCCTCTCTTCCCTCTTTCCTTTTTCTAATTATGTGGTGCCATCTGGCAAGGTGAGTACTTTCCTGTACTTTTCTGTAGCATCATACCACACATTACGCTGTCAAAAGAGCTTAATGTTAGTGTGGGTAAACAATCATTTTTGCTGTGCCTACAAGTGAGCATTACAAGAAAATATGAGCAGCAGAACACTTAACCACGAACATTTTTGGGCGATAAAATACTGTTAGTGCATCTGGACTTAACAGTCCATTAAGACCCAACTTATGTTTTCTTTTTAAATGGCTGTGATGCAGAAAGAAAATAACATCAAATATATGTGTACAGACTGAAATGCCCTGTGATTTGCACCGCACTTTGTTTCTGTATTTCGAGGTGAAACAATGTATAAACATAGTCAGATGCTTAATTACAGTGTGAGATAAAACAGACTTCTGTTATTGCAAATAAGTCAGGTATGACAAAGTTTTGCAAGTTAACTGATAGGCTTTGAGGTGATGCTGCCGTCGTGTTTTGCAGCAGTGTAAACAGCTTGACCTGCTATAATATTAACTGAGTGAGTCTGCAGAGTATTTTCAAAGTGTGATAAGGAATTACAGTGTAAGCAGACATGATAATTGCATTGGGTTTTAGTAAGCAAGAGTGGTATGCACTCACGCCATTCCCCAAGATGTATGACGTTATTCAGCCCTGCTCACTGATATGTTTCAGTTACTAGAAATTGAGTTAATTATCAAACCCATAGATGCATGGAAACACCTTTTTGTGTCACTTGGATGAACATGAATTATATATTTTGATTTTTAGCAATTAAAAAAAAGGGTAACACTTTACAATCAGGTACACACATTTTGTATAGTAAGTGGGAAACAAATGGAAAACTAACCATGAGGTAACCATGAGGTAACCACTAAGTAACAACTAAGTAACCATTAGGTAACCATTAGGTAACCACTTAGTAACCACTAAGTAACCATGAGGTAACCACTAAGTAACCATTAGGTAACCATTAGGTAACCACTTAGTAACCACTAAGTAACCGTTAGGTAACCACTAAGTAACAACTAAGTAACAACTAAGTAACCATTAGGTAACCACTAAGTAACCATTAGGTAACCACTAAGTAACCACTAAGTAACCATTAGGTAACCACTAAGTAACCATTAGGTAACCACTAAGTAACCACTAAGTAACCATTAGGTAACCACTAAGTCACAACTTAGTAACCATTAGGTAACCACTAAGTAACAGTTAGGTAACCACTAAGTAACAACTAAATAACCATTAGGTAACCACTAAGTAACCACTAAGTAACAGTTAGGTAACCACTAAGTAACAACTAAATAACCATTAGGTAACCACTAAGTAACCACTAAGTAACAGTTAGGTAACCACTAAGTAACAACTAAATAACCATTAGGTAACCACTAAGTAACCACTAAGTAACAGTTAGGTAACCACTAAGTAACAACTAAATAACCATTAGGTAACCACTAAGTAACCATTAGGTAAACACTAAGTAACAGTTAGGTAACCACTAAGTAACAACTAAATAACCATTAGGTAACCACTAAATAACCATTAGGTAACCACTAAGTAACAACTAAATAACCATTAGGTAACCACTAAGTAACAACTAAATAACCATTAGGTAACCACTAAGTAACCATTAGGTAAACACTACGTAACTACATTTTATCACAACCACAGGTCAGTTAAAGCCATAATTCTTTATGAATAATTTTGCTATAAACCCTTGTTTTGTGAAGCCAGGCAGATTATTTGGGTTTGTTATCACTCTGAAGCATCTGTCCAAAAGTGCGACTCACTGTTGGGTTCATGATGGTTTTTGAACAATGATAGAGGTTTATAGCGTAGAGGAATTAGCCATATATCAGGCTTTGGATACACAGACAGTACTTATAGATCAACTCATTGTTGGTTTTGCTCTTTTCATTTGATTCTATAAAAAAAACAGAAAATGTAGAATCCCTGCCAGCATCATCCTTTACATGCTGGGAAAAAAATGTGTGTTAAGCTGTAGACAAAACATCCATTAAATCAGAGTGATTTTGGCCCTGAACTGAACGTTTCAGGCTTAAGGAGTCACATGTCACAGGGATTTTCTCATTAAGAAACAATTCAGCGTTATGAAACAGTGCATGCATCTAACACTGTGAGAAGAAAGCAGCAGATGATTGCAGCGATTACCGTCTTTGTTGGAGCAAGACGAAACAATCTGAGTCACGTCTCGCTGCTACAGTATTTTAAATTCAATCCTATTATTTGTTCTTTTTTTTGATGGAGAGCGTCAAACTCAAACAAAGACTGGTGATGCATTTGGAGTAGTAATTGGTGTCAAAGAAAGATGCTTGGCAGAAAGCGCAGTGTGACATGTGGATAAACAAGAGTCTGGCAGGGGACGTATTTGTGTTTGTTAACAAAAGCCAAACAGATAATTACCTAAAAATGAAAATATTCTTACTTTGATGTCAGGCTTGATAAGGCTGTTTGTGAGATTTAATAGTATTTTTTAAAAATGAAGAGAATAATTTATTTACAATCTAGTTTTATACTGTGATATAAGGCTAAGATAGCTTGATTTACACATTTAAAACTTTGATCATTTTATAAGAAAACTACCTGAGGGGCTTCTATCTAATCTCTATTTGAGTGCATCCTTTCTTTGCTAATAAACACTAAAAACAATCTTTACATTTCGTCCCAAATGTTCAGCATGAAATCTGTCAGGTGTGAAGCTGGCTGAAAAACTGTGTACACAGGGGAACCGTCTGCCAACTGCTCACATAGTTTACACCCACATACTGATGTGTTTGAATACAAAATGAAAACGATAACACACATCATCTGTCAGGTAAACAGGCGTTCTGATTTCCCAGGATGTGACATGTTTCACAACAAACACATAGTCTCAGGATTCAGATCAAGAAATATGCAAAGTGGTTCTAATTTGGTTTGGGGGAACATGTCATGGAGCTGATGAAGAGATAATGAGAGAGATAAATAATTGTCTTTTAATTATAAAGTTTGGGGAAAAAGCACAAAAAGTGCTGACAAAGCAGTGCAACCTGGGAGCAGCAGGTTTTTTATGTGTTAGTCACAAACTACTCCAAACTAATTGACTGTAGCGGGATAAATAAAGTAGCTTGATTGATTGATTGACTTCACTATCCCAAATAAAAAATGCAGGGATTAAAAACCTGCTGATAAAACATGTCATGGGCTTTTCTGCAGCTGCTAAAGCTGCTCTTATACATTATGTATACAATTCATAAATGTAATTTGAGGTGTGAATGTTAATTATAGGCCCACAACATATAATCACATTTTTGTATGTCTCTGCTATTTGGAGCCTTTTAGCATTTTCAGCTTCCTGTTTTGGTTCCTTTTAATTGTTTAATTTTTACAAAAGCAGGAACTGTTTTCAGTGTAATTGCGTAGTGTATTCTTTGACATATATTCTTCTGGTTCATATCAACTGTTAAACAGTGCAATATTCTTTATTCACTGTGCTACATACACTGTTACCTCTAAGTGTTGTCTATATAACTGTTTTTACTGTGCGTGAGTGTAGTTCACTTTAAGGTGAAAGCATTTCTTAATCTCGTTGTATTCTATTCCAAACACAGTGTTCAGAACCTGCTTTACACCAAACAACAGTCAGTCAAAGTTAACAAACGATTTAGCAGCTTAAGAGTCAGAAATCTTAAGCCAGGCTTAAAGAACAGTGAAAACAAGATTTTCCTTTTCAAGTGGCCAAAAATGAAACTTTGAATACATTTTTAATGTTGCTGTTAATCTTCTGGTTTTGTAGATATGGTAAAGTAACTTGTGCTTGTATAGCGCTTTTCCAGTCTTCTGATTACTCAAAGCGCTTTTACACAGCATGTCACACCTACCCATTCACACATTGATGGCAGAGGCTGCTATGTAAAGTGACCATCAGAAGTAACTAATCCCACATCGGACATGTTGCTGCAGTAGCTGGGGTTCGAACCCGCAACCTCTACCAACTGAGCCACAGCTGCCCCGATATGCCACTGACCTATAAACACGTTGAACATGAAAACCTTCTGGCATTATATTTAATTTTGAAAGCCCTAAAGATATCAGCTGTGTTGTATATATCACAATTGAAAAAAAGAGCTCGTTCTTACTGTGGACATCTCCTCTCTGTTTGGTGACCTCCTTCTGGATGCTGTTGTCCACTGTTGTGACCGGGGGTGGTGGTGGTGGGGGGAGTCTGGTGGGAGGTGCTGGCCTCAGTGGGATGATGGGCTTGCGTGTCGGAGCTGGTGGCTTCCTGGTCGGGATAAAGGGCTTCTTGGTGGGAACTGCTGGCTTTGGAGTTATCCTCTTTGGAGGAAGAGGAGCTTTGGTCTTTGGTTTGGCTGTTGTTGTTGTTGTCGTTGTCGTCGTTGTTGTAGCGGGTGTGGATTTGGGAATAACTGGGAAGATTCTCCTTTGAGTGACTGGCGGGCGGAGGGTGGTGGTAGTCCTCCTCTGATCCATATCAGGGATGTGGTTGTGATGATTTGGAGGGAGTTTGCCTGGTCTCGGGGGGTCAATAACCACCTTAGGAATGGCTGAAATAATAAGAGAACGCAGATGGAGCACTGAAATATGAGCACTTTAGAGTTAATGAGGCATAGAATTGCAAACTAACTGCAATGATTGGGCTGACTTTTGCAGAGGAGGGCTTTCTTTCATCTACTGAGACTTCTGATACCTATTAGCTAAATGTTAGCGTTCTAACACAAATTGGGTGTCTCAAATGTAAATGAAGCAAAAGCTCAAAATCATAAGAGAGGCCTCTAAAATAAGCAGGCTCATATTCATTCATATAGAGAACCTTTTATGTGCATCTTGGACATATTATACTCAATGGGAGTGTGAAAAGGGAGAAAGAGGGCTGTTTTTTTTTTGGTTACAAGACATGAATGTTTGCTTTTGTGCAATCAATATTGGTTGACTGAGGTTTTCTATCTATCCCTGTGTGCGCCCTGATTAGCAATTCTTTGTGTGCACACAGCCAGAGGCCTCACAGCATTGAGCTAAAGCTCCTCTGTGTGTGTATTTGTGCTTGTTGTGTATGTGTCGAATGATCTCTGCGTTCAAACAGGCCGCTGTGCCCCGGAGATCACCCTCACCCTGCTGATGTCATCAAAGCTACACCTCCTCCTCCTTTGTTCCTTTGCACATTCTTCACGTCAGGAGCCGAGACGGAGATGTTGGTGGGGGGGTGATGTTGTGTTGGAGGTATTGGATTGGGGGAGGCTTCATGAGGTTTTCATAAAACTGGACAAAGCCAAGTGGTTTGAACTCTGTTATTTTCGTCTCAAGTTGCAGGCGACTTTGATATGTGACGCACAGATAGGATATTGCAACACCAGAGTACTCCCTGGGGCGGGCAACATGGTGAAGTATATGAAGCACATATCACCTCTAGGCTCCTTCTCTGCTCTGTGGACTCTTAAAGCTGTTGTGTCTGTGAAATGATTAAATAACTATGGAGAATAAATGACTTCTCGTCTACTGACCTGCTGTAAAAACTGCAGACGCACAGACAAATCAACTTCTGTGTCGGCAGGAAAAATAAGACAAACTACCACTAGAGGAAATATTTCACATTAGATGATGACTCGTCTATTTTGGCTGATTAAAATGGGCTAAATGTAAAAAATGGACGCAAGGCTCACTCCAGGCCCATGTGATAAGGTAGCTGGGTGATTTAAGTAATGACTGACAGCCATTACAAAGAGAGGAATTTCAAACTTACAAAGCTATTCCTCCCTCTCTTTTGCTTTCCAACCCTTTTTTTCAAAAACACAGCAAAAGAAAACAAAAAAGTGAGGCCCCGTTCCTCTTACGTCTGCAGTCGTGGCCCATCCCCCTGTAGCCGTCTTTGCATTTGCACTTGTACGAGCCCGGCGTGTTGTAGCAGGTGGCGAAGCTGCTGCAGTGGCTCTGACCTAAGGAGCATTCATCCACATCTGAAGGATAATGGAGACATAAAAGCAATCAGCGACAAATTGCAAAGGTTAAAAAAACTTCAGACATTACATCAGAGTATCAAAGGCTAATTGCACAACCACTTCACAGGAGCTCAAAGTTTATCTCAACTGTTTGAGACAGTTTGAGACAGTTTGAAGTGAAGAAAGATCTGTTTTTGAGTGGAATACCAAAATGATTATGAGAATTTCTTGGTAAAAATGATGTTGAGATAATGCTTAAAGGTCCTGATATGACCCAGAAAAGTAGCACTGCTCAAGTATACGCTCAAAACATGATTTTTTAAAACATGGAAACCCAAATGTTTGTGTGTTTTTACTGTACGCTGCTAAGACTGAGGCAACTTTATGGATTTGGGCAGAAAAAAAGAAAAAGATGGCAGGTCAAGGTCAAATCATTTTAACCTGTCTTATATTTTCCTGGATTGGTTGATCTATTACTGCCTTATAAATCAGAACCTGACCATACATGTTTTATTTGAAATCTCAATCTGCTATAAATTACAGTTTCTTATCTTACTGTTTTTATGTAGTTAGTTTGGATTCCGGATGTTTTTAATCTACAGCTTCAAGAAACGTAAAAGTTGAAACTTTTTATCTGAAAAAATTCAAACGTTTAAGTATTAAGTATTCAAAATCTATATGACTGAACTCAAAACTAGCGTAGGGAATTTACGTTCAAAACTTTTTCTTTTTTTTCCATATTTATAGAAATTATTGTTTTTTTTAAATATCCAAAAAGTCAGCATAAACATGAAAAAAGCAGCATCTGTGGCTGACAGAGCCCATTCAACCCTGACTTTGAGCAAAGCACTCAAGTCAATGTACTTGAGTGCATGTTTTAGCTGAGATTACATTTAAAAGACGCAAATAAAAAGATGGATTTTTGTACCAAATATGATATGATCTTGTTTATTTTGTGCTAAAGCATGTTCAGATTATTCACATATGGATGGAATATGCTTTAGCACAGGATGAGGACTTTAACAGCGACCTCAGTCTTGACATGATTAGATTGAAACTTTCTTTTAAATGTAGTTTTCATAGACAAAAGCCAGGGATATTTTTTTTTTGGGGGGGGGACACATAAAATTAGGTGTTTATCAGATTCTAAACTGTGAAGTAAAAAGAGGACAGATCACTGATTGGTTGGAGAGAATCATTAAGCACAAAACACTACACACATAGAAGCCTGATTGTCATTGTGTAGTTTGTTACGCCGTCGATGGTGGCAACTTTGAAAATAAAAGATTAAAAGATCTGAGATGTATATACAGCTAACGCAAACCAACTTGACACCACTGCTAATTAAATGTAAACAGCTAAAGTTCACTTGAGCATATTAAATTATACATAGTTCCTGACAGGATTTGTGTGATATTGAGGACCAAAAACATGACCTACAGAGAGCAGGATGTCCCTGAATGTGAGTGTGTAGAGTTGAATTGAACAAATGTAGTTATTTGTGGAAAAATCTTTTCTCCATGGAAAGTGCATTATGTGGGTGGTATGATGAACAGTCGGAACAATTACAGCAATCCAAAATAGTTTCACTGCATATGTGGGCACTGGACTATTGTTCTGAGAAAGACTTGTGTCATTTCAACCTCCCCTTTAATGTAATTAACAAATGTCGTTTCATGTGTTTTATTTTGTGCCAATTTAAGCAGTACAATGTAGAGGCAGCCTTTCTTTTCACTTTGGCCTATACAAAGAACAAAGAGGTAGAAGGAGGAAAAACATATAAACCTGCCCTTTGTACAGTCATTTCAAGCTTCCTCAGTGTCTAACGTAGATAAACCACATGCATCAGTAAAAATAACTTGGTAATAATTCAAACCATCTAAGCACTTGTGTGACCTTTGCAGGGTTTATCTTTTAAAGCCTCCCTGCAGAGACCTGTTGACAGTACCTATGCACTGATATTTCCCGTTGATGTATTGCAGGTCGAAGCCTTCGTGGCACTTGCAGATGTAGCTACCAAATGTGTTGATGCATTTTCTAAACCTGGGACACACGGCTATTCCTGCTGCACACTCGTCAACATCTGCAAAGAAGATAAAAAAAAAACCAGGTTATTATGACTCAAAAAGAAAGTAATCAAATTAAAGGTAATATATTCATTTTTCACTATACTTTTGGTTTAGAGTTGGATACGTACGCTGTTTAATGCATTCAAAATGAAAAACTCCAAGGTCAAAAGAGATAATTAAATCCAAAAGTAAACAAACGTTTCTATTCAGACTGGGCGACTTTTTCACCTCCCAGTTAGTATTCATTTATGAACAAAGCACATTCTGTATTCTGTTCAGTGAGCACAATACAATGCACACTAGCTCGTTCCATTATTTAAGGAACTATTCCAAGAGTCTCTGATGTGTTGATCACCTTTGCCGGCATGTGGCCATTAATATGTAGACGCAGAGTTGCTCAAAGCGTTCGCCAAAAAATCATTAATTTATCCGCTGAATAATGCAGCGGAGACACTGCAGTGCTGTAGGGACTGTTGTTTTAAAAGGGTCTTATAAAACACAAACGCACCTGGACCACCTGGGAGAACAAGCACATGAATTAAACGGACAGAGCTGCCTCATGAGTCCTTGTCGACTGCCGAGGTTCTCATCAGCAAGGCACTGTAACCTAAACCGCTGCAGTGAGGCTAATGCTAACAGCTAAATAATTCAGATACTGCCTGAGCAGTGGTGAATTATTATGATGACTGTCACTGTGCCTGTAAACAACATTTAATAATGTCTGCTTGTTTAATAAATGTGAACATCTGGCTTTACAAACAACCCAGACCTTTCTTTCAAAGCAACAAATATTTTATTTATGCATAAGTCAACAAGTCGGATATATTTAGAAATGTCTGTGCGAGTCAGTATTGAAATATCAGTCTGATACTCTCTTTGCAACGATGCAAATCATTAATGCACTTTGTCAGTGTTGCAGTTTCAATGCTTCAGGATGATCAGACATCTCTCCTGAGAGACTGCTAGCCTGATCTATTATAAATACAATTTACCAAAGGTTTGACATTGAAGTTTAAAACATGGAGGCTTCTGTATCTGAACAGCATTAAGTTACATTTTGGACATCAGTGAAACAAAAGGTCTGTTCAGGGTCTACAAGGAGGTGTAAAGACGTTAGGTGGGCCACAGTGCATAAACAGAGGTGAGTGCAGACCTGTTGTGGAATGACTTTGCTCAGTCTTATCAGTCAGCATCACAGGATATTTGGAGGATATTAGAAAAGGATGTGAGACGGCTTGCACACAACACAAGGAAAGCTGATAGTGATCAGCGTGTCTGCACTTTCTTTGTCAATGTGAATTATCTGAAATTCATTTCTGCTACGTCTTCCTTTTACATTTCTGGTAATTGCCTTTTATTATTACAGTCCTAGCAATAACCTTCTTCATATATAATAAAACATGAAATGTATGCATGTAGGTATTCAACAAACATTAATATTGTGAAGGAAATTAAAGTTTTGCATGCAAGATAAAACTGAGTAATGAAGGAATTGAAGATGAAGGGTAAAATCCTTGTTTCTGATTGGCTGCTCAGTATGCCTCAGCTGGACTTTTCTGTAAGTCTGTGTAAGTTTCATGACAAAGCTTCTTATTCTTCACACCTTGCAAAGTACTTACCACTAAGCAGGATCTTGAACCCACTTCCTGTAAGTTTGATAAATATGGGCCCTGGCTACTTTTACAACTAAAGTGTGTCAACACATTTGATTCCCCAGCTTCATTATTTGTAAAAAAAAAAAAAAAAAACAGCTCAACATCTGTGTAAACTCTCCCATCTAAGTCTCTGTTTCCAAGAAAGGATCGCCTCCATAAATATGATGAGATACTCTTAATAAATATGACTCGCCGTAAAACAAAGTGTCACAGAAACATCCGGAGACTTTCCAGGAAACTGTTGGAACACCTGTGGCAAGGCAACCTCTCCTACCCCTCCTCCTTCAGTGTTCATGATTGATGCCTGTCCTTGCTTCTGAAACCCGCCTCCCCATTATCAAGCCTGCACTTAAGTGGGACAACAAGGCAGTGTGGGACAGTCCAGGTCGGAACAGCCTGCGTTTAAACCTGACACAGGTTAACTACCTCAACCTTCCCCCTTCATCTGCAAGCTGCCCATCTGAGGAGCTGCACTGTGGAATGAAAGAAGGAGGGGGGGGGGGGGGACCGCTCCTCTTTTTATTTGTGTTCTGTTGTAACAGCTGCAAGAAGTTAGCAGAATAAAGTCACACCATTTGGTGGACAAGACTGTTTAATTACTCTGATTTTCCATCAAAGAGAAAGATGACGCGTTGGTAAATAAATCTGACGAATTACAGCTTTACTTTCTAAGTGGTTTTTTGTCTGAGTTCCCGAGTTGCATTTTCCCTGCCAGCTTTTCTTTCTTATTCTGCCAAAGCAGTTGAATCAGATTATCAATCAGCTTGAAAAGGAAGCATAATTAAAAAATAATAATAATAACACGGCCATGTTTGTGACTTTTCATTAGTTTGTCATGGAACTGTGTGCACAAATAAGGCTCGGTTTCCATGGCGTATACAATACGTGGATTTAAAAAGATTAGGACTTACCCACACAGGTTCTTCCATCCGGAGCCAGCTGCAGCCCCGGCGTCGGACACTGACATCGGACCTCTCCTTTTAACACCTCGCAGCCGTACTGGCAGTTGGCCATGCCACAAGTGCGAGCATCTGATGGCCACATGGGAAACACATCACTTATTAACAAAGGACAGAGAAGAGGCAACAGATTATGTAGCTCTCACACATCCACACTCACACTTTTCAAGCTATTATCCTCCGGCCAGCTAGAGAGTGTGTGTGTGTGTGTGTGTGTGTGTGTGTGTGTGTGTGTGTGTGTGTGTGTGTGTGTGTGTGTGTGTGAGAGAGAGAGCGGGACCACTCGGCTGCATTTTCTGATATTGGCCGATTTGACCCTGAGGTGCAGACAGTGGAGTAGCACACACTCTACCATTATTAGATTCTCTCTGCTCACACCTTAGCACATGCAATCCTCCCTCACCCACTTTCATCCTCTCCTACAACTACACACTCATAATCCCCCTCCTCCCTTTAAGCGTGCAGCCCCTCTGTTGTTGAACTGTGACGGGCGAATCAAGCCCCTCCAAAATAATAATATAAAGGAACAGATTTTGTTCAGCCACACTCAATAACGTTGGACCCTAAAAAAGGAAATTAAAAGTGAGGTTCATGCTGCTGCTGCTGCTACTTCAGGCACCCTGGAGTACAGTTTGATGACTGAGGCAGGACGGGCTGATTAAATGCTACAGTGATCTATCGATCAAAGCACAGGCTGGGGATAAAAAAAAAGAGCAAAAAAAAAAAGAGCAGTAAGGTGTTTAACACTATCATGCTATCATCACACAACAACAGCAAGACCAGTGTGAGATGGCCTGAAGTGGTGAGCACTTCAGAACGAGGGGGAAATGATAAAAAGAACAAATGAAAACGATTTAAAGAGTCACGCCACCCTCAAGTAAAAAAAAAAAAAAAAACAGTCATCAGGTGGGAAACAAAATTTACAAGGAGACATGTGCAGGCATTAATTCTCATTTTGTGGGACACCTCAGGGCAACCAATGAGAATTACACATTCACTGGAGGGTCTAAAGATTGTGTTTCTTTCACATTTTTCATTTAAAGGCCTCTTCACGGGGACTCTTCAGACTGTAGAGCTGCTGTAATGAAGCAAATCAACACAGGGCTTTAATCAAAACCGTCTATCAAAGCAGTGTGAGGCTGCTGTGAGACGCACATGAGGGAACACGTGTCTTATATTAGAAAGCAAATGTCATGAGCACTGCTTTGTGCAGAGATTCAGATGAATATACATGGAGGGAAGCCTTTTCAGGCTACAATGTAGAATAGAGGTAATAAGGAAAAGGAAGAGATGAAGGAGAAAGTAGCACTAAACAAGGAAAATATTCACATTGCAGGCAACAAGAGTGTGTACCAACATAGAGAAGTGTGTGTGTGTGTGTGTGTGTGTGTGTGTGTGTGTGTGTGTGTGTGTGTGTGTGTTTGAGAGACAGACTCACTTCCACAGGTCCCGTCAGGCATCAGCATGTAGCCGTTGAGGCAGTAGCACTTGTAACTCCCATATGTGTTCATGCACCTGTGTTTACAAGGCCGAGGCTTCAGCCCACACTCATTCAGGTCTGCAGACACAGAGAGAGAGAGAGAGAGAGAGAGAGAGAGAGAGAGAGAGAGAGAGAGAGAGAAGAGGGAAACAGAGAGAGACAGCATAAGTGGACTGGAGGAGAGACAGAGAGAGATACTAGAGACCCTGCTGGAATAAGTCAGAGGGCAAATGTGAAGAGGTCAATCATGCCAAACCTCACCTATCCATTTGCGAGTGTGTCTTTCTGTCTGTGTCTGTCTGACTGACCGTCTCTTTTGTGTGTGCGTTAATTTGTGTGTTTTGGAAAGGGGGATGTGGGGGGGGGTGTCTTCGAGGAAGTAAAGTGTCACCCTGTTCTGACAAGCCTGCACCACCCCTCTTTGATGGTTTAACAGGAAGCCAGTGTCAGCTGTCAACCTGCCCATTACCTGCAAGTGATAAAAGATTCTATTATAACGTCTGACTCACAAAATGCTGGTCGCTGCACCATCCAGCGCTCTTTGATAGATACCTATAATTCCAGTGTTTTTCTACATGGCCATAAAAGCAGAGAAATCTCACCCTGAACAGCCAATGAAAATCTTATTAGAAAAAGATGCAGTCTTGACTTTGGAGCAGTGTGGGCCCCTGGGAGAGAAGAATATGCCCTGAGCTCAGCACCTGTCAAATGCTTATGCAAATAGAAGCCATTACACGGCTCTCACAGCAGACATTTTGACTAGTCAAACGTAGGTGTAACTAATAACATTATTAACGTCTGTGCTGTATTTATTTCCATCACAGCATCCCTTGTGTTGGGTGTGTTGCCTCTGTGACACTCCTCAATGCAACAGAGACTAATGTTATTAGTCACACCTGTACTTCCTGCTCTGACAAGTTGGAAGAGTCCTCTGTGTGATGGGTTAAGAGTGGAAAAATAAATAAATACATAGATGTTTATTTTTTCCTACTGTAGGTTACATGAAAATCTTACTTTAAGGAGTGAAGCTGAAGTAACAAGCAAAGCATCAAATGACGGCAAGAAAGTTATTTATGTTTAGCATCTGCTTCCGTTGGATGACTTAAAACAATCTTATTGTGGCTGATATGACTGCAAGTAGGCGCGGTACCTGTTTGCCAGGAGGCTTAAGGCCTAATATTTTTTTGTGTGTCAAATTTCCCCTTGCTGGGTCAATCTAAATAGTCTAGCTGAGGCTAAGGTAAGGTAAGCTCCATAGCATTGTAGGTGCTTCTCCCAGGCTTGAATGATAGAAAGCTTTCATAGGCAAGTGAATATGTGAACACATGGCATTGTATAAGTGAGTTAAAATGTTGAAATTATTAGTCAAAGTGGCCCGACTAAATGTTTCTGTTTTGACTTTTTTCTCAAAATGAGTTCTGTGGAATAAGCATTCTAGAGGGCATATCGTCTATCTTAATAGGATATTGATCATGCTGCCAATAGCTGTGCTGGATAGTAACTAATCACCCTCATTACTAGAATGGAGAATATTTGTTTTGTATTAGTTCACTTTGAATAAACTCCATAATTTATTCAGGGAGATTCTTGACTCTTTCTGCACTAATGCTTTGAGAAAGACAATGATTTCAGGGCAGCCTGGGGTTAATTGTTCTGATACAGAGAAGAAGTTTTTTCATTTCAGCTTTCTTCAAGCCTCTTTTTCCTCCTGAAGCCATGTTCAAGATTAAGTTTTCTCATACAGAAAATAGTGTAACTTCCCTTGCAGTGTCACTGAATTGAAGAGGAACTAGTTGACAAAATAATCTGGTTATGGATAAAAGATAACCTTCTTCGTGCCGCCCAACACCACTATTGAAGGAAAATTGAATTTTTTCCATCTAAAAATCTCAACATTTTTGGGGAAAAATAACAATACCCATGATTTAGTAGGGTATTTAACATTCTTCCCAAATAAAGATATTGATACCATTAAAGGAATCTATAAATCTATGATGACAAAAATTACGTTTACAACCTCTTAGAATAAACATGTTTAATCAAATAACATAATAACATTTAATCAAGGAATATTTGCGACATTCAATAAAATGTAATTGAATCTTTGTGCTTGATCAGTTTAAATATGAATCTACGGAAACCATTTAAGGACACTCTTGCCTTGTTTTCTGACTTTGGTATAAGGATAAATGTGTGTTTAAGGTTTAAATACTTATGGCTGTTGATGGAGAACTTTGGGATTGATAGGAGGGAATAATTCACTTACATAAAGGTTCACATATATCACCATTCACTCTCTTGCCCTCACCTAAATGTGGGGTCCCTTGGGAGTACCAGGCATAAAAGGGGAAAACCCAGCACACACAGGCATCCATCAGAGTGGAATGATGAAACAGGCTTGAACAATATAAATAACATACACTATGAATACCACTGCCTGTTTCTGGGATACAGTAGAACATCACAAACAGATCTGACTGAGCAGCACATGAGGATTTTTTTTTTTTTCGTCTTGGCTGACCGCTTTGTGGATACTGCCGTATTTAGCTTCTTGGACATATGTGCTGAGCATTCTTTGAGTGCCACATACCTCTTACATTAAACAGATACCGCTTATTAATGTGGGTGAATGACGGACCAGATGCCCAGTTGTACATCAGTCAGACCTCATCAACTATTAATGGCAGCATTTGACCTACTAAAGAGCAAAGACATGGTTGGAATTTGGACTATCAACTTGTTGAATCTTACCAACTGCCTCCAGGCTTTGAGTCATGTTCCATATCTATAAAACGTCTCGATTTAGAGGTGTCAGTTTGACAATGCAGTTTTTACATTTCAGTCACCATAATTTAACATTTATAGACCGGCTATACTGCATAAAAGAGAAGGGATAACAAGGAGTTAACAAGTGGCACGCTGACATGTGAAGCACACACTTTATTTAATGGATTTAAGGGAAGTTGTGAAGAATGTATCAGTAGAAAAATAAATAAAGCAAATAATTAAAGCCTTTTTTAAAAGTCCAGATTAAAAAAAAAATACTTCAATAATAATGTTATTATTATTTATAAGTTTACAAGTTTCCTCATAACTTTTATTACTGCTTCTTCTTTTCTTTTTTTTAATAACTAACTAGGTCAGAATAATTTGTCCTGTCCTTGTCAATCAGAAGGTAAGCTTTGTTCATTTTCAGTAAAAATCCAAACCTGAAACTATTTTCTTCTCCTGCAAGATAATGTCACCACCTCAACACACACATACATACGCACACCCACAAAGCACATACACACCCTCACATTTCACTTTTTTAATTAGCGCTGTCAACCCTGTTTTCCTCCCTGGGTTTCACAGTAAACAACCGGCATTCTCATTATTGTGATAACAGAGGGGAGAAAAAAAACATGGCAACATTGTCCATTGTCAGCCTGGCGGAGAAACATGTTGCCACTCGCCCGATGCACTGAAAAGAAAAACAGCTTAAAAATGTAAATGAGGGATTATTGAAATGGTCACATTCTCAGACAGGGGCAGCTCTGTGAGCATCAGCACATGCCAGATGCAAGACACAGCAAGGGCCTTCTGTGTGTAGGAAAGAAAAAAAAAGACAAGAGGGGGAGAAGATGATGAAGAAAGGAGTGAGAGAGGGGAAGAACGGGGAGATAACAGACATGACCAGCAATTGACAGCTCGACACGGCCCCAGGACTGTAAAAACCTGTGCGATAGCGGTGGTGTGGGACCCCTCCGGACAGGTTCACTGTACGGTACATGAACTGCTAAAACATATCTGAAGTGATGCAAAGTGGAGTGATTTATTGGGTCAGCTCCACCGAGGTATGCTAGGCTACATTCCCGACACGCCTCCATCACTGACAGGGAGATTAGCATGGGGCTCTTTCACAGGGATAGGCTTGTCTCTAAAAGAAGATAACACTCGCTTAAAGAACTTAAGGCCTCGTTGGAGCCGTGATGAAGGAGTCATGGGTGCTGAGTCCAATGTCAATTATGTTTTTCAGGGAAAGAAAGAAGGAGTTTGGTTCCAAGTGCTCATAAAACCAGAGAAGATACTAAGAAGGTAGTGGGGAAAAACCACCATGGTTTAAAAAAAAAAAAAAAAAAAAAAAAATCTTTAAGGGGAAATAGTAAAAGAAAGAAAGGGAGATTTTGAGCTGCAACGATTGTGGCATGCTTTGCATTCATGCTGGCATATCCACTGGAAAGCTGCTTTCAACTGGTGTCTCTTAGCAATAAGAAAAAGTCAAGAGTGACATTCACTCCCTCTCGGTCCGCACAGTGCAATCACCATGCATGTTGGGTATGAGAAGAAGCTGCTGTGGGGGTGAAAAGTTTGATCGATGAATCTCACCCTCCGTCACTACTCTGGCTGGCTGGTGGTCCACAGGAAGGAAGAGGGAAAGGTGACTGGCCCACACTGGTGGGGTTAAACGTTCCAGCTCTTCTTCTTCTTCAGACAAAAGGAATTGGGTTAGGGGCATGGGGGGGAGTGGGAGGGGGGGGGGGGGGGTTGATTGAAGATGAAGTAACAGATAGAGAAGGCGTGAGAGGGACAGAAGACGACAGAGAGACAGACAGAACCGTACTGAGCATGAAAAACACCAGCGGATGGATTAAAACACCTCTGACCACACCACATTCCTGGAAAGTAAAGCAAAGAGGATTACATTGGTGGGAACTGAACATGAGCTGAGTATCTGAAACAGGAAAATCTAGGGCACATGTGAGAAACAGGCAAAGTGTTTCTGAGCCCTGTCCCCTCCTGCCCTTGTCTCTGTTTCGACAGTTTCTCTTCTGTCGTGACAGTGTAATGTGATCTGAGAGAATTTACGACATGTCACGGATTCAGAGCATCACTTCTCAATTTTGTATCAAAAGCTTCAAAGGTAGACAGGGGCAAATCATCGCATGACTACAGACACTTCAAGCTCTAGAATTTCAGCTCCTCCTCTCTGTCGATGCTTCATCCAGCCTGCAACCTTTCCTCCGGCAGTCAGCTAACAACACCTATTGTTAAGTGACGGGAAGATGATACAGCTACCTCTTACTGCTTTGCACGCTTCACATCATTCAAGTTTTTTCCCCATTTAGGGAAGCAGGAACTGAAACTGAGAAGTTAAGCAAGCACTTTTTTGCATTCTTGCCAGGTTGGATGGGTAATGATAGAAGAACTTTCGATTAATAATGAGAGCATTAACATGAGGATTGAAGCAAAAAAAAGTAATGCTCAAGTTGCTTTGCCAAGTAACTAGTTACTTTTATGAAGCAGTAACGTGACCTGACTCACACCTAGAATGACGACAGTGTCATACTGGTTTAGTGTGTGGTTGCCTCTCTATATATATACTCTATCAACCTTGGTAGAAGCACACTTGCTTCATCTCTGGAAATTGGACTTTATTTATTGTATCAGAGCTCAAGGGTAAGTTAGTAAGTGATCAGTTTCTTCCATTTTTATGTCTGCCTTCTTCTTCTTCTTGCAGAGGTCGGTTAAGGCCAAATATTACAAAAGACATTTTGTAATAATTAGAAGATAATTGAAGGAAAATATACAGCATGTTGACATGACTGTAGCCCTTAAAGTGCTTGCAGCTGTGAGAATGTTAACAGCAGACAGTCAGGAAGACAAACAGTGACGTAGATGGATCAATTTCTAAAAACCAACAAGTCCAAAAGTATCCGCTTAAACTTGGACTCAATTCAATTCATAGACAAAAGATAGAGCACAGAAAGGTCCAGACATTAGCCAATAAAAAGAAGGATTTAGAAATGGGTGGTGTACTTATTCCAACCACATTGAGAGACAGTGCTTGATGTGTCATTGATCCTACAGTTGGCTGACAGACGAATGGAGAGAAGAAGAAAGCAGCATCTGGAGGCTCTGCAGCTGCTCCTCTCCTGAAGTATGAGACATTGTTCCTCCAGCACAATCTTTTAATAGTGTCTTAACAGCAGGTCAAATACACCTAATTAAAACCACCTGCACTAAATAATCATCTTATTAAAATGATTGGATCAGCCGGGGGGGAGCGTGCTGCCAAACTGTTGAACACATTATCCCTTTAATGAGTTTATTTCTGCGCCGTATTCATCTCTCCTCGCCATGCTGGCATGACAATTACAATTCTCCTCAGCAGCAAAAGGTGGAGCAACTTCTAAACACGATCGAGGTTCTCCGAGGGCTTGTTATTACTCTTGACAGCTGAGTACCTCGTAATTTAATGGACATTATCACTTTCATTCAGAAGACATCCCATTCAGATGTGGAGATTTCCTGTAAAGTAAAAGCGATTAAAATGAAATAACCTCTGAGGAGAAGTTATTTGGCAGATACAAAGAGCTGATACTAAAAAAAAAAAAAAAAATGACAGGTAGTCCTTGAAACATAAATCTCTTGAACCAGTACCAGCTCATAAAAGTTGGACAGAGTGAAAAATGGCTCTTATTCTCTGAGTGATGGAATCAATATCTGCCATGCCTTTGTTTTGGAGTAAACACTAAAGCTTCCTCTGTGGTTTGTTTTTGTGTTGCTGAGGTGTTTAACACTCCTGTTAATCAGACCGCCTCCAGGGTCACACAGTCTGTCCACGCCTCCCACTTTACAACAAAGGAATGTGTCTGTTTGTGTGTGTGTAAAACCCAGAACCCTCAGCACATGCAGGTTTAAAAAAAAAATGCTTGAGTCTGCTTATTACTCATTGAGCAGCTCCCTTTGGGAAGAATCAAGAAATCATTAAGTGATTTCAAAGCTACACAGTTAAAATCCTAAACAGATGTCACTTTTTAGCCCACTGAACTGTTTTACATACTTTATTAATCCCTGAGGGGAATTCTGGTTTACACTCTATTATTGCTTCTCAAACATGTAGGCACGAAATTACACACATGCATAGACAAACACAACCTGTGGACATGCATTAGTGGAGAGATGTCAGAGTGGGGCTGCTCCACACTGCTAATTGGGTGTTCGGTGCCTTGCTCAACAGCAGTGCTCGGGCAGTGACCTGGCACCCCTACAGCTACCAGGCGACCCTCCAATTCCCAGACCAACTCCCTACAGACTGATCTACTGCCGCCCCAAAATGACATTTGAATCAACCGGTTCATAATGGGGCAGGAACAGAATTGGACCCAAACTTGCATCAAATGAACTTTGTTTTTGTCATAAGGAAAATAAATAAGTTAATACAGCTACTTCCTCATCTCTTTTTGCTCAAACCACAACAACAGGAGGGACTCTTTAGGGTTTGAGTTTTAAAGAATTAATTAACTAATAATACATACATTAAAATGTTTCATATGAACTCCCATTGGTACATGTACATACTCTACTCAGTCAACTAACCCGCTAAAGTGAAAGGGTGTTTACTATTTACATACGTTTTAAAGTGATTATAGACTTTAACAAAACTTCATTATTTACTTCTTGAACATCTTATGCCATAATATACTTCACTAAACTATACTAAACTTTATACTTTACTTTTTGTACGATGCTATTGTGCAATGTTTTGCTATTCTATGCTATGCTATGCTACACAGAAAGTGATCTATCTTCTGGTAGTAGATCAATCTTCATACTTTTCTCTTCCTTAACTTGACGGTGATAAAGGGGCATCAGCTTTAATCAGCAGTAATTTCCTTCTCTTTAATGAGTCCCCACAATACATTTGTTTACAAAAGAAGTCCAATTTGTCAAATTGCTGTGCCATGTTTCAAGATAAGATCAAATGAAAGCTGTAGCCTACTTTAATGTCCCCATTGGGGAATGTGTCTTGTACTGTATCCTGCAGTTACAAAGATTAATAAAACAATACATAAACAGAGATCTAACACAACACTTAACGATACATCCCAAACAGCAGCAATTTTTATGTCACAATTATCCAGATAGGCCGTACATAATCACCTTCTGACAGCGGTGATAAATTGAAAAATTGAAAAATGCATCACAACCATGTATCCAGGTCAGTACTTGACCTTAAAGCAGCATCAGGGTCAGAAAATGGATCTAGTCAAATGATTCCTCGGGTTCAAGTCGACTCCTGACGATAAATGTGGAGCCTCAGAGGGGCAGGACATTAGAACGCTTCGAAACATCTGCCACCTGGCACATCAATAGTAAACCTCAAATCAATGTTTAATGGAGCCTGCATTTAAATGAGAAAATCCAATCTATGGCCTCTGCATAATTAAATTGGTTTCCATAGCATGTGCCAGCTAAAAACAGAACCCAAGGTCATCTCCACCTAAATAGGCTGAAAGGGCGACTCTGCCACTCAAAGGAGAGTTAAACGATAAGCTCTTTCAAACGTCTCGAGCTTATTGGACAAACGGGAGGGGTTCGATTGGACACTTGAAAGTACAGATTCATCTTGAAAGGTCCTGGAATCACATTTGTCAGATAAGCCTGCAGACTGAATAGTTGGCAGTGAAGTCTATTGTAGTTGGATATGGGACGCAGATCCATTTTCCTCTGCGCTTTGTTGCAGATTAAGACAAAGTAGTGCGGTCTGGCTGGGCAGACAGGAGCCACCTATAGCCTCCAAATGCAGGATGAGTCATTTGGAACATTCCGGAAAGGATTTCAACACCCACCCACCCGACCCCCCCTTCACCACCACCACCTACACCACCCCAACCCTTGTTTTTAATTACACACTATCCTATTCCTGTCTGAGGGCGTGAATTCCACAAGTATTTTCAGGCTGCTTGGATGCACGTCAACTTTAAGTCTAACCAGGAAGCTTTAACGCTTTTCAACATGTCCAATCCGTCCGCGCTGAAAAAGCACAAAAACTCGGGCTTCCACACACACACAAAGAAACATAGACATTCTCTTTCAATAGCATCAGTAGCACTCAGCCAGGCCAAGTTATCTCAGGTCAGTAATTGAGATGTTATCTACACAGGAGTGGATGCACTCCCGGGATCAATCAACATGGCCTCACCACTCGTTTCCATTCTGGCTAAATCAGCCCTCTCTCTCTCTCTTTCCCTCCCTCTAACTCCTTGTGATTAAAGCCCCTCACTTCTGTTGGCTTGATGGCAAACCAGGTTCCACTCCTTGAGCGAATGGCAACTTTAATTCACTGGTGTTGAGCTGGAGATCTGGCCATAATAAACAATGATTACCCCTCTATTGTTCACTGCAGGGGCTTGTCAGCAAGTGTGTTTTTTGTTTTTAGGCATTGGAGTTGTACTGCTACCAATAGTGTAACAGAAAATGCCTTTCTACTTGTTTGTAAGAGCACTGTTTCAGTCCAAAGTTATAGGATGCACTGACTGTTTGTCGTGCCATGAGGTTTTCAACGGGAGCTGAATTAACTACAGAGATTTCCTAACAGATTATTGACTTTATCTGCCAATACTCATATGCAGCTGTTGAAATCGGTATTGGAACATCTATGTTAGAAACTTTAGACTTTGAAGTGTTTCGGGGGACCATATCATCGACAGCTCTCTGTGTGAAATATCTTTCTTCTTGAGACAAATAAAGTCACCATCAACTGTAAAGCAAAGTCAGAGTTTGTACAGCTTTCACAAGTTCCATGCAAGAGCTCACCTTGGTTGCAGGTCTTGCCGGTGAAGCCGGGGTGGCACTTGCACTTGTTAGGTCCCACGCAGTCTCCGTTCTTGCAGCCGGGCTGACACAGAGCTATTCAGGGGGGGATTCAGAGAGGAAGACACAGTTCAGCACAGAGCCCTGGAAGACTACTTGTTCACGATCAGGATGACAAAGAACTTAATCCTGCTGCTTCTTGACTTGGCTGTAAATTATCTGTTTACTTCTCGTTACAGCAGAAAGACAGCATGAGGCCTCGTTCACATGGGGAGTACGTTTCTTTTTCTTGTCTGACAGTGTTTTCATCACTGACTAATGATAACAGATAGCCATTTTCAGCTAACCGCCAAAGATAGAAAGAAAGAAAGATTAATCTTTTTTGCTGGCACTATATAATTTAACTTTGAATATGACAAATAAGAAGTGTGACCTTTTTACAACAAGCAAAGTTTGATTTTCCTGTTTTTAAACGAAGCACAGATATTCACAGTGGCATGCAGCCAACTAGATGTACCTTTGTAAATATATTTTCCCCTGAGACTGACGCTGAAACAATTAGAGCACCAAAACAGTGGATTATAATTAGTGCCTCTGTAAAGCGCTGCCCTGCAGATTTGACAAAAAAACATGGCGACGTGGTGCACAGCCTCTGTGTGTTCTGTCTCAGTGAGCTGGAGGCTCGCCCTGCTGCTTTATCTGACTCTGCTCACTGCAGCCTGCTGCTTAGCATGTCTGATACACTGGGCTTCAGCCAAGTGTTACTAATTTTCATTAAAAGCTTCATTAATTCTGTCATAATACAGTGCAATCAGAGGACTTAATTATCACTGTGGTGGAGGAGGCCATACTTACATGTGTGTTTGTGTGTGTAAAGGAGATAAAGAGAGAAACAGATTGTGGTGGAAGTTGCTTTTTTGTCTCCGGAAAGATGTAATGGTATGTGTAGCCGTGAGTGTGTACAGTGTGTATTTAATTGTCTTGTCAGTGTTGCTTTAAACATCCTTCTTGGAACATAACCTCAAACCATAAGATTTTACTTTTGGTATGTAATGTTGCACTCTGATTAGAATAGTACACAAAACGGCCAGGACTTATTTGTAACATTCGGTGGAAAAATTTTGGACGTTTTTTTTTTAGATAAACCAGACCGAAAATTGCACCTCCTTCAATATTCAAGTCACTTTTTTTGCATTTGCATTTTTAGTGTTTGATTACTTTGCGTTGCATTGAAGAGAACGTTAAGGTAGATTGAAAATGTTTGTGTTCAGTTGCATTACAACCCCTCCCCCATTCAAATGCAGTGGTCTCCTTCAGATTATAGAAGCTTTTTTTGTTATTGCTGTTGCTGTTGCTGTTATAAGCTATTGTTGTTTTGTGCATGGTTTGGCGTTTTTTAGTGTGAATTTTGCCATCCAAAAAACACATTTTTTTCGGTAGACCAAATTACATGTTTGTCTGAACAGCTTTTGCACCATGACATCCTTAAAAACACTTTTCTAACCTTCTATGGTTACATTTCAATACATTTGGTGGGATTTTGACGTTTGCACGGAATAGAGTTGATGGCGAAGTGCTTACTGTTTTTCAAAGTATCTTTCAATGCTAGAAACATGTTGAAAGCTTCTTTTATAAAGCTGAAGGACACCTAATAGAGCAAAGGAACAAAGGTTTGAATAATACGGTCCATAAATGAAATGCGTGCTTTCAGAATCGAGTTACATTCTTATATATATTTCCTTTTCAGCACATTCACAGCAGCAGAGCTATCAACTTCAGCTGCTCCGGTTTCAGTCTGTAACATTGCTCCAGCTGAATTCAAAGACACAAAGGTATGTGATGAATCCTTTAACTGAAACTGATAACATCTTCAGACTCATTCTTCTTTATTAGGCTACGTAATCTAATAGAAAGACAGTATTGTTAGCTATGAGAGGCCTTTCGATATGAGCTTTGGAGCTAACACACTGAGCAGACAAAGCTGGAAGTTAGGAATTAAAAAATGGCTCAATTTTTGGAGGATAAAGAAAGGTTGTACTTTTCGTGGAAACCTATTGGACATTGGTCTGGTGAGGAGATAAAATGAAATCTTGTGATGCTGTTAGTTAGCAGGGTAGTCGAGTGAAGTTCTTTTTGTTCCTCTCGTATATGGGGGAGAGTTTGATTAGCAGGATCACAGGCGGATATCAGCAGGCTCTGCCTCTGAGGGTATTTTTAAGCCTCCTGCTTTGCAGAGAGAGATCTCAGAGCAGTTCGTTCATTAACCGCAGCAGAGGACATGCAGGACTAAAAATGGTTGTACCAGCTGGAAGGCCAAACATAGCACGCATGTGCCTCGTCCGTTCCATGAACACCATCAAAATATATCCAGTGATGACACACTTTCTCTCTGGTTTACATCAGCTGGTCCTCGGGACAGTTTACTGCGACTGCTGATGCAGAGTCTTTTGATTTATCGACGGCTCTGTGATGCCTTTTGGTAATCACAAGGGAAACTATTTTATTTAGATTGATAATAAGCCAATGGATTATGCTATCAAAGCAAGATGGGAAAATCAGTTAATTACAAGTTGCATCATCTTGCAATCACAAAAGCAATTACCTGAGGCTGTCTCTAATGAATATTTCATCATGAGTGTAATTGATGATCAGTTTTTTGCTTACTTTCTTCTCTCAGAGTTTATCTTTTGCTGCTATCCTTTATTTATAGTATTTAATGCCTAGCATTAATCCAATTTTGTATTTTTATTTTGTAGCATTGGGTATGAGTGTGACTGTTTACTTAAACCTCAATCCTTTCCTTTTTTCTTGTGGTTCTACAGGATATGAATTTGTTTTTGACGCGCCCAAGTGATCAAATGACCTGTTTTATTTTGTAATTTCTTATTCTTGTGTTTCTCTATGTTTTAGTGTGTCGTGTTATTGTTACAATCTTAAGTTCTCTGTGCGTCTGTAGTGTGAAATAAATTATTTTTGTTTTCTGCATTTTGGTGCACCACCTATGTTTTTTCAATAATCGTGACATGGTGCTTTCGTAGCGGTGTTAAACCATTTCACCGATATTTTTTATTAATCTCTCAAACGAAGTCAATGTGAATAATCAAAATCAAAATATTCAAGAAATGAAAGCAACTTTTTTGCTTCGACATATACTTTCTGAGGAAAACGTGTTAAAATAATCGAGTCATTTTTCTGCTTAATGAAATTATTGTTTGGCCTGTAAAATGCACCAAAAAGGATGGAAATGATCAGAAATGAAATCTGTCTTACCAACATCATTCCAACCTTAAGGTATTCAGTTAAAATGTATTAAAAATTCTAAGGCATTTAATTGTAAGGGTTGCTGAAGCACGAAGCAGATGATTTTTTGACATAATTTCCAAAAACATATTGTTCTGTTAATAATGGAATCAATGAATCATCTGATAGGTTCAGGACAAATGTCAGCTTGCATACTAGGGCGAAAGGATCACCTGTTGTTGTGGTCTGAGCTAGTGTTTTAATGTTGTCATTTGTATGCAGTGGAAATGTCAGCGATTGGATTGCACACTGTCATGATGAATATTTTACACAAATGATGAAGTAAGTTTGTATTCTCCACATGACCAATCCGCTCCACATTTCTTAATGTATGCAGAGCGTCTCCAACCACAGTAAACACTCCGTTTTTTACTTTGCACTGTACAGATGGATCTATTACTGATAGAGTAATTAAAAAACATTATGGATTTCAGCTCCAAGCGCTTCATTAGTATTCTGAAGGGGTGGACGAGAGGGGCAGCTGAATGCGAATGAGACACCAAAGAATTTGAGCAGTTCATGTTCGACATGGCTTCAGGTGAAATCAGGTCTGCAGAGGAAGCTGTTTGCATATTTCTATAAGGCCAAGGGGAGGAAGATGACTGCTGCCGGAGGGCATGAGGTGTGAGTGGTGTGTGTGTGTGTGCGTGTGTGTGTGCGTGTGTGTGCGTGTGTGTGTGTGCGTGTGTGTGTGTGTGTGTGAGAGAGAGAGAGAGAGAGAGGAAGAGGTGGATTTGGCTCTACAAATAAGTAAGGGGATCCCAGGATTCAGAGGATGTGCCCCCAGCAATTTCATGTCCAGCAAGATTATTTGAAGAAACGTGGTGGGCTAACCTTGGGGCTGGCACCTTATCCCGGCTACTCTGTGAGTTAAGGCGAAGAGAGCTGCAAAACAAATAGCCAAACACACAAAGGTTGCGGGCATTTCTAAGTGTTTGAGAGGAAGAAAAAAAACAAACAATGAACATGATGTTAGAGGGCACAGGCGGGTCACTTAGACAAGCAAACAGTCCTGGGAATGAAACACACACACACACACACACACACACACACACACACACACACACACACACACACACACACACAATCTGGAGTTCTGGAGTCACACATTTTCACAGGTGCTTTTAGAAACAAGATGCAAATTGGCCCTATTTGCGATAATCGTGGAGATGTTACAGTAAAAGCTCCGTCTCCAGGGATGTTCTCTAATTTCGGAATATGTTTTTCACACAGGTGAATTAGTAGTTTCCCCCTTGCACAAGTCTTCAGTAGGATTAAAATACTTTAAATGTGACAGACTTGCCTTATGACATTATTCAAATAAAACACAGTCCTAACATGCTGCAGGTTCCACTCTGTTAACAGATCCTTTATAACATGTCTGAATCATTTCAAGTAACTCGGAACCCGTCTCTTTTCTTTCTGAAAATACTACCCCTAATTTTTCTGAGCAAACCCGCCCATGTTGTTTTCATCTTCTTACCGCAGGTAGATGAAAGCGGAACACTTTCAGACGATCCTTTACAGCCTAGTGATCATGAAAGGAAGTCGAGCCCACAAGGAGACGGCACAGACAATCCTGATCGAGTGAACTCCTTAAACTGAGATATCACTTCTCTGCTTTCATCGCTGTCTTGTTAACTCCAATTACTAATTCAAAAGTCCTGCCTTAATCCTGTCCTCACCATTTGTCCAAACAAAGACTGCTGCACTCTGTCAAAGGAAATCTCCGCTTCAATGGATTTTTAAATCCACCAGGACGCCTGGAGAAATTGCAATGTGTGATCTATTTAATATGGAGGTGATATTCAACCCAGTTCCTTAACAATGCAGAGAAAATAAATGTCTTTCTCCTCCTCGTATATATTTTCTGGGCGGTTGGAAGACTCGGGTTGAATATATACCGGTCCAGCTCTTTTGGAAAGTTTTTCAAGTCAACTAACAAGTCTTTAAAGCAAACTGCGAGTCATTTCAAGTCTTTCAGTGATATGAATTTTTATCAAGGATCTGCTGCACTTTTTAATTCTGAATCTGTCTCACATGTTTCGATTGTTTTAGAAACCAAACAGATAAACCTCGACTTGTGGATTTTTATGCTGACCTGAATGTTTTTGGACCTCAAATCAAGTGGATAGAAAGTCAACTGGGAAGTAAGATTAGTCTAACTAAAGTGGCTTGTTTTTATTTTTGTGACTCCGGTGTCAGTCTGAATATTATCTAGTTTGTTTGATCATTCACCCAACTATGAATCATAAAATACTGATTATTAATATGTCTATTGTGTTAAGTTCTTCAAGAGCAAGCCAGCCACAAACAAAGGCCAATAGTAGAGTGACAGCAGACAAGAGGGCTAATTAGCATCTGATCTATAAGCTAGCAATACTCCACACATGGCAAAAGCAATGCGGTATGTCTGGTTAATAAGCAACAACCAATGATTGGCATGAAAGATATTATTACTGTAAACCTGAAAGCACAAATTTCATCCAACCTTTCTACTTTTGTGAGACATTAGCAGAGAACTCAGGCCATTGAAACATTTATGAAAGACTTAGTATCTGACGCTGTTATTCCAACAAGAACATTCAGAGCAGTGTGATTAAGGGGACAGATTCAGTTTTAGTGATTCTTCTCTATTTCTAAAAGCCATCTTTTAGGAAGATCAACAATAAATCATTCCTTTGAATTATGATTCTTTTTAAAATACCTGCAATTCACAAATACCTAGTGGCTCATACAATCTGGGAAAAGGTGGATATGGCAAATGGATATATTGAAAGGTTTGGCTCCCAGATCACATGTTTAAGGGCACATGATTAAATATATCTGTCATCGACAGAATGTCCACAGCACTTTGAGGCAGATGACTGTTTAACTATAGCTAATGAGTTCAGGTATTGCACTGCAACCGATGCTTTCTGCTTCTTTTGAAGCTTTAAATGAATATGCAACCTTTTTAATATTGTACCTGACATCAGATTAATTAAAATGGTCAAATCTCTGGTTTTAACAGACTGATTGGACCATTAAGATACTAACAAATATGGTATCAACTTAATCTCCATTAAGAGTTTGAAAATAGTTATAAGTATATTTAGAATGATTACTGTATGACACTGGAGTTGCAATTGATGAACAAACGCTCAAACTGTCACAGTGGCAGTGAAATGATGGCAGCTGGTTAGAATCAGTTTGGCTCTGCCTGCCGGATGGCCTGTCAGAACATTATGAGTGGAGCTTCAGTTTACTATAAATCTAAGCTCCACTCTCCGTCTCCATCTGCCTGATTTTCTCACTTGCCTCGCTCTCCTGATGTCACTCCCAAACTCCAACAGCAATCATCTCTAACTCCTATAACCTCTACACTATTTCCCTTACACCGCAGGATTTTCACTTTCTCCAACATTTAGTACTCTCTCACTCTTTCAGTTCTGTAGCTTTAAAGGAAAAGAAAACCAAGATGATCCATTCAGTTTCTCATTCTTTGAGAAAAGTTGCACAAACTGAGAGAGCCTCAATCTGATAAAACTTCAACCTAATCTCCTGTATCGCCACAGGACCGCGCCAAGGCCTCCGAAATCAGTAAAGACTGCATCCTCTGACTCACATGCAGACAAAAAGTGCGCACAAGCACACACACACACACCTTTGATTGCACTTCCTTTCTTTCCCATACCTTCCAGCGGCCTCCTCTCAGGGTTAAATCAGTACCTCACAGACTTGATGGAATACTGATTGTAGTCTCAAGTGAGTGGATTTGAGCTGTGCACCCAGTCAGGAGCATTTGGAAGCATTAAGGCGAGCACTCAGCCATTGATTTAACTCACAGAGCAGATATGTTTTTAATGGGGGAAAAAAGCGATGGAGCGAAAGCAATAAAGCAGCTCGACGTGGTGGTTAAGCTCAAAATTAGCTGTTATTTTTGGCACAATATGGAACATGTGGGACTCCAGAACAACAAAGGGAAACATGTTGACACACTGCTGGTTAGCTGGTGGAGTAATTGATGCAAACATGGCTTTTTTTTTAATGTCACTGTGCTTAATTTAGTGTTAAATAAATGGCACCAATGATGTATGCCAACAAACGTCGTGTTTTTGGAGCTGTGAAAACAGTACGGCCTGCGCTGTAAATGTAACTCGTCTACTAATCGAAGCTTCTGTGATAATCAAGTCATTCTTGTCTTTTTTTTTATCCTGACCCCCAAAATCTGAATCTAGTCCAGCTTGAATTTTCTAAACATGGATGGGAGCCTTTAAAGGCACAGAGCCCAGCACAGACGCACTGGGACACATTGGGCTTTGAGATGTCTGACTCCTGCCAGTGTTACTGCTGAGTCTGGCCCCATGTTAAAAACAACACTATCAAATGATACAATTGAGCTGTCTGGGTGAAACACTGGTGCTTTTTGCAGCGCACATTGTGAAGTTTAAATGTCAAGGCCTTGGGAAAAGGTAGGAGGTTTCTGATCAAGGCCACATATTGTATGAAAACTAAACAAAACCACTGATTTACAGCCAAGAAATCATCCCCCGTCGGTCCCATAAGCCACTAGCAGAACTTGTTTCTCTGACTCTAAGTGTTTATGTAGGAATAGAATTATCATATTTTGTTTTATAATAGTCGTGAAGCAAGAGGTAGATAAAAAGCGCATTTGTCTAGCAAAGACCTGGGGTTAATCTAGCAGAGCTACAAAGAATACAAAACACTAGGCCGTGAACTCAAGTGAGACTGTTTGTGTTCTCCAGATCCAAATGAGAAGTCTTTGAGAACATCTCCAGCATAAAGTGAAATAATGGCACTCTGCCACTTTTGCATGGAATTGGAGTGAAAAATAGCTCCGTAACCCAGCAAAGTCATCCGTCTTTTATCTGCAGCAGCACACAGCTTTAGGCCAAACACGCAGTGTGTGACATATTTCCCACCAAAAAAAAAAAATGCAAAATACAATGACTTAAACAAAGGTCAGCAAAAGCATGGCATGGTGAGCTTATTTACATGAGAAAATAAATCAAAACATGGTTATTTCATTATGAGGAACACATAAATGAGTGCATTAATCAACAACCCTGAGCATCATGCATTTGTAAGAATCCCTTTTGGTCTTTTCAGCAGCAGGAATTTAAAAACACATAACCTAGAGCTTCAATACATTCCACTTTTAAGCACCCATATGGCTGTGGTGGCAGACTGCTTTGTCCTTCTTTGTGTTTCCATTACATATACTTCACTGAAATGCACACACTGAATTGGAGGTAAGGAGGACTGATTTTTGTGCAATGTTTCTAATTCCCAGAGCAGTCGCAGGGCAGACAGTGAAAGAACAGGTGACTTTTATTTTCTCTCACTTCTATGGGTATTTGTAACAGATAATTGTATGCCAACATAGATAGATGGAGTTACTATAGGAGCATTTAAAAGTAGACAGAGGTTAACTTGTGAGCATCTCCACAGCAATTAAAAAAACGTATCTCAGACGAACAAATTAAACTTTCGATCCTAAAAGGTTGGAGAAAGAAAATGTTGTTACTTCTTGTGTTTGTCGTATTTGTCACTTGTTATGATCTGAAAACTCATTGGCTACTTACAATTGAAGGCTCTGATGCACTTCATATATCGAGATGACTTTCAGTTGAAGAAAAATACTCTGTTTTTACTGCAAAGAGTTTGATTAAAAGATTGTTACCAGTGGCCGACCACCAGTATACAATATCAATGACTGATAAATGGTCTATCACAGATATCTATGCAGAAGTTTATCGATAAAATATATATTTTTAAACATGTAATGCTGGAAAGAAATGTGAAACCTCAGAACCTCATAGTTTAAATAGAAACGTGCGCGCCGACTCAGACTTACAGATATGCTCACTGTCTGCAGCACTTGTAGAGTAACAGTTGGACTGACAGTGGTAAGCACAACAATTGGTGGAAAAATATGTAATAATTATTCTTCAGTAATATTGGTTAAAATTGGAGTCCAATCCTCAAAGAAAATATAGTTTTTTCCAGCTTTAAAGTTGGCTTCTATTATACTACCAACTGGACACCTGTGAATCTTGTACTCTTCAATCTGTGTTTGTGTTGGTTTAAAAAATCCCATATTGGTCAGGCTTAAGGACTCAAATCATAAGTAGGCAGTTGTACGTCTAATATAAAGCTACTGCTAGCAAACAGTTACCTTTCTTAATGACTGGAGATTGAGAGAAAAGGCCCGTCTCTGCCTGTAGCTTTACATTCAACGGACAGATATACTGTAGGAGTAGCATTGATTTTCTCATTTGACATTTGGCAGGGAAACAACCTATATCTCAACAGAGTCAATTAAGAAACAATACATATTCCTTCAAACCACGGGTTGCTGAGATTCCGCTGCGGTAAAGGCCTCTCCATGTGTTAACCCCTTCTTCATTTAACCTCCAGAGCAAAGCAGAGCAGCAACACCAGCACAGGCACCGAGCAGTGTAGAGGATTTGACATTAGTTAGGCAACTTGCCAGATTTGAAACTAAGTTATATCCACACCTCGGGGGAGCAGCATAACAGGAGAGTATAGCATCTTCACACAATGTAAATATGTTGGAAATGTTACATGCTTACATTTCATGCAGGCATGTGGTGTTAAAAGGACACATCCTCTGAATCTTTCAAGTGGTGAAGCTAGATATACTTAGAAGGTTTGGTGTATACACCTGACAACCCCATTGACTGTGCTCCTAACATCTTTCTTCATGTTCTGACATGTGTTAGCTAGCTTGTTGTTGCACAGTAGTAATATAGACTCAAACCCCTATCTGGCCTTCAGTGTTTGCACCTGTAGCTACACTCTCTCCCTAACTATGACCACCTGCAGTTTGAAAATAAACGTCAGCTGGTCTTCCTGTCAAAGTAGCCAATACCATCAATCTTTACTCAAAGACCGTCTCAGGTGTGATGCTCCATTAGCTGTGTGCGTGTGTTGTGACAACAAGCATGTGTGTGTGTGTTTCCCCACGCCTTCGGTCGCTGCGGTAGCTTCACAGCGTCACCTCTGTCTAATAGCATTTTTGACCCCAGCTTGAAACCTGGCAACCTTGTTAGCCCTGTTTGCACCCAGCAGCAGCAGCAGCAGCAGGCACGGGGGTACTCACGCTGGCAGTGACCCCAGGAGCGACGCGTCCATCCCCAGCAGCAGTCCACCCGGGCCCCATAACGACACAGGCCATTGGACGAGGCCATCTGCCGCGGCCACCTGTGAAAGAACGACATAATTAGTTCACAGCCAATTAAAATGTCCAAATGAAAAGCAGGGGTCTCTCTGAATGTTGTTTTGAAAAAGGCTTTAAAGCAGTAACAGGTTTCACAGCATTTCCTCAGAGTAGAGAGGAAACTCTGAATAATAATATCAGTCTTTCTACTAGTTTTGTTTTTTCGGGGTTCGTGCAGTCTGTATGTCGTACTGACTAGAGTTGTTCTGAGGCACATGATTATCCCCTTCAGTAGAACAGGCACCCCATCAACAGAGACTACAGTCCACATTGACCGCAGGTTCGACTCCTGGTCTTGACCTTTTACTTTACCAAACTCTCTCCTCCCCAGGTTTGTGTCTCTATTTAGCAGTCCTTTCAATAAACACAAAAAGCCCAACAAAAAAAATGAATAGAGATGTAACGGCTGCATGTTGTTTGTGATGTTTGTCCCTTCTCCCTCTCTGTTTTGTCTCCAGCCCAGGTGAAGCTACTGATTGCACAAAGAGGCGCACCGGGCCCAAGAGCTGAAAGAGTACTGGCTTCAAGAGATGAGAGACTTCTGGAGTTGGGACTGCTGTGCCTCTCAGTCTGGGGTTGTGTGTTGTGTTTAATTAAATGAGTTTCCAAGGTGATCTTTGTTATGATTTATATGTCAGTCTATTGATAATAAATCCCTTGGTTTTGACTTTGGTGGGGTGTATGATGTGTTTTATTGGGTCAATTTGAGGGTTTGTTGTTAGCCCAACAGGGACGCTTTATAGTGGTGCTTAATAAAAAACTAGAGATGTTCTGATACTGATATCACTCTCAGTATCTACCAGCATCTGATAATGTAAAAAAAATTACTTTCAACGGCAATGGCCAAATTTCAAGACCCTGCATTGGTCATATTTCATAAACCTATGCCCCACAAAAATCAACTAGTATATAATAACAAACAAGTGTTCCAACAACATTATCTTTGTTTTCTTGTAGTGCTAGCATCTAAGGGGAACACATTTCTGAAATTGGTATCAGGAATTAAAAAATGGAAGTCTCTAGTATAGACCGTAAAGCTATCTGAGGTTAATTCTGTCACATTGTGCTGTAAACGTGTTTGCGAGGACAAAGAAAATTACAACAACTAAATTGCACTTCTCTAAGAGCTATGAAAAAGCGATGACATTTGCAGATTAAATGTCAGACAACTGCTGAAACGAAAAGGCAAAGACAGGTAAAGACATTCAGTCTACAATCATAATGACAAAACACAAAGTCAAGAGGCTGAAAGTGTGTTAGATCATTTTTGCCTGATCAAAGTTTTTCAAACAGCTGCTGGCAAACTTTCAGTAAACCTTTTCGATTTTTTCTTACAGTCCATTTGAAAATAGAAAAAAAACCTCACTCTACATTTTCTCAGGCTGCAGAAATCCGACCTTTCACTAAATCCCTGCAGCAGATTATCTTTGCCTCATGGAAATCAAACTGATGGCGCATCAGATCGAGTTGGTCTGCGTGATGTCAAAGTGGAGACCCGCGTTGAAAAGCTGCCAGACTCGATGAGTTTAGCCTTCAGTGTGAATGTGAGCTCCGCTGACACTCGCATCACAGCTGTGTTCATTATGAAACCGATTGACAGCGGTGCAGCAAACCAAAAATAAGCACTTCTTTCTGTCTCCATTTGTTACATGAAAACATTTCCGCATATGTATCCTTGGACAGCAGGGATAAAGGATCTATCAGACATTGCATGACAGTGTCAGATGTATAACCCTTCTGCAGACAGAAAAGGTGGGTATTAGTGTATTTACAAAGGTATACTACTGCATTTCTTACTATTACTGCAAGAGAAATTACAGCCGGATGTTATTGTTACACCATGTTCTATTCTGCTCAGAGCAAGAAATAGCTTCTTGGCAGACAGAGCATGTGGATTACCTTTTTATCTGTACCAAAGCTCACCACATATTTATGGAGAGAATGGGCAAAGGAATGAGTCCATATAAGGGTAACAACGAAAATCCAAGATGAATACTACGCGGGTCTGGCTCTGAGACTTTAACTAAAACCTAGCAAAGTTATAAAAGAAGGAGGAGAAAGATTCTTTACAGTGCTATAGAGTTATATAAAGTGTGGACACTCCATTCATCCTGACCTTTACAGCCATTCTATTTAAGAAAAAAAGACTGCTCTGCCATCACCTGCAAGAGGGCATGAGTGTTGTGTATTTGCTAAATACATTTAAATATGAAAGCTGAATGACCTGACTTTGTTTTGGAGTTGTACAGAGAAACAGGAAATGCAGTTATTCAGCAATGAAACAAAGGAGAAACTCCCTTGTTATACTTTCTTTTCAAAATAGATCCTTTTCTTTGAATGAGGTTTTTGCTCAGTATTCAAGTCACGTCCATTGCCACTATCCCTGCCTGTTAGTGTCTCTATGCCAAGATGAGGAAATGCTAATGCTTGCCCCCGCTGCCAATCACCTCATTGGAAAAAAAACCCAGATGGATGCTAAGTGAGAGTGGCAGATTCAGGGAAAATGTTTGCCGTCTGGAAAGAAGCAAGGAAGTCAGGCAGGCAGGGAGAAGCTACGGGAGGAAAGGAGAGGAGAGGAGAGGAGAGGAGAGGAGAGGAGAGGAGAGATATAAAAGGGGGGAATGGAAAGGGAACATAGGCACAAAAAATGCTTAGATGGAATCGATAATTAATTGAAACAAAGGAAAATAAGGTGAGGGAAAATGAAAGAAAATAAAAGAAACAAAGGAGATGATATGGACAAGGAGCAAACAGAGGGGGAAATTAATAGGAAGAAAATGAATCAGAAGTACAGGAAAGGACAGGACAAAAGACGGGAAAGAGAAAGGAACAAAGGGAGAGGAAGGAGATGAAACGGGGGGGGAAAGGAAGGGTTTGCGAAGGAAAGGAGAGGACAAAGATGAGGAAAGGGAAATAGAGAACATTTAAAATGAAAGGAAATAAAATGGAAATGAGGGAAGTAAGGGAAGTAAGAAAAAAGACAACATTTTGATTGAAGGGAAAATGGCTCAGTCTGCAAAAATAAAACAGACAGACAGGAAAGGAAAAAAGAGTGGTCTGGACAGCAGCCAGGTTTCGATGCCACCATCTCTACGAGTGACATGCACCCACCTACACACACATACTCAACCCCCCCACCCCACCCCACCCCACACACACACACACACACACACACACACACACACACACACACACACACACACACACACACACACACACACACACACACACACACACACACACACACACACACACACACACACACACACACACACACACACACACACACACACACACACACACACACACACACACACACAGTCAAGCCTCCTAACATGGCACCATCTGTCCCTCGATACTGTAAACCACTAACATGAAACAAAACAAGAATATCTGAGCCTGTGGTGGAATTCTCTTCATTTAAAGAAATGTGACAGCTTCAAAAACATTTGACAGCCTCCCCTGACATTAATCTGCTGACTGCAGGCTGATTTCATTCTGACGTTATTATACACTCTTGAATGCACTCCTCAGTGTATGTAAGTTAATTATCATCCTGGAATAAGAAGGCACCCTGTGGGAAGAGTTCATGCTGCTCTGGGTGCACCTGCTCCTCTGTCACTTAATGACTTTATATTCTTTTGCAGTTACATGACTTTAAACAGCCATCAGTGACGCTCTCCATTATGATTCCCAATGGAAAGCTGTACTTGCCAGATGCACCACCTCATTAAACTGGTCTTTAAGAGATCACTGGATTAAAGTTAGGTCTTGAATTTTGTAAAAACTCCATTATGCTTTACATAATTAGACCAAAAGTGTAGTTTTCCATTCTTTAAATGCAAATTGTGCCAAAATGAAAGCCCATTTACTTACACCTGAAACAATGTCTGAAGTATTTTACCTTTACTGATCATTTTTGAGACACAGATTTAGTGATGAGCACCAATCTTTTTCCTTAAAGTCTCTTTCCTTAACTGTTTTCATCTTCTCCACGCTTAAAACAATCAGCAAATTGTGTTATTGATGCTTGATGTTCTACCAGATCCTATTTTGCACCTTCTTTGAAAGTCTTCATGTTGTTTTGAAAATCACATCTAATACTGTTGCATGCCAGATGTTGTGTGGAGAGTTAATACAGTATGAGCAGCTAATTAACTTCAGCTTCATATCAGTGGCCAACAATGCTCATGTTGTGTGACTATGGCACCTGAAAGTTGTGAGACAGACAGACAGACAGACAGACAGACAGCATCCAGTAGCAGCTTAAAACATTTGTTTCATCTAACAAACACCCATTTCCCTCCCATATGCATAATAACCCGATGGAAGATTTAAAGAAACCCCTACCTATACAATAAAAAATGAGACATATACAAAGAAAATTGACAAACCCTGTGCAGGAATAAGAATAGAAACCTATGTAAAATTTAACAAAACCTACAGTATATAAAATGAGACATGTACATATTAGAGTAGACCTACAGCTGCACAGCAGCAAATATGTTGAGGTACAGCAGTGTCTGAAAAGAGGTGGTGCATTTGTAAGGTGTGCTTTTAGTAGTAGTATATTATTTGTAAAAGACAAGCATTAAAGTGACTGTTGAATAAGGATATTATCTGCATTTTCTTGCTCTTCATTTTCAATGATTCTCTTTGAGTTAAGCCTGTTGGCCGAACAAAACTAGCAATTAAAAAATAGACTTGTTTTTTTGGTTGAAAATTACAACTGAATTTTACAATGTTTTGGTTGCCATAAAGAGAATACTTAAGGATAAAGAAAGGGAAGATGGATCAATAATGTAAATAATCATCAGCTGCAGCCCAATTCTTTTCTTCATGGATATTCAAAAGAGACGAAGGCAAATAAAATTCTAAATTATGATCACACTGAAACTACAGAGGGATAAGGCAGGCATTAAAACAAAACTCAGGCGGAACAAAGGTATGAAAATTGTCTATATATCAGATTTTTTGTTGTTTATCCAGAAGCAGAAAACGATAATGTGAAAGAGCAGATATTTTCCTTGCCTGAGGGTTTTTAAAAAAATAAATATAAACATACTCTCATCCATATATACATGAATGACATTTTGTCAGCGTGTGAGGATTAGAGGTGCAGGACTTTAACTGAGTGCATGATGAGATGGAGATTTTAAACTCACAGAGGATGATGGTAAAGAGAAATGTGGAAGATCTCAGTGGGAGACATACAGAGCCAGGTGGAACCTCATGAGCTGCAACATGTGCTGTATCATTCAATCAATCATTATCCTCTGATGCTTTCTCCTACACACTCATGCATAAATACACACATGCGCACACATACAGTATAGAGAATATTGAATCCTGTTTCATGTACACAGTGCTTCTCCGAGATGTCAGGCAGAGTTTTGCCAGTGGCATTCCTGCACAAAAATACACTCTGAGATTAGAACCAAGAGCTTAACTCACTTCACTAAAACACTTATGAAACATTTCTGAACATTTTGAAAAGTATGACTAAACTCAGTCAACAATGGGAGCGTGTGTGGTGCCGCACAAAGAAGACATGCTTTTTTAGATGCATGTAATCCCTCGTGAGATATTCCCCCAAAAAGAAATCTGGCATATCAAATAGATGTGAGAATAATACCTGCATTTATCACCCTCAGGCTCCGACTTATCATACCAAATTGCACTAAGCCTTGAAGGAACTCAAGCGTATAATTATTACCCTTCACGCATGCAGAGTGACACCTCTGCTCGAGCACAGACTGTCAGACAAGGTGCTTCCAGGAGAAACTGAGAGGTTGATATCCACTGTGGGGGCGACGCCATTCTTCTTCTATTGTTTCACTAATGGGTACAGAGCTGGCCCATTTCCCCCGCCTGACAGTGAGGAGGAGTCAGTCCATCATTCACAGAGGAGCACGACGGAGGAGTCCTCATTCAGAGCGATGACAATTTAATCCATCTAACTATCGTGCATCTATGAACTCATACTGAAGCATACTGTTGAATGGATATTCCCCTCACAAACAGCCATGCATGTTGATAGCTGCGTTTTTTTAGCATCAGGACTTGCTCGAACCTGCCAACCTTTGAAAGCTGAAGGCATGAGCGAGTGGAGTCATAAGGTGCCTGGTGTCCTTAATGAACCACCTCTGCTGCACGCGCTGCCAGGCCTGTTTGCTGACTGCCAAGACTGTCACATTAACACAGAACAGCATGCGGGATATCGACAAACATCTGAGGTAAAGATTTAAAGCGAGAAATAGCAGCCGGCCTATTAAGTCCTAATGCTTTTATTACAGTAAGAGTGGAAAGTATTCACCGATTGGCAAGAAAAATAAAAGCACCTCCATGATGTAATGCAAGGCAACATAATAGCCATGCAATAAACTCTAACAACATTTTTTTTTTACCTTTTTTATGTGCATATCCTCAATACAATCCCACTTGCAAGTCTGTGCATCCATGCAACAAGTGCATTCAAAGTGCTCAGGATCAGGAGGCGTTTTGGCGACAATTGTAAGTGCCTTCTTTCCACACATGCAGTGAAGACAGGTTCATCGCTGCAGAAGAAGCCCTTATAGGTTGTTTCCTTGAAAGGGAGAGTGATAGGTTTATAAGTACTAACATGGAATGTGTGGCTGCAGTCTGAAAGGTGAGGCTGGCTTTACTGTGGGTTAAATACATTGCAGTGTGATGAAGTGAAATACTGTAAACTGAGATCTCCACAGGGGGCCTCGCGATGTCTTAAAGTTCATAGGTCATGTTTTGTGAGGTAAAGAACGTGAAAACGTGTTTCTCAGAACAAGGAAAGATAAAACTGAGATATCTGTCAGTGCAGTGTGGCTATCCTTTGAAGCAGTTTTACACTTTAAAGATAGTGGTTCATTCATCACCATAACGTTCACATAAAGATATTCAACACTGATAGAGCTTTAATTGTATTATTCTTTAATTCATTCACACTACCCATAAAATGTGACCTCACTCTGTATTTTCGCTCTCATTCTCGGCCCCCTAAAAGCCCAAATGTAGGTCTGAAATTACAACGCCAACATAACCTGGCACCAGTCCTGGTCTTCGGATTATTACTGAGGAGGTCTGGTATGTGCTACTTGGCAGCGTTGGACTGAACACTTTCGTGACATCACTGGGAAAGAATATCCTCTACTGTTGTTTGTTGCTTTTTCTTTGCAGGTCATTTTCAGTTCTACATGCCATGTAGTGGGGCTGCCCTTGAGTCCTAGAACGAAAGGCGGCAACAACAACAGCAGCAGCAGCAGTGCAATGTTTTTAGCCGCAGGTTTGCAGGTAAGTATATTATGTGCTGAACAAAATGATCTTGGCAATGATGCCCGTGAAGGACCCTTCAGGAGTAGATGGACAAGCCTGTTAGGAACGCTCTCTAAAAGGCAATAAGGGAGGGAGAGCAGGTAATAAATGGCTTTTTTTTTTTTGCTCAGGCTCGGTCTCAGGGGAGATTCTCTCAATGAATTAATATTGAAGCGGAGACTCTGGCCCAGGCAAGTTTATACCCATAAAAATTGGCAAATTATGGCCGTGGTGACAAGCCACTCCATCAGCAGGGATGTTAATAATGTACAATATGCTGCTGCTGGGTTAGAGTAAATGATTATTACACAGAGGCAATGCGTGAAATAAAAGTTAAAGCCTTACATATCCCATCAGACCATGGCCTGTCACACAGATATTGTCCATGGTCATTAAGAGAAAAAGCATGTCGTAAATGAAGAGTAATACAGTGTGTTCTTATTAAAGCACACTTTTCTGTTATACTTCTGCCCTCTCCTTCTTTCTCTCTCTACTACACAGACACATTTTCACTCCCTTTCTGAAACCTTTGATATCCAAATCTGCCTCTTTTGAAAAAAATACTTTTGAACACAGCAGAACACTGACCTGAAAGAGCTCAGGGAGGGAGACAAAAAAGCAAATATACCTCCACATGTCAAAAGCTATCAACAAGCAGGTGCAGCCAGGCTGAAAGTGTTTTTTTTTTTTTTCTTCTTCTTCTTTCTTCTCTTAAATGCAAGCAGACTATTTCAATAATTACCTCCAATATTCTTCAAAGTCTCTCTTTTATATGAAAACAGTGAAACGTGGGAGAGGGTGCTGCTGTGGGCTCAGCCTGTCTGACAGAGATACAGGAGAGGCATAAAGTACGGTACTTGGCTGCATGCATCCTCTGTTGGACTCTGTTTGTGTTGGCTAACTCTCACTTTTTGGAAGGACTTCTGAACAATTTTACTATCTAGATCTAGAAATCTTATTAATAGGAGGTGGACTATAGAGCAGTTTTTTTTTTAACACCTCTGAAAACTGTAAAAGTCGTAACGAATAGAAGGGACAACACATCTTGCCAAGTGAGCCACGCAATTACTTTTTCAAAAGAAACTTGGAAATAGATGCTTGATGGTTTTAAAGGAATGTGCCCTTTATTTGATTAATGCTTGATTTAATCAGCATATATGGCTGTAAAAAAAAAAAGGAAGAAAAAAAACTACCATCGTTCATCATGTTCATCAGATGCACCTTAGGCAGATTCAAATCTCGGACACTCGCATTCTTCGGGGTCTGGCACGTCTCCACACCTCTGTCTGCACATATTTCATCTGAGTCGTGTTTGAACATGAAGCACCGAGCGATGTGCTGTCACATCACTTAACGATCAGTCTGATATCTGCACGAGACGAACGACGCTCGGTGTGAATTCTTGCACGTGTCAACACTTTCGAGCCGAAAATGTGCAGATTCACCAGGTTCGGGAGGACTTGGATTGTTGCTGTTTTCACACAAAAAAAAAAAAAAAAAAAAAAAAGTTAGAGAGGGAAAACAGACTGAAAAGGATTACGCCGAGATGCCCAGTGATGGGTACCAAAAGCGCACGAAATTTCCCAGGAGCAACATGTTTTCATTCATAGCCTGTCTAAATCGAGATTCCCCGTTTGAAGAGCTTAAAATAATGATTCGCTTTGCACAAGCCAATGCAAGTGCTGTGTTCAACCAAAGGCGTAGTTATATTTGAACACGAACGGGCTATAAATTTGGCTGAACTGCGATGGTTACATTTCTCTGGCTCTTAATCAAAGACAGTGTTATTTCACAAAAAAACATGGGCTCTAGCATTAAACGTGAACCATGTGCACTCACCTGCCATCAAAGTCTGCACTTATTCCAAAGGTGCAGCCGTACAACAACATCAACTTTATCCATAAATCCATGATTACGGGAGTTACGCGCCCTCGCTGCTTGTTATTTATCCTCCGTAATCCAAAAGGTCGGCGGAGGAAACAGTCAGCGGAGTTTCTTTGACGCACGCGGAAGGTGCACAGGTAGGACTGATCTGCCGGCGTCCCTCACCCTGCTCATGTGCGATATTCACCGAAGGCAGTCCGCTGCCTAGAAGAAGAGTGGCCCCGATGTGTGTATGTGTGTGTGCGCGTGTTTGTGTGTAAGTGGATCGGGACGCACTCTGCCGGGAAGAGAGCGCACAGCTCCCTCTCTCTCCCTCTCTCCCTCTCTCTCTCTCTCTCTCTCCTCTCACAAGTTCAGTCAACGGGCTCTCCAACCAACAGCACCCACTGCAGTCACTCCTTATCTCCAGTCTCTCCAATAACCAGCGGCCAAAACACAGTGGATATCATCAACCAGCCAGCAGCTCGACTTTGAATGTGACGCCCCGACCTGAGCAGCCGAGAGGAAGAGGAGAGGATCCAGACGCACAGCTCTCCGTGCCGCGCATGCTTTGGAAACGGCTTCATTAATTTTATCGCCTGCTGAGGCACGCAGGTGCATCGGCCACCCAGGTAGACGGTGTTTACGCTGTAAAGGCAATGCTGTGGAAATGACAGGGAATACATTTTGGAGGGAAGACAAAAGATAAGCAGTGTAATTAAAAAAAAAAAAAAAAAAAGCCATTTGGAAACAGGTTGGGTACAATTTGTATAAATTAATATAAAAGCTTTTATTGTAGGCTCCTGTAATTTCATTGTAAATATTGAACTTTTTTCATAATGATTTCAGCTAGTTTCCTAACTCAACTTTGTTTCACATTGATTTTAGTTCCATCATTACATTCTAACTTATTCGTGATGCAATGTCCTTGTCTTTCTTGGACTAAAGTTTACAAAATGTGAAACGTCCAAGCTCCTGGACTGACAAATAGAGTCAATGCTGAAATGCAGAAAAACAGCAGTTCCTTTAGTTACCACTTGAGGCCGGCCCCAAAAGCAAGCAAGACCCATTATGCCATGTATTAAAATGGCCAATTTTGAAGAGGGAATTAACATGTTTACGGCCAGCTAAGAAAAACTTTGTAGGTCTCAATAGATCTTTTTTTTATAATAATTTAAACTGTACAGGGTCTACATTAACTGGGCAGTTTAAATAATGTTAGTCTGAATATTTTCTAATTAGGGGTGTGGTCCCTTTGAGTTACAGGTAGATGCTGATGCCTATGGTGTCCTGTCTCGTTGAACATGCAAAGAGACATGTTTTTGGCAGAAGATGGATTTATTCACATATTTTTCTGCAAACCTGAGACATAACTTGAATGACTGGACCCGGCAAAGCTGCTAAACTTGAGAAAATAACACAGATAATGATACAGCTGAATGTTACGCCCAAATCTCTTATGGATAATATCTACATAGGGGATATATCTGCTTCTTGCTTTGTCACTCATTTTTCTTTCTATAGATTCATCCGTCACCCTCCTCTTCCGTCTCTTAGCATGAGTCATTGTATCAAACCACACAGGCTATGTGTTACTGACTTCTTTTTAGGCTGGTTGCTGAAGTTACATACTGCAGTATGGCGATCAGGCTGCACTGTGGGAGTGACGGCATTCTCCCTATTGAAAGTTATTGTAAGTCGACCCTTGAAACTATTTAAGGTGGGAAAGTAGTTTTCAGTTTTTTAGAGATTTAATATCAGGTCATTTTATTTCCTGTTAGTGCTTATTATTAGGTACTAGTGTTTGAGCTCACCTATCTTTCTTGTAAGTTTGCTGCGTGCTTTTCATAATTTTGGGGTGCAGGACATAAGATTCAGGATTGTTATTGCTTTTTTGTAGAGAAGACAGCAGTGTGGGCTACTCGTACCTAAATATGACAGCACTTCTGGCTCCATAAAAAACAACACAGTGATGTGAAAGCCAAACGCTGAACTCAAGGCCTCAAAAAGGCTGTTGACAAAGCAATTGGTGATGATAAAGTGACGAGGCTATATCCATTATTTACAGTCTATGGGTGCGTCCTACATGAAATTGCAAGATCTTTAATATTCTCGCTTTTCAACAAGAGGGTATGTTTGGTTCTATTAGTGTGATTATCTCCCGTCTGACTCGTCTGCAACACTTCCTATTCAAAGGCTGTTGAATTGCACTTTCTGTCTGAGGGAGGCAGAACTCTAAAGGTCTGCCTCGTTGTCTGACGTGACGGCCTTCAGCCTCCACAGTCACAGTCAGTCAATAAAATAATTCTCCAGTTTGGCATAAAGGAAGAACAAAAAGGAACAGAAGAAAAGTGATGGCTTGTTAACTGAAGAAATGCTATTTAATGGAGCAGGAGATGAATGATATGAATGTTTGATATGATTACTGCTGCTTATTCACTCTCTCGGAGTCTTTTGATGCATGGCACTGTTCGCCTTGTTTCGCCTTGTTTCGCCCTGACATCACTTTCATAATAAATCTACGTGGTAGCTGGTGAATGTGAATGTGCCGGCTGTGTATAATTACACTATTAATCACATTATTTACAGCTTTCCACTGTTAAAATGTGATTTCAGTGATGGAAAATAAGACCAAAATTGAAGTCTTATTGGCAGCAGTATGTTGTGAAAAGTTGAGAAAAATCATGAACAAACATTAAAGGGTCAGTTCACACTAATCACTAAAGATCACATACTGTCTCACTTTTGTTGTATTTAACAATGAAAATATTTTCAGTTAAACCTCTTGATTTTTAGTGACACACATCTGTAACACAAAGTCGTCTTAGTTTTAGGATTAAATGTACAGTATGTAAATTCTGCCAGCAGGGGGCTCTCAATCAAAACAATAACAAAAGATGACGTTGAGGCTGGCGGGGAATCCTGGGAGTGATTCTCTCTACTACTTCACACCCCACCCCTGATGAAAGCGAACTCGAGTTGACCGCTGTCAAGACAAACGGGCGAAACCGACCGGAGGAAGAGAAGATGTTTACCGACGAGCTAATGTATCGAAGTTTTTGTCACAGCAGCACATACAGCCACAGCACGGCAAGTTTCAGTAGCAGTTCCGACTTCCTTATGAAGCGGACTTTGACGCGACAGCAGGTGTTTCCTTGGCAACGATGAACATGTCGCGTCAGTCATGGCGGCTCTGTCATGATGGCAGCCAAGGCAAGACACAGATCGTAACATCTATAAAATTACTGACTTCTCTGGTTTTGACAACTGCGGGAAATATTGAGCTAATGTAGGTTCTCAAAAAAAAAAAAAAAAAAAAACATATTATACCTTTAAAAGCTCGTGTGGAACTTTCAGTTTGTGTCGCCTTTGACGCCACCAGTTGAAAAACTGGTAAACGTGTTATCTCTTTGCTAAATTTGTCCTGTGCGTGGCAAGATTTTTACATTTACATCTTGTTTTATTTTAACAATCAAATGCATCACTCATTGTGAATATTTGCAGTTTAAAATGTTAATTAAAAAAAGTCTGTTTCTGCAGCATCACTTTCTGACTTCTCCTTAAATCGACCTCGTTTACAGAGTTCTAATCACTCTCTTCACTGATTGTCTTGATTACTTTAGTAGGTGATAAAGAGGCATTGCTATTAATATTAGAATGTTTCAAAACCAGGTAAAAACTCGTCGTGGGAGCTTTAATTGAATTTAGTCATTTCTAGATCCAAACTGAAAAACACTTAACATTATCAGAAGAAAAACATATAACTGTTTCTGTGATAGTGAAATGAATCCCTTGGTGAAAAGGGACACATTTTGATATACTCTGGAAACACAATATTTATATGGAAAAACAAACAATGGAAGCAAAAATGTGTTAGCAAGGAGAATGCAAATAGCTATTACATGAGGTGACATCAGATGTGCATATGTGTGAGAATGTAATGAGAAGCAACAGGAAATAGATAACAATATTATTATGGCGCGCAAAACAACAGCAGCTGGGACCTGCTGAAGGCAGCCGAACACCAAACATGCATTATAACTTATTGTTTCTCTCCACTGCTCTAATTATTCTCATGGCTGTTTATTAGAAAAGTTGAAGGAAACACATGGCATGGTGGTTATACACAGTAAATGTATGAGTTATGGTGGTATTTAGGATAAAGAAAGAAAGGGCAGCAGGAGCTTTTCCTATCCATGTAATCTGGACTGTTATGGTAACTGTGTTAATTATGAGGAATGACCAAAGATATTAAAACAATGAGAGAGACGTTACGTGTTACGCTGCTACAGTGTTCGGTTAGAGAAGTTTTTGAAAGCCAAGCAAATTAGTTGAAAAAAAAAGAGTTTCAACTGACGTGAAAGCAAAGATTCTACATAGTAGTGTTCATGATTATTTAAGGCAAAAAGTATAACAAGAAAAAAGCTGAAGATGGACAAACCTAAGGTTGAGGAAAGGGAAAAGTCGACCTGCTCTGCCAGATTGGAACTGGACAAATTCAAAAGAATCTGGGAGAAAGATTTTCTTTTCCTTTAAACTGTTTGATTGGGGAGTGCAGGGACTGAATTCTATATGTAGAAGATATGGGGAAAATAGTGGTGGGAAGAGGTAGAGTAAATCATGTGAACTGTGACGCAGACGTGTCATCTTATTAGTCATATCTGATTTGCATTCTCTTTATTTTTTTGTCAAAAAAAAGCTGTGGGGCAGCTGTGTGAGATGTTGTGGTGTTTGACAATTGTCTGCTCACATCCCAATGAAGAGAATACTAATGAAGTGTTCATGAGTTATTATGACTCACGATGATTCAAGGTTTGTAAAGATTTGGGTTCCTTTTGCCAAAAATAAGGTCACGATCACTGCTTGTCACCTTTTCTATCAAAGTCAGTTTGATGTTTTTTTCCATCTCTCTGTATATTTTGACTCTCCAACCTCATTTGCAGAACATTGACAATCAGTTAAATAAACAACACAGATAGATTCAGCTGAGTGTATCACTTCCCCTGCGCTCTATTTACAGAACGGCTTTACGAAGCAGATCTTTAGTAAATAAACATTCTGTTCTTATAGACGCTCACATATCTCACAGAAAAGTATGTAAACAAAGAATCTTGTCTAGTCACCTTCCACCCGCGGGTGTTTTTAGTTCAATCGACCCATTTCAGCATTCTGCTCACTCTCTCTCTCTCTCTCGTGCAGCTCTAAGTAGAGCCACCTACTCACTTCTTCTCAGCTTTTTTGTTCCCATATGCATTTCTGTAATGTGAAGTTGTGCAGCGCCACAAGCACGTACAGGGAGTCAAACCATCTCCTTTTGAAATAACTCCAGTCGTTGGAAGGAGCTGTGTCTGTGGCCATTCACCTCGGGATAGATTGACTCCGCTGACTGAATTTAGATGAGTTTGACGCTGGAGAGAGAAAAAAAAATAAAACCCCTGAACCTCTCTTGTCTTCTGCTTCCGTGTGAGCGGGAAAACCTTCTCTCCTGCTACTTCTCGATATTTCTCATTCAACGGCAATACACTGTCAAAGACGCCAAGACAGGCTACTTCAGAGAAACAGATGAGCAGCTTCAGCGGGGGAACGGAAGCTTAAGGGGCTGTAGTATGTCTAAAGTATACATGATTGGAAATACAGAGCGTATTGTGTGATTTTCAGCTGCCAGGCTCTGAGCGGTACGCATCTAATCAAGCGCACTGACCTTTTTGCCAGCATCATAAAATATTCATTGCTGCTGAACACATTACGGGATACATACCGTATTCCCATACATTCTTTATGAGGAATAATCACTTTCTGTGTAGAACCATGAAAAATGCTAAATTATACCTGGTATCATGACTTTAAATCCAATTCCCCTCTTTCAATACCCCCCCTCCCTTTCTTTCCTTGAGTCTCTCTCGCACACACACAAGAGGTAGATAATGATAAATCCCCATCTCATCTTTAAGTGCAGATGAGTTTTTTTAGCCACTGTTCTTCTGTATATACCTGACAACTGTGCGTGCTGTCTGCTGGGATCTATCACAGAAGGCCACATCCAGACTATCTGCAAAAAACAGCATGTGGAAGTATGCTGCAGTTAATTTGCAATGTGGGTGTGTAATTCCTGCTGCTTCTGTTTATGCTGACAGCTTGATCGCACATGTCTGGCAAATGCACAAACATACCGTCGCAGTTGGTGAGAGGCTTGAGCTCTTTTTATGATAGTTAAGCATCCGATGATTTAGTAGGTTTTTTATTAAGTCATGGAATCTTTCTACACTCCTGCACTTTCCAGCTCAAGATTTCAGAAGATGACTTTTGCCAGTCCAGAAATATCACCCAAACATCTGTTTTAATCTCACATGAGATGTCTTTAAAAAAAATAAAAAAAAGATAAAATGTTAAGAGTGGATAAAAAATTGTTTTCTCTGCAGCGTCATGACAAAGCCAGGAGCCACACCGCTCATGTTGTGCTCCTCACAGTCTCAATTATGCACCACTTCTTCCAGCTGGCCCGCGTCCACGTCCAGTCCGCTCCTCTCCTGCGGCGGCCTTCCCACCAGCATGTTGTTCTTCGGTGAACAGCTCTCAGGTTCCATAGTCATCACCCGCACTGAGTACCCATGAGCCTCTGCTGCCAAAGAGCGGTCCAGGTCTACCAGGCCCATACACTGTTTACCTGAAAGGGGCCCAGAGAGAAGACAAAAAATGATTTGATATTCCAAAGGCGAAGAGGGAATAAACTCTTAAGCATCTCCTGAAGAACCGAAGAAAAAAACAAATTTATACCAAAAGATACTGATTACATTAGAATATTATGAGTGAAGCCTTGTCACTAATGTTCCTGTAAGTCGATGCAATCCTGATTTATTAGAGCAGTAATATTGTGTAGAAGAAGAAGAAAGAAGAAGATATGTTTTATTAAATCCCACGAGGGGAAATTACTTTTACACGCTACACACACACATACATACATACATACATAAACATGATCCTATGGACATGCACTAATGGAGAGATGTCAGAGTGAGGGGCTGCAGATAAAGGGGCGCCTGGGCAGTTTGGGCTTTAGTGCGTTGCTCAAGGACACCTCGGCTGAGGAAGTGAACTGGCAGCTCTCCAGCTACCAGGCCAATGTCCAGACTTGGTCTGCACCGGGACTTGAAAAGACCACCCACCGATTGAATTAAGTCCCTACAGACTGAGCCAACTCCAAATTAATAAAACATAAATCATACATAATGTGTAATCCTTTTTAGCCTATTACAATATATAACAACATAGCTAACATGTTGAGCAGGGATGTTACAAGAAGAGACAGTAATAGAAAATAAATCCATTTTAAAGTAGAATTATGGAACAGAAAAGAGTGAAATACAGACAGAAATGTTCATATACACAGTGTAATCAATAACATCAATCATACAAATTATGGAAATAACTGTCAGATAAGAAAAAAATGACACAAATGAAAAGACCTGAATGAGTGGAGATTTGTTCTGGCTGTATGATCCCAGCATGCTATTTCACTGCCTAAATTCACAACAGGAAGAGTTGAGTTTTGGATTTTAAATGACAGGGGAAAAGCTCATGATGACTTTGTCTTTTAAGGGAACATTTCCATATTTTTCCGCCTACAATGACAACATTCTCCATCTATAGGGCATGAAGGTCAGTGAACGGAATAAAAATGAAGTGAAGCATACAGTGTGACCTTTGCAGTTGCCACATCTTAACCCAGAGAAACACCTTTGGGAGATTCAGGAGCATGAATCCGACAGCGATCTGTATTGAAGCGGTTGTCTGGCTGTTCATGTGTTTACTGTGAATTTTGATTTTCTGGAGAGGATAACTGCCGGTGTTTGGCAAGTTGGGCGAGCTTTGCGTCACTACGTTGGAATGACTTCATGGAACTGACTTCATGGAACTTCATAATGTTTTTCTTCTTGTTGTAGTGCGAGGTCTTTTAGTAAAACCAAACTATAAATGCTGTTATAGAGGTTTTTAATCACAGATAATGAGTCTGTGGCGGCTTCAAACAGGAAGTAAAATGAACATTACTTTGGATATATATGACATTTATTTGAGTAACTAAAGACAATTAAACACATTAGGTTTACAGAGGCTGAATTATGATCATTTAATGCGTAGTGGGAGAATGAAAACAGTAAGAGCAATAAGGAAATGATGCCTAATGGTAAGATCTTATCATGCAATACATGTACGACGTGTACCTTTCTGTTGACTTTTTTCATCAACAGATGAAAACCTTACGCTATTTTAATTGATCACTAAAAACAATAGAAAAACTGAGAGAAAATGAACTACATTACAGTATACTGAAGTGGAAGCTGCACATTCACAAGATGACTTCACAGTCTGTGCATCCTGCTGAAAAGGCAAAAGTGTCAATAACAACATGTTTAGTTGCTGTAATCATCTGCTGCCTTGTGTTTAAAGAAAATACTCAGGGAGAAACACAACTCTTTATGTTTTCTGTGTAGTTCCAGCTTATATGATTCAATAACCAGTGGTTGTGATTATGGCTGTTTGGAGACACACTTCAGAGTGTTGCCTTTCAGAAGTGACCTTGTTTGTGCTTGTACTCTAAATGGTTCAAAGACAGCGTACCATTTACTTTAGGTATGTCTGAATAGGCGTTTTTGGAACATTTTACAGTCTCTCCAATAATATAGCAATAAGCAACAGAAGCTTAATGGTAAGATCTTATTTTACAATATTCACAATGTGTACTGTTTGCTTTTTCACTTTGATTCTAGGCATTATGCATTTATTTCAGTTATGCATTTCTTTGAACATTGCAGGTATTCCTGGTACGTTGTAAAGTCTCTGTATGTTCCTAGCATGTTTGTATCTTTATCAAACAAAGCTGCTTATTCATGGGGCACCAGTAGCCTAGTGGTTAGTGCACACGTGCCCCCTGAGAGGAGGATGTGGTCCTCCAAGCGGGTTTTGAATCCGACCTGTGGCTTATTTCCTGTGTGTCGTCCCCCACTCTCTCTACCCGATTTCAGACTCTATCTTCTGTCCTCTCTCTCTCAATAAAGTCATATTTGGTACTTACTTGCTATTTTATTTTTTCGATATGGTTCCAGTAAAAATGAAACAATATCGCTACCTGTTTTGATACCACAGCAACATAAACAGAAGACCTAGGCACACAATATGGAGTAATATCTTGTTTTTAGTTACAATACAGACAAACTCCTGCACACTGTGTTAAGTGTAAAAAAACAACATCAGCAACATTTTGGTACTGAAACTTTGAGAGCATATTTGTACAGTTTAGAAGGTGCTCTCTCTGTTTTACTTGCGGCAGCTTTAGCTTAAAATGAGTCCTGAAGATCTCTAGTGTTTGCTATATTCAGTACTTTTCAAAACAACCAGTCATTACAATTACATGTCGTTTTAAAACAAGCAGGTGGAAAGTGTAGTTGTATCATCAATTTGGAAACCTTATCACCTAAACCGCCTTTCTCTCAGAATATTCTTTAGAGACAGATTTAAAATGTAATACGCGTTTAGTCAGTTAGGCAGCAGGTGGCAGATACAGTAATAGCAATCTTTGCTCTGCCATGCTGCCTGCTCGGTCACGGTGACACCGGCAAACTCCAGAGAGCTGAGATCCAACATGGTTAGAAAATGTTAGAGGGAGAGGTTGAGCCCTGTTAACTGATACCGAGCGGAAACCTGTGTGACAGGTGTTGTCAGGTACATATGAAAGGGCTTCAGAATGACGAGGCATCGGGGAGACTGCTCAGACTCGGAGGGGAGCTTTGATGAGTTGGAGAGCTATCAGGGTGAAGAGAGTCTTCGTCGTAATGAAACAGTAAAGTGAAGCGTGAGCGCAGGCCTGGAGGTAAGAGTCTGACAAAACACTTCCTCTGAATCTGACAACCTCGAGCTGGCAGCTGTTCACTGCAGCTGTTTGGTCACACTGAAGGAATGCTTAGCGCTGACATTTGTCACATTTCTTCAAAGTTGTGAACTAAAAGAAAAATAAAAGCAGTGGAGTCGCATCACATTTTTTTTGAAAATTGAAGAAAACATATCACAGGCGTATATTAAGATTGTTGAGGGTTGAATAAAAAAATAATGCTACCTGAGTCAAACTCCAGCCTTGACTCAGGGTTTGCGGGGTCAGGAGCAGGGATGGGACAATAATTTGAGACAGAAATAAATTGTCATCCTGAATCATGTGATACAATTAGCGAAATTACGAATGCCAATTATCGATATTTTAGTAAAAAAAATAATTATACAGCGCTCTGTCAATTTGACCCACTGCAGTACTTCTCACAGCGATGCTTATGACATGAATGAGGGTAAAATGGACAATAATTTACTCGCCAACGAAGAAGCTGACAGCAGGATAAAAGAAGAAGAAGACAGCTTGATAGTGCTGGACAGTGGTGAAAAGAAGCTGGAGGATGAAGGGTAAAGAGGTGAAACTGACTGAGGAACACATTAATCCTGCATTTGACCTTTTAAGGAGAGTTTCATATTCTTCAGTTAACCGGACATTGTGATGTATCATTGGATGTGTTGCAATATAAAAATGATGACAGAATCTCTGTATAATGAGGATATCTTCACCCATTGGCTAGAAGCAGATATCGCATCATGATGAGTTACCTTGATTACCACTCCAAGCCAGGAATCATACTTGAACACACGTATGCATAAACAAACACATTTAGCATTAAATGTACATCAAAGCGTGTGTATAATCAGGTCTGTAACATTTGTACACCTTACCTATGAGTCTCCTGTCAGGAGGGAGCTGGACAGCAGTCTGGTCTGCAAAGCGACAGAGGATCATGTGTTCCTGAAACAAGAACGGAAACTCTTGACTACAGGTGTCAACAACATTAACAAAAATGTCCTGGTTTTATGATGTGAAGTCTAAAAAAACCCACGTTTGTTTGGCCATTCAACAGATCACTGTCCAAATGATTCAAAACCAAAATAATTCCACAGCATGTCTCTTTACGATGAGACGTTCAGTGGATCTAACACCATTATGTATGTGCATCATATTCACAGTCTGTCTCTACAATGGGTGGTATTAAGCTATGGGGAAGCTGTGTCAGTTTGTCAACCACTTTTGTTCAGACTGAAAGATCTCAACAGCTGTGGAGATCCATGTTCCACACACGACAAACTCGACAGACTTCTGTGATCTCTTATCCTTTCAATCTCCCACGAAAGACGTAAGAACAAGGAAAACCATTTGATGAATGATCTAATACTTACAAAGACTAATGTTCTAATCTTCTGTCCTCTGTTGCTTTTATAGTTAGATTTAACCATCGGTCTTCTTTCATTCGTCATTTAGTCTTTAGTGCTTGCGATGTGATGTCGTCTCCGTCGTCTTCTTTATTTTTGTATCGTTACATACATATTTGTCTATTATTTAATTTCCTTTAATGGTATTGCTTTATAGCTCTAACTGCCTTTGAGGCCCGTCTGTTGCATCTCCTTTATTCCTGTTACTTATAATATCTTTGTAGACTTTTCTCTGTTTAGTCTAACTGTTGATGTTTATTCTGTTATTGTCCTGAGTTCATTCATGTCTTTGCTCTGTCTCTCAAAACACTTTGTAAACATCTGTTTTTAAAAGGTGCTTTATAAATAAAGTTATTACTATTTAATTTGCTACTTTGCTGAACCCTTAGCTACTCACCTAGCACTAAAGGCAAACGTTTCTATATATGATAGACTCTGTGATGACATTCTGATTTAGAAGGAGAAATAACTGGAACGCTAACAGGCTAAAAGAAGATGGTAAACGGTCTAACTATTACCTATGATTAACATAAGCATGGTGAGCATGATAGCATGTTGCAACATAAATGTTTTAGTGTAAGTGGACTGAATAGCAGTGCTTGATAAGATTTGATGCCTCTGCATTGTGTCCATCATTTATAGACCAGTTTACAGACTGTGGGACTAGTTGACCAGACGTAAAACAAGAAATCAAAAACAGAAAGAGAAACATTTTTTTTATCTGCATGAAAGGCCTCGAACCAACCGATTCTTTTTTAACACATAAAATCCCCCCCTATGCGTTTTAAAGGGCCAGTTGAACCCTGGTGATTATTTTCTAGCTGAAGGGCAAAGGAGGTTTCCTCTTCTGTTTTCCCTTGCTTAGGTTCACTGAACAAGTGAATCAGGTCAGGAGTTGCTAATCTTTTACCTGCCTCTTGCTTTAATTGATTCCATCCCTCACTGCCCTGAATACAAGGCCGTGGAGCAGGTGCTAAAAGTTAGCGCTGAGCACCAATATCTCACACCATTAGGCCTTTACTTCCGCAATGCACCATTTGTTAGTGTACTGCCATTCTGTTTAACTACTTCAGTTCAGGAAGGACAACTACGATTCTGCCATAAAACAAATGCAATGCAGCTTTGATTTCTGCAAGTGTCAGCGTGGAGTTAAGGAGCGGAGACACAAGAAGAAGTAGGGCTCTGAAGACTGAGTCCAAATGAAAAGGAAATACCAAACATGGCTGTTGAAAGAAAAACAATAGGGAGAGATTCTGGCTCAAGTTCAAGTGGCAGATAATGTGTCTGCTGGTTTAGAATATTGATGTATCCTGCTGTGTTGCTACTCTTTATTTCCACACAGTAAACATGACAGTTACATTATTCTCCTCTTACTGGGCTTCCAGATAAAAGGTGGAAAAACACAACTCACTCGAGAAAAATGGCACATTTACCCACTGTCTTGTAAATAATATATCATTTTCTCTGGTCTTGAGCTGTAAAAAGTCTGTTTCTCCTTGTGTGCACAAAAGAAAATATTTTAGAGGTGGTCCGATGTTGTGACATGTCAACTCTCGAGGTTGCCATGGCTAAGACCTGCAGCAGCTTTTTTTGCACAGATTCTCTCGAGGGGCAGTGACAGGTCCCATACATCATCATGGGAAGGGCCCTCTCAGAGTACAGTGCTGGGTCTGTGCTGAGCGATAAGGGGGGAGGGGACTGGAGGGAGTGAGCCTCACTCTCCAAACTGCCTGGGGAATCAAGACGGTGATGAGAGCCAAGAGATCTCATTAGTTTAATTTCTCCGTGCCATCAGATAAATGAAAAATAAACAAGAAAGCAATATGCTGTCAAAAAAAGAGCCAAGAACGAGTAAGCATGCCAATCAAATTAAATTAAAGTATGATCAAATTGAGTCTTGTTATAACAAGATGGGATTCAATAAGTGGAGATATGTGTCACAGAAACAATACACGACATAAGATAAGTTATAACTGACTTTTAACACATGCTCACCAGGTGTGACTGTTATTTAGTTAACCTGTTAAGCTAATGCTAGCTTGTTCATATCACAATGTGTAATCAGCCGGAAGAATAAAAGAGGATATAAAATGGTAAATGGAGCTTGTTTTCTAGTGTTCTGAATACTCACAGTGCTTTTTACACCCCAGGTCACACCTACCCATTCACACACGGATTCAAATTCAAAAAACTTTATTTTTCCCCAACTCAAAACAAAGATGGCAGAGTTACAGGTAGCAATGTAAAGAAACCATCCGAAGTAAACTAATCCCATTCATACACAGCCGAAGAAGCAGTGGGAGCATCTTGGGGTAAAGTGTTTGGCCCAAGGACATATTGGATATGTGGCCGCAGGAGCTGAGGAGGAGCTGGGGATCGAACCCCCTACCTTCCAGTTGAGAGATGACCAACTCTACCAACTGAGCCACAGCGGCCGCAATGTTCAATCTCACATAAGACCTAAGACATAATAAAAAAACGGTCTTGAAATGATATCAATTAAACAGAAAGGAGGAAAACACAGCCAACAGACAGCCACCATCGAGCCCGGTAAAGCCTCGGATCTCCGGGCGCCTCGGATCCCCAATGAGGAGCTTTGCTTATCAAAGGTGCAAACCAACCCAGGTGTGACCCTGCTTCACAATTTGTAACTACTCTAAGTGTCTCCAGATTTCTTTGATGTTGGTGCTGACAACTGTGGTGTGGACAAAGCTCTTCAACCTTTCACCGGGTCACTGCACTCTGGTAAGGGTTTGTGAAACAATAACTTTGAAAGTAAACGCTTCTGATTCTAGTGCACGTTCTGTTAACGCAGCAGCTGCATAATTAAGACGGAAAAAACGGGAAGAAGAAAATGTCTCGACGATCCTAGGTAATAGATGAGCTTTTCATGAACATGATGTTGGAAAATAAGCCATGTAACACAAAGACACGTTTCTATGTGCACAATTAGAAGTTCACTGAGGCGGAAAAACAACTCATTCAAATATCTGAGTTGTTGCATTTTTGTATTCATTGGCTTGATTTTTGCCTGAAAACAAATAAATAATGAATGCATAGGAAATATTTAATAACATTTAGAAACATACCTTATAAGATAGCGTCTCTTGGAACCTTTTGCTGTAAAAACAACAAAAAAAAGATGATATTTAGATGTTAGTTTCAGACATCTTCTTCACTTATATAAACTACACTTTTAATGAATACATTTACTTGCTCAGATCTGGGGCAGAGGTTTACATTTTCTTGGGAAAATCACTAAACAAATAAAGGTCCAATGTCCCCTTGGAACATAAAGAAAATCTATAGCTCGTCCAAAAAAAACAAACATGCATTATCTGTAAGATAAATTTGGATGTGGGAAAGAAGCATGTTTGTTGTTGTAAAACATCATCCGATTGACTGAATCTAATTAAAAATCAACACACACAGAAGGTCAGGGCGACGGGGGCTCAGGTCACATGGAGAGAAGTCAGAAGTTTAACACACACAAAACTGTTAACAACCCAAATCCAAATGGACAGTTGGGTTTCACAGGTCATAAAAAAAAAAGCTGTAAACTGCCTGGAATGTCTGCACCTGCACAATCTCCACGCGAGTACCTGGAACATGGCCGGAGGGGAAAACACTTAAAGTGTAGCAGCTTTAAGATTAACACAGTCAGGTGTGAAGGCCCCCTCACATATTCTGTCCCACTGACCACAAGAAACTTCAAGCTCCTTGTTGTGTATTACTACTGCAATGTTGTTGTTTTTTTGTGTTATTCTTTAATATTTCATCAGGAGTCAGGAGAGGGGAAGTGTCAAGTTTGCAGAAGTGAGGAGAGAGAAAGCGGCCATGAATATTTCATAATGTACATTGAGAGACATCCCAAAGGAACCATTTCAGTGCCTTTTTTTTGACCCTCCTCACTAATTTGTGCAGGTGTCCCTTAGAGTCACACATAAGCACACTTACTGAACAGAGTACCACATTTTAAAAACTGCTTACATCAGTGTGCAGTTCAGTTTAAGTTTTAAGACAACATTGGTAACTTTAGAGAAATGAACCTCAAAATAAGTTAAACTGACAACAAGTCTAGAAAAGCTTCCTTGTGCAGCTGATTGGGCAATTACAAACAATATGCAACTCATGAAACACTGCTACTATGTGCCAATTCTGTGAGTGACTAATGAATAGCTTATCATTTCTATCACACTGGCAGGTACCACCTGTGTTGTCCACTCCTCTGAACAAATTGACTAAATCTCATCCGGCGGTTGTGGTTGTTTAAGAGTCTCAGAATCCACCAACAATCATCTGATGACATTATAGCCATCTGTTTCTGGGCTTCCAGTGCAGCCATTTGAATGGGACAGAGTACGTCGGGTTCTTCCTATTCCGTGCAATCATGAATTATAGTGCGACGAGCAACATGACAATCATGTCAGTGATTAGAGACTATTTCAAATCGAGTGAATTATAAGCTCCACGTTTTAGCAGATATCTGTTTAAAGACATGAGTAGAAGCTAAAATCATCATAAGATGACTGAAGACATGCTGCATTACCAAGGATCTGGTTTCATCGTTTTTGCTTTCCACTCGGACAGTTTTCTTTGACATTACTAATGCTCACTGGAACTTCCTGGACAATACTCTCTGTTCTATCAATGGAAACTTCTGTACCAAAACTCTGCACAGGTGTTGAAAATTGTGGTATGAGAAGGCACTTTCACCTTTCACCGGGTCGTAAAAGAATGACTTTAACACTGGAATGCAACACTTGTTTTACGGTCGATTCTAAGTGCTTTACTTCTTTGACAACTGGTATGTTCCCCTTCAGTAGGACAGTTCCTCACTGGCATACCCTAACCCTAACGCTGCAGTTCTGTGCTAGATGTTGACATTATGTGACTGTTGTTGCACAAGAAGGAGGCCACTGCTGCTCCAAGGGAACCTCTAAGTTTATTTGAACAGATTCTTTTTAAACTTTTTTCACGATTGGATTGTTCTAATAGATATAGAAAGACATTCTACAGCCCTTTTCAGACTGCGTTTTCGCAAAAGTACTGGAACCAAAGCGCAGCCTTCATTACGTCTTTGTACATTCATATTGATTCTGTAACCAAAGCGCAGCCTTCATTACGTCTTTGTACATTCATATTGATTCTGTGACGGCGACATATGTTGCGCTGCTCCACTGGCTAAGCTGATCTCGTCTCACCTCTACAACGCCTCTTCTACTACCTCTGAATACAGTACAAAGGGGAGATCACTTCATCCCCCCCATTACGCCCCCGCGACATTCAGATTGAAGGCGAAATGTCACCAGGGAGGTAAATATCACGCCTTGAAACGGCAGTCTGAATAAGGCTTTTGACTCCCTAATTACCTGTAAAATAAATGTATTCTCTTATTATTTCAATCCTAAAACTGAAACTGACATCCAAAATTAAGAATGAAAAGGTGGAGGGAGAGATGAGCAGAGAGGAGAAATGACGAGCGAGCTGGAGGAAGATTATCTTCAGGTGAGCTGTAATCTGAAAGGTGTGCTCTGAAACCTGATCACTGGATTGAAAATAATTATCACACAAGACACGATAACAGCATTTTACGGTTAGCTCCACATTTTTGTAAAGTTTAGTATTCAAAAAAAAACCTGTCACATCACATCCCCTGTCATAGTTTCTTTATTATTCTTAAGACAATATATTTAGCAGTAGGGTCAACATGTTTTAAGGGAAGCCTCTCATTTTTCATCTTCTGCTGTCTATTTCTTCCCATCTCTCTTTTCACTACTTATAAGACGTAACTTGATAAAGTAATTCCACCAATAGAAGAGCGTCTGGAGAGAGCGATTTGGAGGATTAAGATATTCCCCTCTCCGAAGATAACCTCTACATAAAGAGCCCTTCTCTCTGTTGCTGATAGAGCTGGGATATGATCGTAAAAGGTAAGGGGGGGCAGATCCTGTTGTGAAGGCGCTGTTACCTCATACCGACAGTGGTGATGATCAGAAACAGGAGGAAACAGATTGTGTGCCAAATTGAGACAACAAAATGATGGCTGAGAGGCCCAAAAGATTGAATTACCCAAAAGAGGGAATGTAAGGCTACAGGGAAGCTCCTCTGCTAGCAGGGGCCGAACAAAAAAAACAACAAAGTCAGAAACAACATTTTCAGAAAGCAGGAACCCTGAGCAGTGACATTGGACTGAGCAGAGCAGGGTACAAACCTCTTGGGGAAGGTGAACTTGATTGCGTTCTGGATAAAGCCGTAGCAACAAGGACTGATGACAAAGGCGGCTCCTGCCTGGATGCAATGCTCCGCCACCATATCTGTGGCTACGCCGCATGCATGAAGGGCAACCTGTTGTGAAATGGACAAAGAAAACAAGTTACTTTTTCCAATAAAATCTAACTTTAAAAAAATAAAAAATAAACCTGTCTTCACCCAAGGGCAAGTCCAAAACTCAGACAACTCCATAATGTGCACTCAAACCAATTGATTAGCTCAGAATGTCTGCTGCTTTTAAATACATGTGAGCTCTCAAAGGTGCGGCCCTGTGGAAGAAGAGCAAACAAAATGTATTACTTCTTCAGGAGCGGAGGCACGACGGCTTCAGGTTTCCCGTTGAGTGAGTAAACTGTGCGTGGTGATGAACACCTAGCAATGCATTAGTAATGGCGTGGTTATATACAAGGCCGCAGAATGGGTCTAAAAAGAGCCGACATTATATACACTCTGTATTCAAGCCAGCTCTTACTGAAAAAGAAAAAATAATTGCATTGTCTCCTGAAAGGAAATGAGTTTAATATCCAAAGTACAGTGGTGAAATAGATGATTTCCTCTCAAGCGTGCATCAGCTAAACACATTCTCTGCTAATGGTCCAAATAAAAAAGTATCATCAACAGTCTGATGTGACAATAGCTATTCAGGCTCGCACCCCCCCCACCCCCCCCAGTCTAACTCCTCCAACTTCTATTCTTGTCTTCCAAGCGGTTGTCACTTGGCGTCAGTGAGTCGGGAGTCTTTCGGCGTGTTGCCTTGACAGCGGTGCCACAGAGCAGGAGTTCAGAGGCGGTCAGGACCGGGCCGTGCCAAGATTGGCTGAAGCTCCAAAGATGGGGGAATTTACAGAAACGCTAAACGTGGCTGAATTCACTCACAAAGTCACTGAAACGTTTCGGCGAGGAACGCATTTGTCAGAGTTGTGTGTTGCATGGCTGTATCAAACATTCAGCTGAAACTACACAAGAAATACTAAAATTGTGCATGCTTTTTTTTCTTTTACAGCCAATTCCATAGTCATGTTTGGACTTTTTTTTTTTTTTGTTGCATTATTGCATGAAGAGCTCCTCCTTGAAAAATGCTGTTTTCACTGAATATTCATGAGCACAGAATCATTTATTCCAGCTTTGCGAGATGTGCTTTGATTCAAACAGGAAGTTAAAACAATGCAGCGCTTCCGATGAGAAAAAAAAAAAAAAAAAACAATCAGCAAGAGAAAATTGGGGAATTAACATCAATTACCTGCACGGCCTTGCATCTCTTTGACACCTTGTTTTTTATCCTGCATTTATTCCTTCTTTCAGGGGAAAAGCCTCACTTATAGTCTTTCCTCTGCGGCATGTTTCAGACTGCTGATTAGGAGGAGGAGTTCCCACCAAAGATTGCATGATGTTACAACCCCCGTATCTGAGGCAAATATAATTAACAAAGTAACACTATCACTCTTGCCCTGCTTCGTAATGATCACATTAGTCAAGCCGTTGTAACTCTAATTACATTTTATAACCTTTAGCCTTGATTTAACACAAACACAAATTGTGTCAAGCAAAGAGAATGCACACAAGTACAATGAAACACATCCTACAATGTTTTAATAACTAACTTCCCCTTTGATTTAGAAAACATCTTTGTTTTAACATCAGCTTTGTTTGTTTAAAAGGTAGAGTCAGTAGAGATGTCCGTCGCAGCTTGAAAACACAACGTTCACATTGGGCTCCTCCTCCTGGGCGCATTGCCATCAGAAGGCCACGCCCACTGCAGGGCTGGCGTGTCCGTCAGCTGCTTTTACCTACACTGTGAGCTACTTGAGAATATTACATTTGTTGTAAGGGAAGAGCTGATCATTTAGCAAGCTAGTAGAAGCTAACTGCTGATGTTTGGCACCTGCCCGTCCAGCAGAAAGCAGGCCAACTCCGCGTCGTTCAATCAAAGTGCCCAATGAGGGTGAAAGCTGACACACGGTTCACCCTAGTTTTGGAACACGCTTTATCAACTTGGTGTTTCGCCTCACTAGGATTTTATTTTCTCTTCTTTGCCATGATGTCCGCATCAGCAACATTCGGCAGTTTGAATGCCGTCCAATCGCTGAATTGTTTTTACTCCAAAACACACCCACGTGTTGTCATTGGCTGGGGGGGGGCAACACACTCCATGTCCAGAAACGTCCTGACTCAACCAAAACATCAAAATACAGGCAAAGGAAAATGTCTCTGCAGGCACAGTCAGCAGCACACACGTATGAAGCCCATAAGTGATTGAACTTTTCTATTCTGTTAGATTTATGTTGGGACTCTCCATGCCTTCATTGGAGATACAGAACAATGGACAGAGGCGGGAGAGAGAGTGGGAAACGACATGCAGGAAAGAAGACCCGGGAGACCCGCCCGAGGACGACAGCCTCTGCACATGGGGCGCACAAACCAACCAGCAGGCAGAGCGGCATAATTTTTCCAAGTCTGTTTTTTTTTTTTTCTTCAGGAAAAAGCTCCTGGCTCTGTTTTTGAGCAGTATTAATAACGGCAAGTCCCAGCCCCATGTTATCTAACATATTAATGAAGAATGTTTCATGTAAAGTTAAAAAGAACATATTCAATACTGATTTCTAAACAGCTTCTGGTCTTACAGTTATTCACACATGCTTATCAAAGCATACATCTGCACACAAATATTGAAATTGTAGGAAAAAAAATGAATCAATATGCAACAAGCAAAGGGCTAGAAGACATTAACAAAGCCATTTGTCTTTATGAATCTGTCTTTCAGAGAGAGGAAAAATCTCTTTCAATCAGCATCTTTCTCCCAATAATAACATCATGGAAATAATGAGGCTTCATTTTTCACTGTTACTCAAGTAATTGCTTTCCTTTCCTGTCCCATCATGCGCTGAGTCAGAGAAAGTTCCCGCAAACGCTCCATTTAATCTACCTCACACCCGTCTGCAACAGTGTGTTTCAAGCATAGCAACAGCTTCTTTTTTTTAAAGCTTTGGCGTCTTTTCTCTGCCGTGTTGGGAGCGTTAACTCTGTCATTTTGATTTGCACAGATTTCATTTTGATACCACCCTTTATATTGTCTTGCAGTTTCAGACAAACAGAGAAAACAATTACGTTCAGCATCAGTAGGAATGTCATATCAGCAGAATTTCATCAAGGTTGTGAGTCTATTGTATGTTCGCCTTTTTTTGTTTCTTTGTTTATTCCAGGTACAAGCCTGCTGATGTCTAATTGTGAGGGGAAACGTGTGATTACATTCAATTCCTCTCAAAGATAGACGGGATTTTGTATTTCATTTCAAATAAACACTCAAATCTAAACAAAAACAACTGTGAAACAAAAACAAGGGTACAAATCCTTGAGATGGAGCATTGGAATCGCAGCTGATTAATCCTTATTGCATTTGATCAATATCCATTTTTATAAAAGGCTTCAAACATCAACAGGAGTCACGATTTTTCCTTCACGCAAACTTGGAGAAGCTATGTAAAAGAATCAATCAGACCTTTAAGCACAACCAATAAAGTACGTGGACCCAATAAAATCCAAATCAACTTCAGGGTCAACAATTTATTTTGCCTTCGAGGTCTATTTGCTCGATGTTATGTTGTTAGGAGGAAGAATACAAAACTAAACAGTGTGTGAAGAGGTTGTGATACCACTCTGAAATCTCGGACATGTGCAGTCAGGAAGGGCAGACACTGACTAAGAATAGGGGCAACTCAAGCTCAACTTAATGAACCTGATTTAATGACTAAAAATGGATGCATGTATTATATATAAGCTGGTTAACATCAGTGTGATGGTTAGCTCCTGCAGGTTCAAATATCTTTAATGCAGGAAAGATGGAAAGGCAAAGCAACAGCTGCATACATGTTGAGGTGTCTTAAAGTCAACAGTGCATAGAAAGACAACCTTTAGCACCTGTTTCACACTTTAACCTTAACATACAGTAAGAGTGCCATTTGAGAAAAACTCCATGTTCTGACTGGGCTACACATACACACACACACACACACACACACACACACATTATGTAGAAGAGATTCATTGGTGCTGTTTGTTTTCTTGCCAAGTGGAACAGGTCTCAGTGGAGTGATGCTGCTGGAACAATCGCTACAGCTAATTACAGCAGGTACATATAGATATATTTCTATCAGTCCCAGAGAGACTAGAAGTGAGGCTACTAGAGCAGAGGGCTGTTTCTGAAACTGGGCTATGACACATATAAAGAAAGACAGATCTCCCCAACATTACTGACCTAAGACACATAATGTTTAAGAGTGATGATTATGAAGAGGGTGTGTTAGGAAACAAGAACTCACAGATTCGACATAAGATAAGAGAGACAAAATGTGAGATATGAGAGATAGCTTTTTAATTTTTTGATTCCCTGATTCAGAACAGTTAACCAAACAACTGATTTCTACTCGAGAATATTTCAGTTGATGATTTTCTACCAAAATCCCTGCTATTTTATTCTCACATATTTAAACATTATGCTCAGTTTTCAAGAATAGTGCTGTTAATTGACTCAAGAATTGTCCATAAATAGTTTAAACTGCTGATTAAATATAAATTATATATACCGATATATACACTTTAAACATAATCAAGAACTAATGAACTGACTTTTGGCCCCTGGGAGAAACTTTTGGTTTGTGTTGATTTTGGCGCCACCTATGGAAAAAGCAGAGCCTCTTATCTTTTTGATGAAAATGTATGTAGTTGCTGCAGCGTGCTGAACTCATGTAATCTGGCACCTACCTACCCCAATTTCAGTGTTTTTGATAACTAGCTAAAAACTCCTCACAGGAGCTTTAAGAATATGTTGCAAATGTATTTACTTTTGGCTCAAGTGAAGAGTGAGATTATCAAGAATGCTAGAAACACTCCATTCCCCTTTGAAAAACAAACAGAACAACTTTATTTTTGGTGATTATTTTTTATTAATATCAGCACATATTTTGGGAAACTAGAGGGTAACTAAGATGATCATATGTTTGTTTTCTTACTTTTGTCCTGCCTCCATTCTTATTTTTCTTAATGTACCGGTACTTATTCTGTCTTTAGTTGTTTTTAAGTGTTGTGAGATGAAATTGTAAAGTTTGTCTCTTTGTCTGTGCTACGTTGAAAAACACAATCAGGTGAGAGAGACATTTTTATATAATCCCAAACACCTGTTTTTGTGCGACACAGCCAGATTCACAGAGCACATAATGAAGCACATCTAAAGCCCTTTTTTTGCTCTAGATTGATAGTAATTATCAGCTCAAGAAGTCAAGAGCTCTGCAGATGAAGGTGGGCGTATAGGACTAGCAAAGGTTTCCACTAACAGGTGGAGAGTGCTTTGCATTGCTGAACTGGATTTCTTTTTTTTGTATTAAGGATAGAGGTTGAAAGCCAGTAAAACATTTATTGTAACGATACAGAGAGCTGTGTGGAATCAAACTCATTAACCGAGCAGGATGTTAAAGCCTTACAAACACAGTCGAGTAGAGCTGCAGCTTTGGCAGAGAAGTTGGTGTAAAAAAAAAAAAAAAAAAAAAAAAGTGTGATGTCTGAAGAAGTATAAAGGTCCCACGGCCAACTCGCCTGAATACAACTGGAAATGGCTGGCAACCACTTCTTGCTGTTAAAGATTACACTTTCCTTTCAAAGATGACTCCGAAGCCTTTAGGAAAAGAAAACTCTTAAGATTTTACTCGTGAATATTTCTGAAAGCAAACCAAAAATCTCTTCAAGCAGAAGATTTTTGAAGTAGAAACAAACAAACAAAGACCTGCCAGCGTTGAATATCCCTCATTGAGGATACTTTCTAACCCTAGCATTGCCTTTGTCCTTCAGATTGGTGATGAACCTGCCTATTTAAGAATGGAAGATAGTGCCAAAAACTACTCCAATGAAAATGTCTGGGGCACAAAAAGGTATCTGATCAAAAGCACTTCAGGAAATGAAAAGCCAAGTTAGCTGCGCAGACAGAAATAAACCTTGGCATTTACAGTTTCCAGAAAAGATGAGGAAACTGAACAGAACGTCTGTTAAAAACATTTCAATACTTTAAGAGGAGGAAATATGAAGTTGATACAGTGCAGTGAATCTGTGAGTGTGGCGGATTGAGAAGTAATGTTTAGTTTATGCTTTGTCAATACAAAAGAATCAGATTAAAATAATAATAAATCATTATTTGAATTTAAATGTTTTAAACAGGAAAGTTAATGTTCCATCTAGAAGTCAAAATTATCAAAGTAAGGCCAATACATTTTAGGACAACTGTCTTAATATCAAACATGGCAACATGCTCTCAAACATCATGCTAACGTCAGAGATGGGTTAAAGCAATAACAGTTTGTGTTGGAAGCGCCGATAGTCTATAGAGTTATGCCCAATGTACACAGGCTATAGTCCACGCCGCAGCGGCTGTGGGTTTCAAATCCGACCTCAGCTCTGTACTCTCAACATTTTCTGTCTCTTTTCAGCTGCCCTATCCAATAAAGGCAAAAGGCCTTAAAAAAGCAATATCTTGTGTTTAAACTTTAGAGAAGAGATTGCCTCCATAAAGCTGTTATTGGTGATGCTTTTATTTTGCCTTTTTTACTGCTTAAGAGCCATTGTAGTTTTATTTCCTAAATGAGGTGAATGATAAAAGCACCCCTGAAAAGAAGTAAAAGAAGTCCTCCTATCAGGACGTTTAACAGTGCCAGTTTAGATTCAATAAATATATTTGTCTAGTTTTGTGTGTTTGGTTAACAAATCTTAAGTTGGTTTTGGGATTTTCAATTCATCCTGAAACCTTTAGTGCATTGAAAGTTTATGATTTGATAGAATTATCTCATTTCCTTTGCAGCTCACAGTGACGACCATTATGTGGAAACACCACTTGATTCTCTGTCATGTTAAAAGAGTTTTGCTGTGTCTGCATTCAAATGGTAATGCTGATTACATTTCCTCCATTTTTCATTGACATATTAGAAAGCTGCTGTAGATACTGAAAACGTTCATTACAGTTAAACAATGCACACTACATGTACTATGACAGAGCAAATTAAATCAGTCCTATTTTGGAGTTTATACTATGCTATTCTATACTATGCTATGCTATGCTATGCTATACTATATTATACCAATGATAAAGGTTTATTATCTTTTTGATTACAGTTGCTTACAGCTTTGGTTTGATTTATGTGATTCATTTAAACGTTTTAGTTTAGAGTCTTATTATGAAAAGTCCGATTGTAATGGCTAACATAATGTGTACAGAGTTTATGGATTATCAAATTTGCAATCCGATTGTAAAGAAATCTGGTGCCATGGCACATCTTCTTCGTTTAGTGCTTCTGCTTTGCTTTGCTCACCCCGATATGAAATGGTCCAGTGAAGTAGTCCAGATTGGCCTGAATGAAGCCGATGTTTTGCAGACCGAGCTCAGCACTTCGACTCTGCGCCCTGACCAGAGACTCTTCTTTGTTCTCGATGAGGACGACCTTGAACACACACAGAGAAGACACACGCACAGTTACATGCGAGTGCTTTTTCGCGAGTGCCTCAATTGAGCCACAATGTCAATAAAAGCTCTAAAACACAGACAACCTGTAGTAATAATGTTGGTCGTATTAGGTTACAGGAGGCCTTCCAGTTTATTTTAACAGTAAACAAGACTAATATGACCAAAAACTAATTATATTAGATTTCTTAAACAATACATGGACTTGAGTGTTGCATTTAATACTTCAGCATAATCAATTCATCATCATCTGTTGTTGGTTAATATTGCCTGCCCTTAAGAACTGCAAGTGAAAAGTTACCAAATCGGTCAAAATCAGGTCTGCAAGGTTTAATTTGAATCAGCCACATGTTGCACAAACACAAGTTACCTGGCAGTCTGGTAGTGTGTGAGCCAGAACGATTCCTACATGTCCCTGAGGCAGCATGAAGAGAGAGAGGGAGAGAGAGAAAACAAAATGAGAATGCACAATAGGCAGACAGCAGGCATCAAAGAGGACATCAATGGAGCAATGATTAGCGCTGGCCTTTCCTACCAAGAACTGACCTTTGCAGCCATGCAGCTCTACCCGAGTGTGCATTTTCATGAGTGTAATTATGAGTCTGCCTGTGTACACCAGCCAACAACAAAAGATGTTTAGGAAAAAAAAAGAGAAAAACTAGTCCTCTGCAGCTGCTTGCTAATGGATCAGCAGCCTGATGTAGCCCTGGTCAGGCACAGTGATAAATACACATGCATAACCAGAATGATGGATGAACACACACACACACACCGTTCCACTGCAGAAATCCACGATGGTGGAGCCCGGCCTGGCTAGCTCTGTAACCATGGCGACCAAGTTATTCAGCTGTTGCCTCTTTCTGACAGCACGGATGTTTGACATTTTCCCTGGGAAAGAGCACAAGTCTGGATTACATGGGAGAATGAAGCAGAAACTAAGCAACAGGTTTTTACAGGCTGCGAGTCAGAAAACTTAATTGTGGTACCAAAACAAATAAATAAAATAAAGAAGAAGACAGATGTCAGACACAGAGAGTTGGTCAATGAAAGGATAGATTTGAATTGGATCCAAAAGGAGAAGGGGGGGGGTTGAATCATGGGAAAACAGGATTCCTAGATATGAAAAAGGGTCGGGCTTGGAACGTTGTGTTCTTTAATGTGAAAAGAAAATAAATAAGATCATTTTTTTCTGAGCCACATTGTTGTGAGTCTTTGTGCTTTTGTGATTTTTTACGACTCGGCACCTAAATAAGTGATGTGTGTGTTTGCTGACTTTTTCCAAAACAGGATTACTATCATTATTTTTTTTTTATGTGAAAACAAATCAAGTTCAAAATGACAGCAAAAATAAAACTGGAAATGTAGTGTTTGAGGAAATAAAATACAATCAAAAATAATCTAGGTAGGGGTCAAAGAAAGAAAGAAAGAAAGAAAGAAAGAAGATTTGTTCAATAAGAGTTAAAGGGTGGGGGGGGATGTATGGGTGTAAATATGCATGTATGAATGTGTTTGTGTGGATGTCCATGCTTTCTCTACATTAATGGATGAAGCAGAAACTAAGCAACAGGTGTCAACAGAACAATTTCTGTCATTCTATATAGACAGTGAAATGTTTCACATTTTTTTAAACTATTCTCTGATTGGGCTGCAACGTCCCAGCCTCCATTTTTTTCATGTTTCTAAAAAACTGCCCGAAAAAGGAAAAAAATATTTCTAATAGACGATATTTACTATAATAAAAGTTAAGTTGAGAAAACTTTATTTAAAGAGTTACAGAAAGTTATTCACTTACAGTGAAATAAAGCAAGAAACTAATTAAAAAACTACATAAGATTAAAAACCCACAAGATTCATGTTTTTACATTGCCGGTCTTACTTTCCTTCGCCGTCTCTCTCCTGGCTAAACTTCTGACTTACAAGCATCTGTTTCAGGTAATTGTGACACTACAGCACACAAATGAAAGGCCTCCATACTGTGTACAGCATGTTTCTAGCTAATTGCCAACAAGGGAGTGCAAACCATCTTTCATTATCATCAAACGCAAACCCCTACGAGCCAAAATGAAGTGTCCTCCTCGCCTGCCTCAGAACTTTGTGCTGCTGAGCGAGCAGTGTGAGCTCCATTAACTCAAAGCACATCTCAGTCTCCAGCCTCTTCCGTCTGCAGCGAGTCGCCGACGCGCCGTGACACTGTGGTCTCTCTGCTCCATAAATCCAGTAGTGATTTGATTTTCATTCACCTCAAGAGTCACACACTCGTGGACACACAAATGGAACATCGTTAAAATATTATTCCTGCCTTTCCTGTTCATGCTGCTTTTGTATGTGATGACAAGGGAGGAGAGGCACATGAATAGGACTTCTCATAGGGGGTAATCTTGCATACTGGCTGATGTAGAGCAGACCCAGATGTAGGGAGAACACAAGAGTGAAGAAAGAATTTAAATACAGAGAAACAGCAGGAAAGTAATTGGCTCTGAGCTTCATTTGGAAGAGTTATTCACTTGGGTGCAGGCTCTTCTATGTATCTATGGCTCCAGTGGGGCTTTAGTAAAAGAGGCCTTTTGACGCAGCAGAACACATTTAGATTTTAATTGCAGATTGCATTACAGTGCGTGATGAAAGACAACAGGGCAGGAATGGATAGGGGGTCTAAGACTCGGCTTAGTTTGGAATACAAGAATAGCAATAACAGTGCAGTCTAGGGGCAGCGAAACGGAGCTTTAAACACACAACAGTAACATATTATAGGCTAACAAACTTTGATACTTTGTTAGCTTGAAAAGTCGGCCAATTCCATTTAATATGGATGGAGAAACATAAGTTGTGTCTCAATTCAGGGGTAGCATCCTTCCAAGGACCCAGCCCAAGAAGGGCTCGGTCTTTGTAGCTTCAGGCCACACAAAAGGTCTCAATGTGTACAAAAAGTTTCACAAGTGTATCAGGCACGACTTGAAGTTGTTTTGAACCAAACAACTCTAAGTTACTAACACCGTTTGTTTGTGTTTTTTGTTTGTATCTGATGGGAAAGTGTGTGAGTATGATCGACTTCCATTGATGAGTTGTGCTCGAACAAGACATTTGGTAGAGAAAGGTCATCACTCTCGAGGTAAAACCCATAAGTTACATACTGAGTGGGAGGCAGCAGAAGAGCTGAACTCTTCAAAGTTTTTTTTATTTCATTTGATAATGTTGTTTCAGGCAAAAGAGGTCTAAAAGTTCACGCCCTGGGTCGCTGCTATGGAGTCACAGTCGGTCAATTTCAGTAAGAACGTGTCGAACTGTGTTGAGGTCAAAGTGCTGGGAGATGTGAAATATATACACTGTTGAGAATGCTAAAGATGGAATGAGAAATACGTTGTGGGGAGTCAATATCTCAGTTAAAGAGACAAATGGTAGTTGATATTTTTATCACTGTTTGAACAATCCAATTGACATCAATCCTCAAAGAGAATCAGAACCCCAAAATCAGGTTTTATCTCTTTTTTTTAAACAAACTGTATCAGAGTGTCTGATTCATATTTAACACTTCATTAACTGCTGATCTGCAAAGGCTGCCACATGCACCATAGAAGAAAAAGTTATCCTTTCTTGCTCCCACGAGGGGAAAATATTTTTACACTCCGTTATTGAGGCATGCTACACACACACAAGCATTAGTCACTAAAAATGAACAGAACAGTTTGACGCTAGAAATTCAGAAGTTTTATACGGGTAGAAGCTCAGAGACTAAATCAATCACAGACCATGTCATTCAGAGGCATCTTGAAGGAGAGAGGTCTATCTGCAATGGGAATTTTTTTTGTTTCTCACTCAATTTTTTTTCTCATGCATCTAAACTAGCTCGACTGTCTTCCAGCCACTTTACAAACAAAGGCAGTCATCACAAGTACAACAAAAAACTGTCTGACACTGTCATCCAGCCGAGCTCCGATGATCCGCTGACAAAGAGGCAGCTAGCAGGTGGAAGCTTCTGTCATTGTCATAAACCAGTGTCAATATGTACTGAGGCTGTTAGACTGAGGAGCGGCTTCAGCATTAGATTGACATTTTCCAGCATCAGGTACAGTTAATATACAAGTGCAAATAATCCTGCATAAATGACCTCTAGTGGAGGAAAAAACTGACACAGGTAGGCTGTAAATCTGAGGCCATGTAACAAGCTATTAAAAACAGTTCTCTACGACTCTTTGCAAACTGAAACCAGACAGCATGTAAGTTAGACCTCTGTGTATGTTAGAATGACAAATACAGTGGAACACACGGAAATATATTTTTTTTAGCAAATCCTTACTAAATATAAAAGCTTTTCTTGCTTCCTACACCAAGTCCAATCAATAAAACCACCAACAGATAAGACGTTTTAGTTGTTTTCCATCCTAACTTCAATTATTCTTTTTTTCTTCTAAGATTTATTTTTGGGCATTTTCTGCCTTTATTGGAGAGACAGGACAGTGGATAGAGTCGGAAATCAGGGAGAGAAAGAGTGGGAAATGGCATGCAGGAAAGTAGCCACAGGTAGGACTCAAACCTGGGCCACCCGCTTGGAGGACTATAGCCTCCATACATAGGGCGGCGGTAGTTCAGTATGGGTGGCAGTAGCTCAGTCTGTAGGGACTTGGGTTGGGAACCGGATGGTCACTGGTTCACTGGTGTGGACCACCAGTGCCCTGACTTTAGTTTGTGTTGTTTGAAATTGTGATGAAAAAGTAAGCTGAACAAGCACCAAGTGGGACCAGTGGAAAACGTTTTGCACACTGTTAAAGACACCCTTTTAATACCAGTTGTAACAACCACAAAAGTTGGGTGCAGCCTATTTACCATTGAGACCAATACACAACTTTAAAATGCTGAGACATGCGGCGTCATGCGACCTGTACTCCACATCCCTCAATGTTACCGTATAGGCTGATGGCTAAACTACCACGATGGGGATTGCAGGATTGCAAACTCCAAACGGTGAAATCAAATGGTACCATTAAGAGCTACACAGCTGCACAGAAACTGCACATCGCAGATTCTGCTGACTGCAATGGAAATCGTCCCACAGGAAGACTGTTAAAACATTTTCCCTCTTGGAGACCCTCAAAAACAGACGATGCCACCTTTATTCTGGATTTGAGGGTATTTCTATTTTCACACATAGGTAAGCTAAAAAAATACAATTTCTCTTTGTAATTGCAAATGTCACAACTCTCGGTAAATTTTGCTGTTAAAACAATCAGTTGGCTTGACTGTCTAGGGCTCGCCTAGGGCGTTAGAATTAAATTAGTTTCATCGTTAGCTCAATCTGAGCATTCACAATAAACTCATTGCAAAAGTCTGAATGTATTGCAGTGGATAAGAAGGATTTATTTTCTGATTCTTTAAAGGAAAGTTGCAAACATGGACATTGTGTAAAACATTAAGAAAGCAGATAGGAAGAAACAGTGCGATAGAGCTAATGTGCACTTTTTAAATGTAATCGCCTGTCCCAATGTTTTTTCCTATCCTGCTGGCCTAGACCCAGGTGATCTCCCCTTTAAAAAATGATTTTGTTCAACCTCCTTTGACAGACTGATGGGAGCTGAAAACAGATTAAACTGTTGCTGGTTTTGTTTATTTACAGGGGGAAAGACATCACCCCAAACCAGATAACTTCTGGCTCAAAGCCTCAGATGACACAACCAAAGAGTTTTCTGTTTTTCCAGCAGGTTGAGTCGACTTTGACATTTCCAAATGCTCACTGGGGAGAAAACATGCAATGGCTGAGTCGTGGGTGGGAGACTGAGGATCCATTAGCGTGTGTGTCCTCTGCTAAAAAAAAAAAGAAAAAAGAAAAACGTGCCTAAGAGTATACCTCTGCAGCTGGCAGTGAGCCCTGATCTCCTCCTCTTTCCCCTGATGCT